TTTCTAGATTGGCAAGTAGGGCCTAATTTCCGAGGTTCTCTTATCGTATTGTGGTGCACAGTACCATCTCTTCGAGTATATCCCAGATATTGCTTTCCTTCCATGCGAAGTTTTTTATTAGCGTTTTTTTTCCAGGTGTCGGAATTTGTTAGCTTTCTTCTTTTCCGTTGATTTTCTCCATCTTCTGAGTCAGTTTCGATATGGTTATCTAGAATTTGACTTTCTTCTTGTTCAGCAGATTGTAAAATAAAGGTGGCGCTTTTTTCGTATTCTTCTGCTGCAGTTTCATTTAAGTTTGATACATCATTCAAACCATCATGGTCCGTTATTGCATTAGTTGAAAATTGTATAGCTACATCTGGGGATTCAGAACTTTCTATTCCGGTTTCATTTGGGTTCGTTGTGTTATTAAACAAAGTATCATCGACCAGTGGATCACTGTCAAAATCTGTAAGTGGGTTGTCACTAGACTTGGATTGGTTTTCGTAATCTGTAGTTGTTAATAGAGTTAACGAAATATTTTGCAAATTTGTTATTTTAGGGTGCTCTATGGTTGGTATAACACTGCAGAAATTAACTGACCCATCGTTTTTTACAGTCGTTGGGTGACTATACATCATGTCTTGTGATAAGGTGTTAATATCAACATCATTTTCCAGATTATTGAAAACATTGTTCTCATCAAAAATTATNAAAAGACAGACCGAGCGACGGTGGGTGGAACGCCAAGTGTGTGCGTGTCCCGAAACGCTGAATAGACTTCATAATTGTATAAATAACATTTTTATATAAACAAGGTACTTAGTTCGATATAGGAATAGAAAAGAAGGATAAGTTAGTTAGAATTAAAGAGTTGAATAGCGAACAATAATTGAGAATGTACATTTTACCTAAAATAAAGGAAATTGTTGGCATAAATTATTTTTGTTTATAACATATCCATTTTCGTATTTCCCTTTTAAATAAAAAGTACAAACTAAAAAGGCAATATAGCACTGTCCTGACCTGCTTCTGCATATTTTGCAACATTTTTACAATGTTTCTAGAATATTATCTTTTGACCTCTGATAATATATTTCATTAGATAAATACATAATTTTAGTGATTCTTGGTTACTGATGTCATCATGCCAATTTGGCTATTTCAAGTAAACTTGGAACAACTTGTATTAGAATTGCACACGATTGTGTTACCAGGATAGGTACTGTTTTTGCAATTCTTACTACATATAAATATTTTTCGAAAATTCTCTTCAGACTTACCTACATAATATGCTAATTTCAAATCCATGGTTCCACGAGGTTAGTAAAGACGTAGAAACCGACCACCACAAAGCTTAAACGACCGCCACACCACAAAACATATTCGACAACTAATTTTCCGTAATTAATAAATTTACACAGCAGAATTTTGAAAAAACAATTCATATACACGAAGTCGCAAACAGGGCTGTTTTCTTTTACTCATGATTTCGGAATCATAACGCGTTACGATCCGAAATCTAGCAATCTGATTGGTTTTCAGCGGATCGTAACACGTTATGATTCCAAAATCATGAGTAAAAGAAAAGGGCTCAGAACTAAAACAACCAATTGAACACGATCGCATCCATGTATTCCAAAGCCGATGTGATCTAGTAATTATGTACAAGAGTGCAGTGTGCAAGTGTTCTAACGCTATGGTCACAGAATGGTCACACCAGAAGCAACAGTTCCGCTTCCCGCCAATTTTTATTTCGAGTGCGCATGTGCGAAAATCGCCATTATTTTGTAGGTATTCCAGTCAACTTCAAAATATTTTATGTTTGATGCGTGTGTCAACAGTTATTGTATTTCTTCTATTCGTGCATAAATACTTTTTTATTTCTGTATAATATCATGAGTAGAAAAGGTGAAACAGTTTGTGTTGTAAAAAATAATTATTATTATTATTATTCGAAATAATAAAATTTATTGGATAAACTATGAAATATGCTTAAATTATACTTTTAGAAATTAGAAATAAAATTGAAACCAAATATTAACTCATATTCCACTAAAATTGGTTTTCTATTTCAGAGTTGACTCTCTTGCGAACTAATCCGATTTTGAATTTTTTTTGTAAATTACTTTCTGGATATATGTACTTTGGTCAAGATAAAATAATTTTTTACGACAAACTAATGCGATTTAATTTAACTGTATATTACAATAATTAATAACAGAAACAATGTGATTAAAAAAAGCGAATGACTTGTTTCATTCAGAGGCATTCGCACTCTACAGGGTATTTCACATTTTGAGGGCAAAACTGACTGTCTCTTGTACCTTGTATGTGCTGAAAACTGGAATTTCAGTAAAAATCTTGCATCGTTACTAAGGCACGACATTTCATTTTGAAAGCCAGGGCATCCTCTGTAGATTACCTAATGCATTTATAATAAATAATTTTATAATATTGTGGAATGTTTATCCTGTTCTATATTAAAAATCTGAGCTCTGGCAAAGATCTGGAACATTCCATATGCTTCCGCAGTAGATTCTTTAAGCGATGTCGGCAACGGAGAAAAAGTATTCTTATATAACGAAAACGATTGTTCGACATCTAATGACGTTATAGGCGCATATTTGAAGTAATCTCTAAAATCAGTTAATGAATCCATGGGAGAGCTATTGCTATGAAGGTGTCTTAATATGAAGAAATCTGGATTTTTTCTTAACACATTGTCAAACTTTTTCCGACATAAACACTTTTTTCGTCACTTAAGTCATATAGCACTGTTTGTATGTCATCTACTATTTGCAGTGATTCATCTAACGATAATGCAGTATTTTGTAAGTTTTTTTTTATATCATCCGCAATTGGAATGTAATTGTTGTAAATATTTTCCAACTCAACTAGAAATTTTATTTGGCTCTTCCGAATAGCAGTGAATTGTAAAATTACAATTTTATTTTTTGAAAATGTTTAAAATAATGAAATGATGCCTCTAACCATGTCCCCCATCGTGTAAGAATGGGTTGTGGATGTGGAGGTTCTGGACTACCAGGTGGAATTGACGAATACGTTTAGGGGATTTAAGAAACACTGCCTTGGTCTGTGCTATTAATTCATCTACATTTGGGTAACACCGACAAATTGTTTCTATCTACTTACTCTATGTAATGTGTGCAGAAAGACTTGTTTGTTAGTGTGTACTTAATTTCAACATACCTATGTATTTATTTTTTAAGACACTGAAAAAATTTCGTCGCTATGAAAGAACAAAAAACATATGATACGCTGCGACTTAACCGGATACTACTGCTGTCGTTAGAATGACGATTCCAGTTTTATTTGTTATTCCTAGTGGCGCGGCGGCATAGTGTTCCTTCACTCACTCTGCTGTAAGACTAAAAATGTCATGCCTATTAAGGCAGTAATGATTACATTACTGATGTAACTTGACGAGTTGTTCCTTTATCCATCGTTACGAACAGCGAACAGTACCGTAACGACATCAATTTATGAAAAAGAGCTCATCGATTATTATCATTTACACTTTAACTATGATACGTGGGAATTTAGAAATGTACATTGACAGAATGATTTTCAGGCACTTACCGTTCTTTTGCTCACATAGCTTTGCTCCCTGTAGTACCTATGTGTATATCGAATTTAGCTGAGAAAATTCAAGTCTTCTGCGTTAATTTTATTAATTTTCAGGACAAACAATTCAGGAAAAAAATAAAATTAATTTATACCAGTTTATTTGCAACATGTGGTATATAAATTGAACAATAATGATCAGTATATTACTTCACGTGTATTTATTACATCAAAAGCTAAATTACCTTCACAAAATATATAATTCTATGTATCACATTTAAAAAATATAAAAAAGCAACAAAACAAAAAAAATAGTAACAATAAAAAAACAATTACCTCGACCGAAGAACAATGATCGCTGACTTATCGAGTTTTTGGGACCGTTGAAAAAGTCATCTCTCCAAACTGACTTATTTTATTTACAAACACATTCAAATCGATATGTTGAACAAAATTATCAAATTCTGGTCATTTTACTTACTACATTTTCTGAAATGGCACATTTTGGTATATTGGAAAGTGAAAAAGTTAAATATTTTACAAAAAGAAGAACTGTTTGACGTCAGAAGTAGATTTATAATTTTTTTTTCAATAAAAGAAACGTTTAAAGACGCGATGAGGTAATCATTTCAATTATATTGGAATGAGATTCCTTGGAACAAAGAAACAAAAAAAAACAAGTTTGTTACATTTTGGCTTATCAAATAGTGGCAATTTCTTAAAAATACTAGGCATTTAACTACGTATTTCTCGGAGGGTTATTTCAAAACTTATATGCTATAATTTTAGAGATTCTCAATCTAAATCCTAATCCTCCTAAGTTTTGGCACTAGTTTACAGAAGCTTGAAAAGGCTACCAAACATTTTTTTATTTTTCCGATTTGCAAATTCAACTGTCGAGTAACAACTCAGAAAAACGTAATTCTGACCTGTACGATATAAAATTCCGACTCATAGGTCAGAAAAATCTTACTTGTAAGTTGGAAAAATATAATTCCATAATGTAACAGAGAACAATTCCACTTACAAGTTGCAAGTTTTGAGGTACAAGTCAGAAAAATATTAATTTCAAATCCTAACCTAACATAACCTAATTTAACCTATCATGACATTTTCCTAACTTTGTAACTTATAACGTTTATCTTGTAAGTCAGAGTTTTCCTCACTTAGAACCTTGAATTATAATTATATTTTTTCAACTTCCAAATCAGATTTTTCTGATTTAGAACTTTAAATCATATTTTTCTTACCATAAATTGGAAATTTCAACTTGTAATAGCTGTTTTACATTGACAATTTATTGATCAATTAATTCATGAAGTCGCTTAATCAAGAAATTGGACAAATGCACCAAATCTGCTGTCAAATAACTTCATGAGTTTATTCATCAAGTTCTTGACGCATTTTCTAATTTTTGTCAATTTCTTCGTGAAGTTCGGAAGTACCAACCCAACAGATTTCCAGCCTCAGATCAGAAATGAGGAGTTAGAAAAATAAAAATATATTTAGTGACCCTTCTACCCTTCCATACTAACTTGTTAACAGAAAACAGATTTAAAAAATTATTCTGAAGCAAATACAAACAATGAATTTTTTACATAAAACACACATAAGCCTGTCATGGAAAATATATGATAAAAAATGTTTTGACAAAACATTAAAATCGCAGAACTTACAGTTACATAAAACACAAAGTGGCAACTAAATTTAGAACAAACCTAGAAATTTTGTGAATATGCCATGACGCACAGAAAAGTGTCTACTACCGATGAACACATTAAAAAATAGCAACACTTCGCTCCCGTCACGTATAAGTCATGGTGAAAGTGCCACACAGCACCTACTTAAAGCTGAGAATTCAAATATGTGATTATTCGATGTAAATCGATGTCAATTAGGCCATTAGTCTTTGTCAAAATCACTAAAATTGTAGATGAGCAATTCTAAAATGTGACAAATACTATTCTGTAAATATATCTATAATATAAATCACACAATGCACGTCACAAAAATATGTAGGTGAAATTTTTAAACGATTATAATGTCTGAAATTATTTATTTGTGGCATAGTTTTTGTTTTTTCATATTTAGTGGGCATTTTGACCCTTGTGCCAAAAGGATCAGTCAGGAGTTGTTTCTATGAAGTTTTGTCTAACAAAAACATAGAGTGAGCCAATTTTAACATTTTTAGGTGATTTCTCGCATTTCCCGAGGAAATATACAAAAGTAGTTCAAATGACTCGAGCTTTTTTTTGAAAAAAATTGGAAAGCGAAAACCACATCCCGATCTTTACTCGTTTAGAAGATATAAGGCATTCTTTATTTTTGAAAATTTATGAAATATTACATTAGAGTTTTAAAAAAAGTCTTTTACATAAAAAACATTCATAAATGAAAACACCTTACGCTCTTACAGATATCATCGGGATACAGTTTTGCCTGTTAAATTTTTTTCAAAAATCGAACTCGGGACCTCTTTTATCTACTTTTTTTCTACCCACTCGATAAAAAAATAAATTTCTAAAATTGTTGAAATCAGCATATCCCGTAAAGTACACCAATGTTTGTTATGGCATAAGATGTCCCTCTAGTGGCTTAATCTGGTACTTTAGATATGTCATCTTACGTATGAATTCTGCTTTTGGAATTCATTAGCAATACAAATACTAAATATTTCACATTCAAGTACATGGACAAGTAAGTTTTTGACAGCCAGCCAATTATATTTTTGTGTTAAGTATCCATTCAAGAATGGTGAAAAGGAATAAAAATGCCTCTACATATTTTCATGATCGTAGCATTATCTGCAATGCAAAATTATGTTCTGTCTTATTCTCAACAACGATTTTTCCCTAATTTCAACCATAAAAAATATATATATCATATATAAAACACTTTTGATTTAAACATACTATTACAAATACTATAACGTGAAAGTCTATATATGTATTTACAGAGGAAAACTGTGTATAGAGTACGGAATATGTTATTGCGTTATAAATCTTCTATTGGCTAGCTGTGCACCTTCACGTTAGTTATGTCTCGAACCTCACGTCTCCCTCCACTCTCAATATATTTATAGGAACAAAACCAGTCTGAAAAAAAGAATTAACCTATACTGATGGCGAAACGTTTCATAACTCAATGTCAGTATCTTCGTTTATAATAAAAATATTAACCTTCGGTGATACAGGGAATGGTTTTAAACGGGGATCAGTTTTTTAGTGATAATAGTAAGTATTCCTCAGAATATGAATTCGAAATTATGTTTGAAATCCAATAAATAGTTTGAGATACAATTCACTTTTTAAAATGTACTTAAACTTTCATCTACAGCTAGTGGTCGGCTCTTAAGGAGGTTCGATACCGAAAAAAAAAAATGGTAAGTTTCCAAAACAATTGAAATCCAGATTTCACCCACACTTTTACAAGCTCTTAATGAATAAATATACACTTTTATTAAAATAAAAAGTTAATTGCCGTGCATGAAACACTAAAAATATATGCGAGCTAATATACCGGGTGATTCAGTTTGGTATTCGCGGCCCTGTATCTTTTTTATTTTAACAAATAGCTATAATAAACCCTATATATTTTTAAATCGCCATTCAAACTCTATTAAATGACATTATTAGATCGTCTCCATGGTAACATATGTCAAAATTGCTATAGATAACTGTTTTTGTTCAAATGGCACACTATATATTTTTTTATCAATTCTGGAAGATATTTTTTTTCTGCATTCAGATATATAAGGAACTCTATAGTTTCATTAGAAATATTGTTAGAAAAACAGCAAAAAAGATTAACCCTACATTTCTTATCTTTATTTTGAAAAATGATAGCCAGCTGCGGAAGCAAGCTACTATGTTTTTTAAAGTATCAAATTTTATTTGTAATACGATAATAATATAACAATTTAAAACAATACTTATTTCAAATGTTCAAAAGGGCCTACATATAGCTCTGTTTATGACTCCCTCTCTACACTCTACTCTTATTCTATTTTTAAGGTCGTCAATATCATTTAGGTAAGGGCAAAGAAAGAGTGAGATCCAGAGATCTAACAGGCCATTTAACATCTTTATCGAATGTTCTTCATCTCTTGCCCTTCTGGGTTTAAAAACTCTTATTTTCTTTTGAAAACTTTCATCTGCCACCAAATTCCTGGCTAACTTTCCGAAAATTTTATCTGATGGATTATTTTGACACACCGTTATTTAGAAACTTCAAAATTCAATTGTTTCCACAGCTGGCTATCATTTTTCAGAATAAAGCTACTGAAAGTAGGGTTCACCTTTTTTGCTGGTTTTCTAGCAAAATTTCTAATGAAACTATAGACTTCCTTATATAGCCGAAGGCAGAAAAAAAATATCTTCCAGAATTGATAAAAAAATATATAGTGTGCCATTTGAACAAAAACAGTTGACTATAGCAATTTTGACATATGTTACCATAGAGACGATCTAATATCATTAATAGAGTTTAGGCGGCGATTTAAAAATATATAGGGTTTGTTATAGCTAATTGTTAAAATAAAAGAGATACAGGGCCGGGAATACCAAACTGAATCACCCGGTATATTTGCATTATATTTAGTTCGTTTAGGCTTTCCTCCCGTACCGCCTGCCACGCAAGAGATCTATCGAACCTCCTTAAACCCAGTCGTATGTGCGCTGTTTATTAGTATTGCCTGTTATTACCTTTTCAAATCAACTGCGTGAATCTGAGTGTCAGAGAGTATTTCTTACCATTGTTTTAAAGCATTGTGTTTAGTCTGTGATTCTCAGTGTTAGTGAAAACGAGAATGGTCAAATACGTCAGCACTTAATTTTATATTTATTTTAGTTTTTGTTTTATCCATTAGGTGTTTGTAGCAAGGTAAAAAATTTTGCAACAAAATGAGTAAGTCTGATTAACAAAAAGTCTCCTTTCCCGTAACACCAAGCGGGTGGTTTTAGTTAACCTAAATAGTTACATATTCGTCCCTCTTATCACGTAGGGGCGTATAATCCAAGAAATTGATATACACATACGCCTCTATGTGATAATAAGGACGAATATATATATATATATATGTATGTATATATATGTATGTATATATATGTAAATATTTTTAGAAAGAGATCACAAAGCCTCGGCAAAATCTGAAAAAATTAAACAAAAAGGTGTTTAGGATTTGAAATTTTATATCAGCAAGTCGCTGATTGCGTGACCTTTTTTGTTTTTTTGTTTTTTGTTTTTATAATCAATGCAAAAAGTGTAGGTGTTTAAAATTGAATCAAACCAAAAAGGGCCTCCATAGAGCTTACAGCTGGGCCTCATTATAGGTTAATCTGGCCTTACAAATTCTACCTCCAGTGACAAGTCTGAGCTGTCATAATTTATTATATATAGCAGACGTCTCTCCTTGTTTGGGCAATATCAGGAAATCATAGTAACACATCGTTTATAAAAAAACCAAAAAATAAAAACTTACCTCATTATTTTCCCGTCTGCCTTTCCACCACCCTTCTCTATAGCCCTCCAATCCTATGATAGTAATTATCTCTCCTTCTACAACTCTCAACTGGTTTGGGTCTCGTGCTTCGAAATTTTTTAAAATCACTGCTCTTAACTGTCTATAAGGCCAAAGTAGCTTTGTGTCTTCTTCCAATCTATAAAATAATATATTGTACGGGGGGTTGTGCATAATAATCCTAGCTCCTAAAATATTTTGACCGAACGATCTAAAAACTAGAATCTTAGAGCTTCAAAATGCTTTTTTTTAATTCCCGATATGACCTTTTTTCACCTAAATACAGTCTGTCAAAAATCACGGAAAAATTTCAGAAATTCTTTTGCATTAGTGTATATTATATGCACACACAAATTTAATGTATGTATATATGTATCAATATCTTTGTTAATAAACAATTAAAAGTAACGTTTTTTAATAATCGTGCCGGATTAATGAAATGAGATTTTACTGTATTACAGTTTATCCCCAATCAAAAATAAGAGTAGTAGTTCAAAAGAACATTAGTTGCAAACATCATTTTTTATATACGGGGTGAATCATTAATATCTGTACACAGCTTAATGGCAGATTATTAACATCAAAATATAGCGATTGAGCCGAATATGCCTTAGTCAATTATTGCTCCTTTTCATTCTACTGGGTGTTAAAGTTGAAAAAATATTTTCGATTTTTTGCTATATTTTATCAAGGGTTTCCTGCCAGAAGGGCGTATCAAGAAAAAAAAAATTTTTCAGGAGCTAATAAAAACGTTTCAAAAATCAGTAGTAAAATTTAAGAGTTTGTTTATTACCTTATGTAACTGTTGATTAGTATATTTATCGCATATTATTATCAGCTTAGTGAATTATTTGAGAACATGTACAAACTTGACTAGGTACTTTAACTTGTAACTGAAGAGTAACAGTATGTAAACACAACAGAAAAATTGAGGTTATGAACGCCAACTAACTCAACGCATACTCGTGAATGCCATGAAATTTCGTCATGTCAGAAAGCCATATGTTCATACGACCTAGAAAATATATGTACAATTTCATTACAAAGGGACGTATGTACATACAACCTTCTGGGTTAATCGAAGTAATAATTGTTCATATGACCAAGAAAAGGATTGTGTGGCACTGTTATTATTGGTGTGGTAGATACGACCTTTTGTCACGACAGCCTTATGGTATTGGGTATCAAAGTTAACTCATAAACCCAAAATGGCACTTTTGTGGATACGTCCTTTTGGCAGGAAACCCTCGATGTATGTATGGTCCGATTGATTGTTTTGAAAATTTGTAGTTTCATGTTTTTTGAGGCGGCAAATACGAATATGCAAACAGTCACGTTACGTTTAGGAGGCGCTAGCTATGTTCTCCTATCAATGTAAAAATATGTCTAACTTTTTGTATTTAACAATTTTAAATTTCTTAACTAGAAATTATTGAACTATGTTCAATTTCGACACATTTTGACATTTTAAGTTTTGAGATTCGGCGGGAATTAAATTTAAAAATTTAAAAACTTGACACTACAAATTTTCAAAACAATCAGTCCATACATACTTAAAATATATCAAAAAATCGAAAATATTTTTTCCAACTTTAACACCCTGTAGAACGAAAAGGAGCAACAATTCATTAAGACATGTTTAGCTCAATCACTATATTTTGACGTTAACAATTTCCTTCATGCTGGCAATTAAATTTGGTAAAATTAAAAATTATTAAAACAATAAGATCACGATTACATTCAAACACAACATTACAAACGAGAAAAGATTATACTTGAATCTTTTTTTGTAATTTACATTATTTGTAATATTCTTACTTTTCAAAATTCTCCTTTAGGCTGTAGTTTTGATAATTAACCACCAACTCCTCGATAGTACTAAAAAACTTCGATTCCGACAAGTAATACTTCTTGGAATCGCTCGGCACGTCATTGGTGCAACAAATTTTCATATGCTTCACCGTATTGTCAGTCCTAAAACGACACACAAATTAGCAACGAGTACCACCTTAAAAACATGGTACTTGCTTCAAAGTTAAGGCGTACTGGCCCTTTTCGTCGTTCTGAGGCCGGATTCGTACCAAGTAAGTGCCGTTCTCCCTCTTATCCAACTTTGTGGTGGCGGTGGTCCTGTCCATCTCGCCGACGAACCACAACTTTTCCCTCATAGGTTCGCCGTTCATGCCGTTTAACAAACTGGTGTTGACGTGCAGGGGCATCTGCCCGCACTTCCCTGAATACTGGATACACGTTTTGTGGACGGCTATGTGACATTTACTGCATTTGTAACCTTGGTATATGAGGCCCTTCAGGTATTTGGAACAGTGGTGGCACTGAACCGGAGACGGAAAAGTTTGCAAGTCGAAATTGTGAGTAGTTCGTTGCAACGTCTTCGGATGTAAATTATCCCTAAGGTACAAATTGAAAATAAATAGGATTTACATCGATATAGGCACAACTAAAAATAGATATAGACTCCATAGTTGATTTTGTCTCTGGCGAATGCTAATCTCACTTCGACTATTTTTTTTGTTATACATTTATACCTCAGTAACGAGTAACTAAGCTTATACATTAAAAAAAAAAATTTGCTCTTTCAAATATAGGATCCAATTTTAGTTTGACTACGTACATGTGAATTTATTTACAACTGGAATACTCACAAAGCATCAGTTATTGCCTTTATAATTTGTTGCTTGAGCTCTATCGACTTCACGAAAATAGTATAAACGTTCTCGCTGTTATTTTTTACGAGATAAAACTGATAAGTCCACCTGGCCTCCTTCGTCAGGAGAGGTCTGTTGTGAACCTCCTCGATGTGATAGTCGGCGATGTTTATGATATCCCGATAGGCAAACTGGTTACCCTACGATTTAAAATTCGTCACGTGAATGTGAAACAAGGAGGAAAACACTTACCTTTAGCTGTTTGCAAATCAAAACGCACTTGTCGAATATAAAAACGTAGCGATTTTTAATCTTCTGATCCTGGTGGGCCTTGATTTTCAGTTCGGCGTCTTTCATAAGCCTACCGAAGTCTGACAATCTCATGTCTTCGATCTCCCACTCCGTTATTGTTTCCTGGAGGTTATTTATCACTTCCAGGTGTTCGCTGTCTTTCGCCGCCTCATTTATGTAACCGGCCACGTCCAACATAGCTTCCCTCGCCCGTCGCAAGTCGTTAAATTCTTCATGATTCTAGAAGAAACGTTTGTACAGGGTTGTTTGAATTTTTTTTTTAATTAAATAGATGGATCATTAAAAAAAATATAAAGTAGATTTGTTAATTTTTTTCAAGACTGAAGTTTTTGAGAGCCTATTATAGACTAAAAATAGATATATTTCATTACTTACCGGATCTGTGTGCTCTATTAACTTATCAAGCAGCAGGTGATACTTTAAAATACGCTGCATAGGAACAGAAAGGACGTCTCGCAATTTAAACCTCCCGTTATTGTCTTCTTTTTCGTATTTCTATAAAAAAAGCATACTTTCGTCCGAATTTACTTAAAAATTATGAGAAAAAAACTTACAATGACAGCTTGGTTGAACGTTTCGTCGTTATCGCACAGTTCCTGAAGCAAGGTGGTAGCTTTGGTTAAATTCGCGCAGTACTTTCCATAAAGTAAAAATTTCTCTCTGAATCTCATAAAAATATTGCTCAGTTTCACGGTGGGGTTACTTTTAATCCTTAATAGTTCGTGTAAAAATTCCGCATGTATATCGCGTAACTCCTGAAATACAAATATTTAAACATTTTAACCATATGCCTATATAAATATGTTAACCTTAATTTGAAAGAATACTGTGTTGTGTTCGTCAGGCTTCATTTGGTTCATAAGGGGTTGCATAAAATTATTCTTCAGCTTACTTAAAACGTCGACATAATTCTTTTCCGTGTCCAACAGTTCTTTTATTACGAAATCACGTTTTTCGAAAGTCGGAGGTTGCTAGAATAAGAAACTAATTAACAACCAACCATTGTAATATATAAAAGGATCACGTTTTGATTATTTGGAAGGATAAAAACAAATTACACAGGACGACAAAAAAAAATCGACGAAAGGTCTCCTCGGCCAAACCTATCGTATTATATGTTTTTTGGGTCGCTGAAACTGAATCTGCAACTCATTTGGTCCCATCACGTCAGAGTTTTTTTCTAACCTCAAAAAATAGCTGAAAAATGGTAGAATTCAACAAAATCAACCCTGCAACCTGTTAAAACCTTATAACTCCACATCCTTATGATCCCGAACGAGCTCGACAAGCCGTAAAATGATAACTCGCAACCGTAAAAATACATAACCTGAAAATTGGATGAGCACAAAATCCAAAAACCCAAAATAAGCAGTGAATAAACTTTACACATAGGGCACAAACCTTCATTAATCGCCACCCTCACCCTTATTAATGCCGGCCTTGGTTTTGAAGTTTTGGGGTTATTCAGCTTCGGGGATTTGAGGTTTCAGATCAGATTGAGGCCTTGTCGCGTTTGCAGGTTATGGGGTTTTGGGGTTTTAGGTTAAGTGTTTACTATTCAAAAATGAAGGTTTGTGCCCTATGTGTAAGTTTATTCGCTGCTTATTTTGGATTTTGGGCTCAACCAATTTTGAGGTTATGTATTTTTACGGTTGCGAGTTATCATTTTACGGCTTGTCGAGCTCGTTCGGGATCATAAGGATGTGGAGTTATAAGATTATAACTTGTTGCAGGGTTGATTTTGTTGAATTCTACCATTTTTCAGCTATTTTTTGAGGTTAGAAAAACTCTTGACGTGATGGGACCAAATTAGTTGCAGATTCGGTTTCAGCGACCCAAAAAACCTACAATACGATAGGTTTGGCCGAGGAGAGCTTTCGTCAATTTTTTTGTGGTCCTGTATTATTTAACTCAATGAGTCGTTTAATTGAAACATTTACGTTATATCCCCCTTGTGATCAGCACGTAATCAATATAAGTTAAAAAAAATAGGGCACTGTACCTCTACAGAGGTTTGATCGAGACACAGGTCTTGATATATTTCCTCACTGGTCATATCAAAATCACATTCTGGTACGACAACTCCTCTGGCTCTAACCGGCATCTCACTAACATATAAAAAAAAGCCATGCAAAAATTAAGTAACCGTGACAACAGAGAAAAGAAATTTAATAATGCAAAATATAATTATAAAACGAATACCATTAATTGCTTGCTAAGTGTTCGTAAATTAACATTCGCCTATAAATTGTTTCATGGAAAATTGTAACTAAATGAAACAAAACTAAAAAATAAGTACACCTATTAACGAAATTTTAATTAAGAGGAGGAAATGTGTAATATAAAAATTATACTATAACTTTAAATGGGGGTCAATTTTTTTAGTGGTAACTGGTAATATGTGTTTCCCATAATACCAACCTGAAATATATTTTTTTAATCAAATAGTCGTTATAATTCGTTTTTTAAACTATATCAACTACTCTACGTGTTGGGCAGCTCTCAAACTTGATTTTGTGTGCCTGTTGCCATTTTACTATAACTAAAATAAACTGGATAAACCATTTAAACAGTATAAAACTAACGAAGTGACAGTGAAACTGCAATAGAAAATATTTAAATAAAAACAAAATCTTTTTTCTAGTGTTTTAAAAAATATATATGATTTTTGCATAATTTATAATACAGGGTGTTTCATAACTCTACCGACACAGAGCAGGCACATGTAGGGGCTCTTAAAATATTCCGAGATGTTATGTAACATTTTTCCTGGGATGTACCGTTGAAGAGATCAGTGAAGATGAAGATTATTAAATTTTGAAAAACAATAATATTTCAGCAATGCCTTAACATAGAGCAACTAAATTTGGTACATAATTTGTGTCTATTGTTATCTTTAATTGGTAAAAATATGAATTTGTTCGGACTAGGTGTAGGGTGCCCTTAACATGTTATCAATTTTTTTATCAGTATGCCAATTATGAAATAATTTTACCAGTATTACAGGAAATTTAATTTTAAAGAATTTTTTACTCTTACAAATTTTTCGAAAAAAATATGGTTTTTGAGGAAATCGGAATTTTGTGAAACAGCGTGATTACTACACTAAAACCGCTGTATCTTTTCCATTGCGTCATAAGCAATATTCATATGAACTAAGTCCTAAAATCCTAGTCGAATTAGTCAGTTTTCATATAATTGAAATGTCATCTTGACAATTTCCAAATCTGGATATCTCGCAAATTTTACTGGATACGAAAATATGTCAAAAAATCGATATTTCAACGCTCAGAAAATATATACAACAGTTAGTACGGAGACACGATCAAAACAACTGTCAAATTTTTAATATAAGTGTCAGTTCTGTTTTGTTTTAAATGAGCTAGACAAACTACATTCTAAAATTAATACCCAACAAACGTCTTCCATTTTCTTTCACTCTAATACACATAAAATATTGGAATGGTTGTCTGTGATAGATTGAGACTATGAAGACATTTATACCATCATTGTATTTCCTTTTAGCGGGTTTAATAATGAATTCACGTCCGCGGCGACTGTCTGATATTACGACATACTCGTGACGTAATGGCAATCTTAAAACGGTTCTAGTGTAACTGAATCGGACAAAAAGTAAAATGTGCAGTTTTACGACTAGTAGGCTATGATTTCAAGTGTCATTTTTGACGTTCACAAAAAAGTCTCAAGGAAAAGGAATTTCATTAAATTAGATTCTATATTTTGTTTTTAACACATTAAAAAAAGAGGAACCTTACAATCAAAACATTAACAAATTCCACTTTAACCATATGAACTACCGATATCATTAAATAGCTCTACAGTAACTGTTGAAAATGGCCACCATTTTCTCCAATACATAAATTTACTCTCCGCCGAAAATTAGTCTACTCTGCGCAATAACTGTGGATAATTTCTTATGACGTTGCATTTATTATATATAGGATCCCATAAATCTGTTTCAGATACAAACGGTATAAAATAAACAAATTCTTTTAAAGCCCCCCAGAGAAAGAAATCACATTTATTCAGATCTGGTAATCTTGGTAGCCAATTTTCTGCACAATTGTTTCCTCGTCCTATCCATGTATTTGGGAACTACAGATTCAAGAAGTCTTATTGCATGTGGATTTTCATCCGAATATTCATTGAAATTGTGCAAATTTGTGATTTCTCTTCGAGTGAAACAGGCCTCGTCTATAATACCATGACGCAAAATGAAATTATAAAAAGTCTTTGACCTAAATTTTGGGGTAACAATTGTTGAATATTCTGGATATGATAAGGATGAAGCAGACTATATCTTATAATTCGATGGACCGTGGCATGTGGTATATTAAATTGTCCAGATAATCGTCTAGTGCTGATACGAGCGTTATTTTTCAATACTTCTTAAAAGTCGTACCTCGTTTCTTACGTTTATTGCATGATTAACAGGTCCTCCTTCGTTGCTGACTAGAAACGATCCAGTCTTTTGAGCCCTCCTCTCAAAATTAGCAAAAGTCTCCCAGTGTGGAATCAAACGATCAGGAAATATTATTCGGTACTCATGTATACTTCATCGACAATTACCCTCACAAAACCCCAATACTAACAACATGTCAACTATTTTATAAAATGAAATTTTTACAGGCATTTTTCAAGACGATGGAATAGTATGTAGTAATGTTAGGTCTATGAGTAATGTGCAGTTTTTGTGAATGACAAAAATGACACATGAAATCGTAGCCTACTAGTCGTAAAACTGCATACTTTACTTTTTTTCGTAATTAATTTTCACAAAATCCTGAATTTCTCATAAACCGTTATTTTTTTGAAAAATTTGTAGACAATTAGTTTCCGTTTTATAAAATGTACATAATAAATTAAAAAATCTATAAAAATACTAATCTAATAGATCTGAAGTATTTTTCAAAAACATTTCAATCAAGTTTTTAATAAAAATTATGTTACTATTTTTTTAGAGCACTGTGTTCAGTTTATGAATCTTAGTGTCAACGAACTCTACATAATTCAATGAAAAGAGAATGGCCGAATATATTACCTCTTCATTTCATTAGAAGGTAATACCATAGGTAATTTCATGACTGTAAAGTATTGGATTTTACCAAAATCGAAATAAAATTTGTATATTATAGTGTTGTTTTGTTAAATTTAATTTTATAGTAAAATTTAAAGCGGTATTTAGTGAAATGTCTTGTGTAGTGCAGCGTATCTTCATTGTTAAATTTCTGTGTGATATGAAGAAAAAAGGACACAAATCAGGCGACGAGATTTGACAAAAATACATGTTATAGCTCCTGATTGGGTGTGTTTGTGGCTGGCGAATGTTATACTAGCTTGTCTAACGGCGGAGCACAAAAATTACAAAAAAAACAGGTTAAACATAGCTCAATTTTCCTGACAGAACTTGAGAGGAACAAAAACTTAAGACATCTGTTTCAGAACGTTATTGGTAGCCTCTGTATAAATATGACCCTCATTCGAAGTTATATCGTGAACTTCCAAACTACAGCAACGCCTTAAAATAAGATATTTAAGGAATAGGTTCCTTCATAAATAAATAAAAACATGTTTGAATGGGAAAATTGCATGAATGATAAGAAATAAGTAGTCTACATCAAAAAATGCAATGAAATCGTGTGTGCAACAACTGCCCACCTCTGGAAAACTAGACGAAAATGTGACGTAACACAAATCATCGTAAACCTCCTCCTCCCAATCTTCAGGTTGCGGACAAGGAATTTTAAATTGTAACCAACTTGGTTCTGAGCAATTTAGTCCTGAATTAAATCTAATTTCGCTATAGAAAAAAAAACAGAAATTCATTTTAGAACTTCTCGATTTTAAATCAAATTAAAATTGGCCACTTACACACTCTTTAGGCTCTGATAGATCACTTCTTCTTCCCTTTTCAATCTTTGAGCTGTAAATCCCCTAGAAATATAAAAATGCAAAATATATTTTCGATATAATGAATGGGAATGATACAGTTTAACCTTCTTAATCAAACGATCAATATTTCAACAATACTAGATTTATTATATTATCCTTTCAAAGCTATTGCAAAATTTTATTTGTTTCCAGATATGTTTAAAATTAATTACACTAAAAGGTAATTAATTTAGATTTAATAGACTTTCTAATAAATTTCTAACAAATATTTAGATTAAGAAGCATCTGCTCTTTATAACAGCAGACTCTTGTTTACATAAGTAAAATATGTAATCTATTTTTTACTTGTATTATTGTTACGGATAATTATAAAATTGCTTGTAGAGGTTCAATTCACAATACTCAACATGTTAAAAAAGTTTCAAATTGTTTCATTTACAATAAGAAATGTGCAATGTATAATAAACAAATTTCAATGTGATTGATTTTATTGGGAACATACAACACTAACTCCAAAGTTACTAAACATATTAAAAATTATTGCTTTACTACCTGTTTAAGCAGCTAAAGATTTTCCAACTAATAAAAAATCCTATAAAGTTTAATTATACCAGTTACAATAAAAACAGTTATGAATAACATATAAAACTTGCACAAGTACTTACGGTACTTTTCCTCTCAGAGCTTTTGGACTTAAGGAAAGCTTTGACAAAGTGCAAAGGACTTTGTGGAAATTTGTCAAATCGAATAGCATCGTATCATCGAAAAGGTCGATGCGCTTTAGTCCAAAATTGTCCATACATGTCTTTAGGAACAAGTTTATATTACGTAGGCATAAAAACTGGAGAAAAAATTTTAATCAATTATACTTTTGTCTCTCGGTAAATGTTTCACGTACCTGAGCCATGGTAGGTTTGAGGTTTACGTCTTTCATGTCGAGACAACCTGGGTCTATTTTATTGAGCAATTTACATAGTAATACTCCATCTCGAAGGATGTTTGCCAGATCTGCTATGCACGCATTAGGCCAGTTTGCTTTATGATCCGATCTCAGCATCTCCCAACGGGTAAGCCAAGTAGCACATTCTCTCCACAATTCATCATTAGCTTCGTTTTCTTCAAAAGCTGCAGCCATTTTAATTAATTCTCTAAAAAAACAGAAACAAAAAGAATATCTATATCAAAAGAAAGTATAACTGCTTAATTGAAAGAATATTACGAACCTCTGAAATTATATTCATAACTTTGTTTATACAATTGTAGAAAATTCAATAAATGCAGTAATCACATTGTTTTATCAGTTATCATTCTTTACTTTTATCACTGCACTGATAAAATTAACGCCACAAAACATAAAGTACACAACACCATGTTGCTATTTTACAAGATAATTATTACTATTATGTCGATTATACGATAGTCGATTTTATCGACACAAAAGTGGCATTCAATGAAAAAAAGATCCAGGCTGATATGAATCAATTTTGTTCAACACTTTTGGAATTTGGAAGTATATTGTTTATTTCGGTTAACTTACCAGTATACCAGATACATATTTTATTTCGTCTTTATTTATCAGCTGCATTTAAGTCATTGTTCAAATAAACATTCTCATATTTTTATAAGCAATGCATTTTAAAAGAATGTTGTTTGAATATAATTGATCTTAAACAAAATTTAGCTATTGGGTATTCTAGAAAAGTTAAAACTTGAACTGATCTTCATACATAATATTTTCGATGTGATCGTTCTGTTCGAGAGAATTAAAAATATTTTATATTTCAAATCGAAAAATTAGATGAACACGCCAATCGAAAAGGAACCAGACTAATACCAACAGAAATACCAACGGAATCTTCTAGAAAAATAAAAAGAACTAGAATCAGCTTGTCATCGCTGTTAAAATTGCAAATGGCAGATGCGATGGCCGCAAGCAGTGGCGGAGTAGATTGGGCCACAATATTAAAACCATTTTTATCTGTGAATTACGAGACTTCTAACAAAGCAGAATTGATAGAATTATGTTCAGCGATCGTAAAGAGGTATGTTAATCATTTTGAAAAGTGTTGATAACTCGCGATGCGTTCTTAATACGCAATAAATTGTATTGACAGTAACTGATTTTCTCAATAGACATTTTGTTTATTCGATTTTTTGTTTTTTTAGTGAATCTGAGATTTTACGCCACAAGGATAGTAACAAAAACTTTTATAATCACTTTGCTGTGTTAGCCTCAGATTATATTAGCAGCAGTACATCTGGCTGTAAGTATTTTTTTTGTTTGGTTAGGTCCTTGAAATTATAAAAAATTGATATAAATTATTCGATTCAGGATGCCCTATATCTAAAAAAACATCTTCTGAATCCGTTGTCTTTAATCCATTTGTTTAGCTTGGCAAACATAAATGTTTATTTACCTTGATTTACAAACACTTTTTCACAAGTGTCTTATCATTGGATAGTGACTTCTTTCTACCATTTTTATTTGTATTTAACTACTGTTTATCTTTAAATTTTAAATTATATTTTATGTTTGCGACATGCTTTCGATTTATAAGATGTTACAACATGAATGTTCTAATAGTCATATTTGCACCTACTTTATTAACATATATTTCCATCTGTCTAGGTATTTTGAGATTCTCACTCCGCAAATAACTTTAAATTTAAAAAGCATCAATACGCTTTGCAAATATTGTAACATTGTGTAACATGTTCAAATCGGAAGCACTTCTCATTTCACAGTACAGATATATGTGTTAAATACACCTTTTTTTGTGATAACAGTGTCCGCAAGTCAGTTAGAGACAGTTAGTGCTGCATGTCGTGTTTTACTCAAGTATTTATTAAGTGCCCTACAGACAGCTAGTAGTGATACGAACATCTCTAATAACCAAATCAAACGTTATTTAAATGCGGTTCGAGTGTTGTGCATAGGAAAAGGTCTGCTGACCACCACAGAAGTTACTGTCCTTGTCGACACCATGAAGGGGGAAAATTTGCCCCAACATGCCAATCCTACACCAACAGGTGAGTTATGTTTAACAATTATTATCATTGTTGTTATCATAGAGGGATTCTAATATGATTCTTAATAGTTATTGATTTCATCATTATGTAATAAATATATGCGAAGAGTACAGATATTTTAAAATTCACCAAAATTAATTTTGTTGCACTAATATGTCATTCATAAAATTTCTAATCAGTATTGCATTGCCACAATATAGTTATTTTAACAATTAATTTTTTATTGCTATTTTGAATTTTTTATCAGTGTATTTATACAATATGTATTTTGCTTCTAATTTTATAGTTGAATCACAAGATGTAGGAGGGTAATTCTCTTTTCTCTTCCTCAAAAAAAGAGCCATTAAATAAGATTTAAAATAGATTTTCTTGGCAGGGGAACATTATAAACACTTGAAAATAAGTCACAGTTCATTATTGTACAAAAAAACTGAATGTGTGCCAATTTTTTTTAAATATTTTTTACTTAAAAATATTTTTGTTCATAAGTGATACATTTTTTTCAACTTGACTTGCCTATATGAGTTATTGTGTTAAAATTAATTTAAAATTAAAAATTACATTTTCAATCAGCCCTGTATTAACCTATCAAAATAGATATTGTTAGTATTATTACTTACCGGTTATACAAAGAATTGTATGGTTGAACGGAGCATTGCATTTTTTCCATAGGCAATGAAAAGGATGTAAGCAACAAGCAAGAGAGTTCCAAGACCCGATCTGACCTATCGATTAGCATTTTTGAACAACTGACTTTACCATTAAGAGATGGACATACCACAACCCTTGACCAAAGCCCTAGCGGAACAACTAGTGCGCCAGAGACTTCTGCTGGAAATGATCCCACATCTGAAATTAATGTAAGCAAAATAATGACTATACCATAATTATGTGATAACTATAGTTCGGGAAATGTCGCTGGTAACAGTTATATTCAGTTAGGAGCCAATTAACTGTTTTTTTATGCATTTATTTTGAAAGACTTCACAATTGTCTTAGTTGCAGTTGCCTTATGTGTTTAAGCAGGTTCGATACATCTCTTGCGGCGCAGGCGGTGCGGGAGGGAAGCCTATGTTTATACACGGTAGTTTCGTTGTAGTACCAACCTTACATAAACTAATTTGAGCAAACTAAATATAACATATACAACAAATATTAGCTTACATATATTTTTCATATTTAATGCATGACAATTAACTTTTTATTTGAATAAAAGTGTATTTATTCATTAAGAGCTTGTAAAATTATTAATGAAATCTGGCAACATTGCCATTGTCACGGCCTGATGGTAAAAGTTGGGTCAACTGCGATTACTGTCAACTGTGCTTTGCACGTATTCTGTAAACATGAATGAATATCCAAGGTACAAAGGAAAAGTAATGACTGAAAAGCAATATAAAATGTGTGAAACAGAATGTGGATTGATGAGAAAAAAGTAAAATATGCAAATCGAGAATCTATATAATAACTATCAAGCAGCTCAATGTATGACAGTGAGACGTCGCCGTCAGAACATCTCTACTGTTTGTTTTGCAAAGAGATCCTTTCAGTTTTTGTTTCAAATTGCTATTATATTGCATTAGATTATGAAAAATTTATTTAATATTAATTATTACCACATATGTTTTCGATTGGAATAATTTTATAATCTATAATCGACCTATTCAAATATAGCGTATCAGTCGAAGCGTTAAATACAGCGTACAGTGTTGCCATATTTCCTTTCATTGGATCAGATGTTTCTTCAAATTTCAATTTGTCAAAACGTTATATATTCATTCCGTTATCAATAATTATATTGTAAGTGCGTATTTTTATTGTTTTAAAATGTTTAGTAATATTTAATTCTTTAATTACAATTTTATTTTCCCGATCCTAACCATTTTTAAGAGCAATATTCAGGTTTGCTTAAAGTTTTTTCCCAACTCGCAGGAGAGCCTGTATATAAGAGCATAATTTTTAATATCATTTTTCAAAAAAACTATATTGGCAATCGATCTGATATTTTTACACGAAGCAGTTGGCATATTTATTAACAGATTTCGATGATTTTGAAAACTTTACCTCCTTAAATTACTAAATATACCAATAATCTGCATTAACTATTTAAGAGCAATAGTTAATGAAGGCAAAAGGATAAGGAACATAATTTATTTTACATGTGATCTTATAGTGATCCGTAAAGTTGTATGATATATTTTCTCGGCATTTTTTTATTACTTTAATCTCGATGATAGCATCAACATACACAAATTACGAAACTTACTAAAGGATCATTGTGATCACGGTGGCATGTTATATTAATGGATGCTATGCTGTCTTAGTTAAGACAGAAATGAAATTGGAATCATATAAATTATCGCTAAATGTATACTTTTAACTGTTGGAAAATATACGGTTTTATGTACAACGTAATCATCAAAAATCCTAGAAAATGTTTCAATTTTTTCCCGGGCCATACTCCATTTAACAAAATACAAAATTTCTGTGGTATTGATTTTTTTTTTAAATTATGATTAGGTTCTATTTAAAATTGTATTCCTAACAAAAAAATTCTTTGAATTCTTTTTTAGAAAAAGTTCTAGAATTATTTTGTGAAGTAATTGATAACAATAATGTAAGAAATATGTATAAAATCAAAGATATCTTTTTTCTTGGAAAATTTGCAAGCAATGATTGAATTTCCTGGGACTTTTAAAAAAGTGATTCCTGCTACCTCCTCGATTGGTATAGATATTTACGTATATCCAAGTTCAGTTAATAGTAGTGATGGATAAACCTGCTTTTATTCGTTAAATTAAAAATAGGATCTCCTGCTCAACATGTTTAAGTAGAGCATCACAAGTCTCCCAAAATGCTTCAGCTATTAATTAATTTCTACTAGTTTACTATGCAGAATGTCCCATTTGAAATCGACTCTTCCATAGCTCTAATAATGTACATTTCAAGTAAAAATTGTATCAAATCAATTTCTTCATATTTTGAAATAATTTTCCACTATACAAGGTGTCCCATTTGTTCTGGATGTTCCTGACATTTTTTTTAAGAATGGAGTTTGAAGCATACTTGAAAATATCAAATATTCCTGACAGCAAAATATGGCTCTTCGCTCACCTTGTTGTCATATCATATCAAGTGGATAGATATTATGTAGACTAAATAGAGATCATTCACACTGAAATTCACATACTAAACGCAATGCTTAAAAAAATGAAAAATAATTTTTATTAAAAACTTGAAATTATAAAAAAAAATATTTCTATCAGAACGGGAGACATTGAACGGTCGTTTTCCAAGTCACTATTAAGTGATCAAAATTTCACTAAAGCACATAACGATGTGTTTTATACACGTCCAATACAGCCCCCTTGTCTGATTTCTAAACTTTGTTGTCTAACCGTTTTTACTTTTACTTATTTTCTCAACTTTTCTGTTTAGTGTTACTATTTATTAGTTTAGCAGTGTTAGTGCCGTGTGTCCTTGAACTCTACTGCGTGTTCCCAAACTCTATTTATAATTTTTTTTTAACATTTATAGACTAATTTAAATATTTTGTTGTAGAAGCTATTTCTTAAAACCAACACCGAAAGTTTGCAAGCTCTCAGAGCAGGAGATACTCTCGTGGATCTTTGTTTGAATCTACCTTCTATAAAAAGAGCAAAAACCAAAGTCGAAGATGCCTTGGCCGGCAAACCCTTCAGCATACCCACCACTCATTCCGAGGCCACAGCTCTAAGAAACGGGTACGTGGAAAAAAATATTTCCTAAAAACCATTAAATATAATATTTAAATTTTTTCTTTAGGCTCGCCTCAAACGTGTCTGAAATCAACTTGGCCATGTCGGCGATAAATTTGCCCGTCCTAGAACCTCTCACGCCCAGTAAGCTAGATAAGCTATGCAGTCTAGCGATGGCAGTGCTGCACTGTGCCGTTGGACAAGCGACTGCGAGTGCAGTTTTGTCTACCGGAACGGCGGTATCCCCGAAATGTTCTAATCAACCGAACCAAACAGGATTGAAGGAAGACGATTTGGATTCCAATGCCGTGGCATTGGTGGAAGAAGCCCTGAATATGTACAGTTACATCGGCAATACTATTAAAGCTTCGACGAGAGCTGGAGGACATGTAAGTACATGTTATGAAAATTTAAATGTGAAACGGAATTATCTTTACCTTATTTTTGGAATTTTACTAATTTTAAGTAGATAAATAATCATTTTCACTTGTATAATAATAATAATAATAATAATAATAACACAACTTTATTTCAAAATAACAGTGCAATGTACAAAACAGTAGTGTAGTTTACACCATCAGATGAAATAGTAGTCAAAAATATAACAATAACAAAACAAAACAAAGAAAACATAGATGGATGATCAATGATACATTACTGTTAAAGCAAACATTAATTTTGTAAATATTCATTTAAACTGTATGGTTCCAAATTTAATAACATTTTGTGTATATATTTTTTGTACTGGGATAAACTCTGGGTATTTTTCACCTCTTGAGGGAGTTTATTATAGAATTTTATGCAAGTATAATGAACATTCTTCTCAGTTAATGTTAAATGATGTATGGGAAAGATTAAATTTGTATTTCTAGTATAGTAAAAGTTAGTTTGAAAACATTCCCTAAATAAATTCTTATTTTTAAAAGTGAAAAGTAAAATTTCTTGGATATATACGGCAAAAACTGTTAATAAACCATTTGACCTAAATCTTCCACGGCAAGACACACTTTGTGCGAGCCTCAACAAACACCTCAAAGTTCTTTTTTGAGAAATGAACAACCTATTTATGTGGATACTTTGACCAAAGAAAATTATTCCATATCGGAATACAGACTCAAAATTTGCATAATAAATCACTTTGAGGGTTTTGAGATCCAAATACTTAGTCAACACCCTAATACTATAGCATACACTATTCAACCTTTTTTCAATGCACTCGATATGAAAGGACCAACTAAGTGTGTCATCTAAGTGTATTCCAAGAAACTTCATATTTTCTTCCACTTTGCAGCTCATAGTGTTACTTAATTTGAAACTGTCCGGAGATATATAGCTGCTTTGTCTTGTTTTAAATAACATAACTTTTGTCTTATCCTGATTTACAACTAATTTATTTTTACTGCACCAATCAAGTATTCTATTGTAAACATATACAATTTTTTCTCGTATATCACTAAAATTTGACCCACAAATAAGAACGGTTGTATCATCAGCATACTGGACACAATAACCCTTTGTGCCGTCAATGTGTAGTGGCAAATCATTTACAAAAATCAGAAACAACAGCGGTCCCAGGATACTCCCCTGAGGAACCCCAGTTGTAATTGGTACATACATCGAAGAGCAGGTTATCCCACTTTTAGTAATAGTGACCTTTTGTCTACGATTCGTTAAATATGACCGAAGCCAATCCAGAAGACTGCCACGGATCCCATATTGTTTGAACTTATTTATCAATATAGTATGGTCTACACAATCATATGCTCGTGACAAGTCAAGGAAAAGCCCCAGAGGCACTTCATTATTTTCAAGGCACTGTACAATTTTATAATTAAAATGATAAATGGCTGTACTCGTAGACCTGCCCTTTAAAAAACCATGTTGGGTTTCAGAGAATAACTGAGCAGATGACATATGGTTCATTATTCTGGAATAAACTATTAATTCAAATAATTTAGCAAAGGCTGACAATAAACTTATAGGCCTATAATTTAACATATTTTTAGGATCACCCTTTTTATACACTGGGGTTATTACAGCTAATTTTAATTGGTCAGGAAACATACCATACTTTAAGGAATTATTAATAATATACATAAGTGGTCTGGTTATTAAGGACATGACCTGTTTTACAATGTTTGCAGGGATTCCATCTTCACCACTGCTCATCTTATTTTTAATTTTTTTACTTAATTCTAATATCTCAGCCTCAGTTGTATAATCTAAAAGTATACATTGCTCAGCCTGCTGTATTCTACTAGGACTACATGAATTGGGTATCCCTATCAGCTGATGTGAAACAATTTCTTTTAAAAAATTAGAATAATCATTTGCAATATCTTGCGAATTTCCTGGTATCATAACACATCTATCTTTTACCTCACCTTTTACTTCTCTCACTATACTCCAAACACATTTACTCTTGTTATCTGATTCCATAATTCTATTTCTATAAGACTTACTTCTAGCATTCATTAACAATTTATTATAATTGTTTCTTACACTGTTATAAACTTGATTAAATTCCTTGCGAACATTACTGATTGTATACCATATATCCAACTGTCTCTTACATTCTTGGATATCCGAATCTACCTCATAAAACTGACACTTATCTCTAGTTTTCTTATTTCTAAACCTTTTCGTTGGAAAGGAGGCCTCAAACAGCCTCAAAAAAACTTTCATAAAACCATTCCACTGCTTGTCTATGTCTTGCTCCCTCACTGAGTAGACATCATTCCACTCAGTTGATTGTAAACTCTCCCTAAATCGATCTTTATTTTTACCACTAAATATTTTTTTATAACTGAAACCTTCATTTGAAATCGCCTCAATGTTGAAAATCACTTTTTGAGCTGTGTGATCTGATATCTTAGGATGCAACACTTCCGAAACATACGTATCACCGTTAATAAAGATATTATCGATACACGAACCACCATTAGAGGTGATTCGGGTATTTTCAAAGACTGTTTGATATAAACCATATGAGTTTAACAAAGAACACAATTCATTTTTCTTCTGATTATCCACAATAAGCTCAACATTAAAATCACCCGCAACAATAGTTATAGCATCCTCATCAAATATTTTCATTAGCATAGTCTCCAGTTTACTTAGAAACACCATGCTATCTCCATCCGGCGGTCTATATATTGAAACCACAATGAACCTTCTACCATATACATCCCCTTCTATAGCTGAACACTCGAAATTGTTTACTTCCGCTAACGACTTTATGTCGGATCTTTCATGACACTGTACTTCATTAGACGCATAAACTGCGCTTCCTCCATGTCTATTCACCTCTCTACAACAACTGGATATTAACTTGTAATTTTGTATACCATAGTTTGTCAATTGCTCCTGGCTCTTCCAGTGTTCAGTTACACAGAGAAATTTACAAGTTGGATGGCAACTCAGAAAACGATTACAGCCATCCACAGCATTACCAATAGATTGCAGATTCTGATGAATTACACTTACTTCATATAGTTTCATATCCCTACTAGAATGTACATTATGATTTTCGACCCTATCTATAAAAAAGAATTTGGTTGTGTTTGTGCAGATGAGTCGTTATCCTGTGGGTTATCCGTTCTGAAATTAAACCGCCGATATCCAACACCTCTAGGCCAAAAGGATGGATTATAGAAGTCATCTTTATATTTGAAGTTGGCTGCTACCATAAAACACTTAAGATTTGTCTTTGTCGTCTTAATCAACTTCACAACAAAATTTTCTGCGTGGTCCCCTGTTTTTTCGGCTAAGAACTCCTTTATATCACTTTCGGCAACTTCTGGAACGACACGGTAAATATACATCCATACCTTTGGGTTAAGACCTTTAAATTTCCCACCATGTTCTGACACTCCTATTTTTGATGTTTTCACTTTATTTATTTTTTGTACATAATTTCCCTGGTTGTCGTCGTTCTGGTAACTTCTGTTCTCACTTTCCACATCTAAATTTATTACTGATCGCATAATCTTTCTTTGCTCACTCTGTAAAATATCCAAATTTCTGTTTATATTTACCTCCTGGTTTTTATCGTTTATTGACTCCTGCTTTTTATTTCTAGTTTTCACCTTATCAGCAAAACTCTGTTTTTGTGTATCGACTACACTTTTTACCTTGCTTGAATTGTCCAGGATTTTATCTGAATTATAATTTATGGTTTGAAAACCACTTAATTTTTCTTCTAATAACATAACCTTCTGTTGGAGTAGATTAATTCTCAATCTCAATTTTATCATTAATTATAACTTCTTTGTCACAGATAATCTGTTGCAATAGTTTAATTTCTTCTTTCAGATGAGTTTCTTCTGCATTAAAAACAGCTGCACACATATCATCAGGTTTATTATCACCTAATCCTGTTCCACAGCAGGATTTTACCCTTGTTGCACAACTAGGATGATATATAAGCCCACACACATTGCACTTTGGGCCACTTTTAACTGAGTTTTTGCAATAATTACAAAGTTTTTTATTCTGAGACAGAACCACTGCCGGCTCATTGGCTGCCATTTTTATTTTTATTTTAATTTTTTATTTTTATTGAAACATAATGACCATTCAAGTACTTTAGAATTTGTTATTGTTAATTTGTTTAACTTAAAACGTCTCATATTTTTTTTACTGTCATTTAAATGTGAATATACAGGATGTAGAAACATGTATCAATACTTTATTTTTTTCAAATTCTGTCCTAAAAACTTTAATTTTTTTAAAACTTTGAAAATATTCGTAATCCTACTGCTGGACAAGTTAGTGACCAAGGTGCTGATTCTCCAGTTGTGCGATCAACATTCCCATAAGAAAGTGGGCGGAGTTTTCATAAAAACCTGCCAATTTCAATCGTACAACAAATTTATGCATTCTTGAATCAGGGCAGCAGTCGCATCACAAGTTTTGGATGGGAAAGCTGCTTCCTGTGCTATTTGTGTGTAATACAGACGATCTCATGAACATATTTAATTTTGACATTTGTGAATTCAAATTCAAATTAGTTTTTGAGATTAAACGTAAATTTGGTGATTATGCCGATTATGCTGTTGAAGAATGTGGCATTTTTTTACTAAATTTTGGGGAGGACAGTCCACTTTGCAACTCCTCGTGAGCTTCCATGAATTCTATAAGGAGCTCCTTCTGTCGATGAGTAATAGGAGTGGCACGACTTACTTTTTTTACGAGTACTTGACAATTCATATTTCTATCTTACTAGAAAATTAGAAATTCACAAATTACCGAAGTAGAAGTTGCATAGATTTGATCAAATCTATGAGAAATTATAACTGTCAATAATAGTCAAGGTCACAGTAATAATTTTTATTTTATAATGCTGGCCTGCAATCCGAAACCCACCATATTTAAATCGCCGACTCTGATTGGTCCAAACACTACAATAAAAGTGGCAACTATGGTCATTTCTTTCCCGTGAAACAAGACGAGGCGATCGCTTCGCACCTTGGTTGCATTAGTTGGAGAATACACATTTTGACATTCATGAGAACGTTGTGTGATGTGACCACATCGCATCAACTATAAAATCATCGCATCACATATACTCGAGAATCGACGTCCAAAGGTCACTGTAATCTCAAAAGTATTTCATACAACACAAAATTATACATTTCTACATCAATACCGTCAAAATGACATATGTTTCTGTACTATTTTTATTTTGAAAGTTTTTCATTTAAAAGAAGAAATGCTGTTAAGCATTTTTGAAAAATTGTATTTTGTAAAATAAGGACATTAAAAAAAGCTGTGAACCGCTAAATCAAGAATTCATCCACTATTACGAATTTTTATCGACTAAATTTTGTAGAAAATTCCTTGTGTTTGCATCACCACGTAAGAATTAAACATGTGGAATGTCGTGCTTATACACTATTCTGCTTTCAGTTCAATCATTAGGAAGATTGATTCATATTATCTAGCAGCTGCGGCGTGATACCATTAAGATATAAAATGGAAATATTGTTTTTTATATTTACATATTGACCTATTAATATCCATATTTTGCCCTCTTTAGACCCTTTAGACCTTTTACCTTTAGAATGTAGGCCATATTGTACCATTTAAACTGTCTAATGTTTGCGGCCTATTACCGATCAACGATATATTCATATCTAAGTGGTCTATTGGATACTGATTCTAAGTTGATGTGATATACAAATTTTCCAAAGCCTTTAAAAAAAGGCAGGCTTCATAAGTTTGGTATGTGCATTCCTCTTCTAGAATGGATGGAAACTTATCCTTCAAAGAGACATCAGGTTTTCAATTTTCAAAACTTCATATCTTTCAAAATCTCAACAGTATAAGATGTGCCTCAAGGCTCTCACTTGGCACCACTGTTCATTAATATCTTTTTAAATGTCATCATAGAGTTTTGGTATTTTCAAAATAGTGTTAATTATTCGTTGAACACAACACTTTCCATTATGGTAACTAGGAAGTTTGGGGGATATTTTATTTATTTATTTATATTGCATACGTATAGACAAAGGGACAGTCCAATTACATGTATACAGTTGAGAAATGTTAGCTAATATAAAAACCAGTTAAAAATAATGTATAAACAACCAAACACATGCAAAATACAATGTAAAAAGAGAACAAAGAAAGAAAACAAAAAAAATGTCAATTAAAATGTACATAAAACACCCAATCGTATACGTATCATAAGTATGAGAGTAGCTTAGTCCGACTAATATTAAAAATATAAATATCGTATATTAACAAATTATTCACCGTACACAGACACTGTTCTAGGGGTGAATTAATATTAAATATTTTAAAAAGTCTATATCTAGTTGGCATTCTCATATCGGGTACATTAATATTAATAGACGCCAACAAATCGGGAACAACAATCTGACTATGTAAAATATTATAAGCGAACAAAATCTGAGCCCTTTCTTTTCTCCTATCCAAATAGGTCACACCAAACTCTGCTCGTTGATGTTCATATGATACCATGAACGGGTACACTCCATACTCTTTAACATATATTGACCTTAAAAGCTTCTTCTGTATTTTGCTATTGTGCTTGTTACTGGTAGCTTGTGGGTTCCAAATCACACTGCAATACTCCAATTTTGATCTTACAAATGTATTGAATAGCCTTATAACGTGTTAGATTTAAACTGTTGGCTAGTCCTAAGAACAAAACCGAGCTTCCTGTAACATTCAGCTGTTAAACTTGTAATATGCTCATTAAATGTTAAATTTTTGCTAAAAATTACACCTAGGTCCCTGATTCTATTCAGAGGCTCTATCTCAACACCATTCACCGTATATACTCCCAATATAGGGTATTTCTTCCGTGTATATCATACCAGTTTACATTTTGCCTCATTTAAAGCTAGGTCGTTATCTTTACAAAACTCAGAAACAGCTGTGACATCGCTTTGCAATTTTGCAACATCATCCCAACATGTTACGTTAAGGTAAATCTTCAAGTCATCTGCAAAGAGTAAAAAACTTTGCATGCTTTATATAATCAGAGATGTCATTTATAAATAAGATAAAAAGCAATAGTCCCAATATGAACCCTTGAGGTACACCGGAAGTTGACACAAAAGTTTCAGATTCTGCATTGTTGAATTTTGCAAAGTTTATCCGATCAGTCAGATAAGTTCTAATAAATTGTATCAAATCTACGCTAAAAGAATAAGAGTTCAATATCCATAATAGAATGTTATGGTTGAGTCTGTCAAAGGCCTTCACCAAGTCAGTATAAACAGTATCAATCTGGGAATTATATAAATTTTCTGTTGAAGAAGTTTCGCTATCAACATTTTATATGGGACTTGTTTCTTCTATATACATTGTCAATTGCCCACAATTGCTACAACCTAAGATTGGAAAATATCTGTTTTTCACCTTGTCTGCTGCTCCTTCTGTCGACACCGCTAGCCTCTCTCTCTTTCTCCAATTCATCGAGCTTTATTCACCGCCCCACTCCAACCCACTCCCGAGTTTTACATACCTATTACAATTTCCCAAGCTTATTAAGTAATTAAATGATCGATGGATTAAGATATTAATGAAATTCTAACTAGTAGTAGTGGACTTGGATAAATTTTGTAGTCGATATATCTAATGAAAAAGTGGAAATGTTAAAATTGGCGTTGCCATGTGTGTGATGTCGGAAACTTTTGGGGTTTTTTTCATGCAACTTTTGAGAATCAAACCATTTGTGTAATAAAAAATGACTTTTTACACATTTATTAAATAATTATGTATTAGTCAACTATAAAGTATCTTCTTTTTACCTGCTTCCCAAAATTAAATTTGATATTCCTTATTTAACCAACAATTTATCTAATCACTTATATTTCTTCATTTCCTTTTTTACGAGTCGGTTGTTGTTATTCATTTTTATTTTATTTTATTATAGTTATTTTCTTTAGTATTCTAAGTTCTGACTCATATGAACATTCTAATAGGTGTACCAAAATTATCTGTTGGCTGGGGCTTGGGTCCTCATCTCCGGTCTCCAGACCCATCTTACCGCCAGCACCTCTTCCGAAAAAAATCCTCATTTGCGTGAAAGAGACGAAAAAGGCCGAAGCCCTTGCAAAACCAGAGATTCGAATTCTGCCAGGTCCGGACTGCAGAAATTCCAACAATCCTTCGGAGTGCTGTCCGTAGCCTTGGCCACCAGAGCCTTGACTTTACTATCGGAGTTATTCGATGATTTACACTTAGAAGTTTGCGGCGGAGCGGGAAGCATCGTACAGGTTAGCTATCATCGAATAATATAGTTATATTGGTGATTATTTATGGTTATATCCAGGTTGAACCTGCACCGTTAGCAGTAATGGGACAATTCACGGCACTTCAAAGGGTCTCGAGAATTTTAAACGCAGCACCATTGAACCATCTTTTATTTTACCTGGCCATTGTTAGTTACCGCAAAGCTTGCACCTTGAAAAGGCTTCACCCACCAGAGGGTGACACTTTCAGTCAGTCCGACTCTACCACTTATTACGAGGATATGATCATGTGTTCCAGCGAAAGCTCAACCGATGAAGGTAAATAAACTAAGTATCTTTGAATCGATTTGCATTGAGACACACTTTTATGAAATAGATAGTTTTACTCCTTTTTTATGAAATGTTGCATTTTTTAGATGATGACAGCGAACCGATATTAGGGCAATGGTTTGAGGAAACCCTCGCGCCTCCCGACACGACCGAAGCGAAAACTCCGTCGACTTCGGACAATGTCGAGACGAAAACCTCCCAGTCCGACCGAGTCCGTTCTATAGTACCGGAAAGAGGGGAAGCTCATGGTTACATTTCCTTAGCCACCAGTATATTCGTATTCCTAAACAAGCATTTCCTTTGCTCCAAGAGTACTTATATCACCAGGTACGTTAAAAACGGACTCACGGAACAGCAGATGATCATCTTGGCGGCCATCATAAGGGATTTGGACAGGGAGACGGCCAGAACGGAAGTTGGTAAGTTGTAATAAAGTGCGTCTACATACAGGACGTTTGAATTTGTAGGTGTACAGTGTAACACTTCACACATGGGGTCACTTCAGAGGTGATCGATATGTCACTGAAATAAATAAGTTCAATTTTTTTTCATTATAAATGCCTGTATATTAATAAATGAAGATTATTATAACTTTTGTTGCCATATTACATGAACGTCGGTCACAATAGTTAATTTTTCCCATCACAATAATCTGTTTCTATTGGTGCAGTGCTAGGTCAACTGTATTGCGAGTTCTCTGGGGCCCTGACGAGATTCACCCACAATTTAATAACCAACAACAATCTGAGTTCACTCCAAGCCTGCCTCTTGAATCACCTCGGTGTATCGCCATGGAACACAGACGTACCACACGCTTGGCCGCTACAGGTTTATCCCAGAACTCTGGCCGTTTTATCACAGGTACGGCATTCGGAGAGGTATTTTGAGAATGTGGAGTAATAATTTTTTTTTTTTTTTAGGTCCTACTTCTGAGGCCTCAGAACGAGAAAGAGGCGTCTGTTATCAGCATTTGGCACAGGCTGGTAAACACTTTGATCGAGAATGTGTTGAACACACCACAGACTTCGAGTGCAGAATCGGAAAATGAAGGTAAAATGAGATTGTCGAAGAAAGAAAAAATTACGATTGTACTAAATATTGTTTCAGATTTAAATGTAGAGCATGCCCAAGTCTTGCTGTACCTGTTCCATTCTCTGAATCTGATGCAAAAGAAATCGGTGGTTCTGCTGATGGCAGGGGGCGTATTGAGGTGTTCCGAAATTGCTAGAGGCCCTCTGAAAGATTCCCAGCTTTTGCATTTGTCCAGGTTGTTGCTGCTCTTCGACTACATCATGAAACATCTCTATGACGCTCCAACGTCTCTATTAGAGCAGGTAAGTTGAGATAATCTTCTAATAGGCGAACCAATCAAGTATCAATCAAAAGTCGTAAATGAACCGCCTGTAACGATACACACACAAACTTTGTGACTCCAAAACACTGAAATAAATACCTCATAAGGTTATATACGAGGGGGGATTAAAAAATAAGGTCCTCAACGCTGTAACTCTGGAAGGAGAGATGTTGAGCGAAATCCACCAACACCACCATAAGCGGCAGTTCTCCCACTCCAGATCCTGACATTGAACGCTTTGCTGTGACTGTCGGTACCGGCCTGACAGCCATTCGTGATGGAGCCCGTAACTTCTTTCACCGCCAGATGTGAAATTCGTGCAGTGATAGATTTTTGCACTTGAAAAAGTTAGAACCTATAGACATTCATCGCCGATTGAGTGAAATTTATGGTCAAAAGTGCATCAGCGTTCAACTCGTCCGCAAATGGTGTAAGGAGTTCTCGAATGGGGGCACAGACATCCACGACGAACAATGAAGCGGGAGGCTGTCCATCTCAAATGAAACTATCGCAAAGATTGAGCGAATTCTGCTCGAAGACTGGAGAATCTCGATCAAGGAAATGGCTCTTCGGGTTCCTGATGTTTCCGAAGCTTCCATCGAAAGGATTTTGACCGAGAAATTGTGCTATCACAGGATTTCTGCGGGTTGGGTTCGGCACATGCTTACAACAGAACACAAACAGAAACAACTGTCGAGGAATTCTTAGACTAAATTGTCACTGTTGATGAAACTTGGTGCCACTACGTCACTCCCAAAACAAAATAACAATCTTGACAATGACACCACTCCAATTCTCCGAAATGGAAAAAGTTTAAGAAGTTGTTTGCAGAGAGTCATGGCTATGATGTTTTGGGACCGTAAGGGTGTTTTGCGGGACCGTAAGAGTGTTTTGCTTGTTGAGTTTATACCTAAGAGATCCACAATAAACTCAAACAATTATTGCAAGACCTTAAAAAAAACTTGGAGAAAGGGCTATTCAAAATCACCGAAGGGGAAAATTGACTAAAGACATAAGGCTGCACCATGACAGTGCGTGTCGGCACATGTCACGCCAAACCCAACAATTAATCAACAAATTTAGCTGAACTGTCATTCATCTACAGCCCTGATTTAGAATCGAGTGACTACCACTTGTTCCTTAAATTAAAGAATCACTACTGCACAACAATTCAACACAGATGGTGAAGTGAAAGAAGTTATCAGGTTCATCAACGGGTTGGCAGCAAACTACTATGAGGAAGGTCTACAAAAGTGGATCTCTCGTCAAAAAAAATGTATTGAAAAAAATGGCGATTATGTTGAAAAACAGCCGAAAGAAAAGTAGCTTTCGAATGGTGTACTATTCAGATAAAATAAACAATTCTAACTATTTTTAAAAAATGTGGGAACCTAATTTTTGAATCCCCCTCGTACTTACACTACGCAATCGATTCCAGTTTAAAAAAAATTGCCTATGCTACAATTACCTCCTCATAAACCAATAAACTAAAAACTAAAATAAATGTAATAAAACGAAAATAGCATAATTTGGCAGATCTTTTTTTTTGCTCGCCTAATGCCTTCTTGACATTTCACATCCGGTGGATTGATAGCCCTTTTCTTTTATTCATGATTTCGGAATCATAATGCGTTACGATCTGATGGAAACCAATCAGGTTGCTAGATTTCGAATTGTAACGCGTTATGATTCCGAAATCATCAATAAAAGAGAATAGTGCAGGTGGTATCTGTTTCCGGTTGGGTAAAATGCATATGATCGGAGATTTTTGCTTTAACGGCTTCTAAATAACATCAGAAATGATAATTTTTATATGCAAATTAAAAAAACGTGGCCTTAATTGTTATTGCAAATAAGTATAAAAAAATAGCAAAAAAATTCATTTTTTTTTTGGAATTCTTGCCGACAACTTAGCAACTATTCTTTTAGACAAAAATGAAAGAAGAAAAAAAGTTTTGTAATTAAATTTTGAACAAGATAGTTGCAATTCGAAAAAGTAATTATTGTTTTTGCAAAAATCGGAAAAATCATTTAAAAAATTGCAAAAAATGCTAGTTTATTTGTCAATTTTTTTCAGACACTTGAATAATACCTAAGATATTCATACTTTTCCCAATTAAACTTCTTAGTGTATAAAACCATCACACCAAACTTCATCCAATTCGGTTCGATAGTTTTTACATAATTGTTTAATTTTTTTTTAATTAAAAAATTTTTAAAATCAAATTTCTAAAAATCTAAAGCCTTTGAATACTTGAAAATTTCACCACAAAAAGAAGAGCTCTCAAGCTTTAAAATGCTTTTTGAAAAATTGAAATCGGATGATTAGGTGAGCCGTGGTGATTGTTTAAACATTTTCGCAATTTTCACACATAAACAATTGCAATAATTTGTAAGTTTGTTTAAATATTATGAAATTGTTTAAACAATAATTATTTAAATAAACAACTGAAAATTGAAATAAATAGTTTCAAATTTGAAAAATCGTGAAAAGTGTGTACTGTTTATTCAAGTATCCAAAAGATTCTTATACTTTTTTATATAAATAAAAATTAAAATTATAATTATTCACAATTTATGTGTAATAATTTTTGAAAGATTTTTAAAAATTTATCATACAACTAAAAATTAATACCAATTTTCAATTGTTTATTTAAATAATTATTGTTTAAACAATTTTATAATATTTAAACAAACTTACTAGTATTACCTGGTGCAACATGCAAACATTTTTGTCGTGAATATTAACATAGTAAATAAATCAACATAATAAATAAATTACTTTTTAAAGTAACTGTTTATCGGCATGTCAGAAATCCAATAAATTAATAATAAAAGGTAGTTGAAAATATGATAATTGAATTTTTTAAGTTGCAAGACATTTTAAATGGGACGCCCGTGATTGCAAATTTTGAAAATTTATATCTGGAAAGTAGTGATGTGAGTGAAAATATATAACAAATTGATATATATCAATTTTTGATACATATCAGCTATTATATATATGTTAATAGCTGATATATATCAATTTTCCCGCCATTTCATCAATTAAGCCAAATTTCAAACTTAACCTTACATTTTAAAATGGACTATAGCTCTTGGGTTCTTGGGTACCTGGCATATCTCCGTCAAAAATGAATATAAAAATCTGAAATTTTAGGGGTGTACTATAGATGGGAAGAACTAAGAGGGCACGTAATTTCAAATCACCCATTCCACCGTTGGGGCTGAGGAGGGGGTGAGGGGTGGTTTTTTTAGATGTACCCTATTCATTTTGCTAGTTTCGGATTCTACGTGTAAAACTACCCCCGAAAGCGCGTTCTTGCCGAATTCGCACATAAACCAAACCACCATCCTCGTATCGACTTTGTCGTTTTTTTTTGATGATCATCGTTCTTGGGCACATCTCCGTCAAAAATAAATATATAAATCTGAAATTTTAGGAGTGTACTATAAGTGAGGTGACCTAAGAGCGAATGTGATTTCAACTCACCCTTTCCACCCTAGTAGGTGCAGAGGGGGCGAGGGGTGGTCTTTTAAACGTACCCGCAAGAAAGCGTTTCCGAGGGTAGTTTTACGCGTAGAATCCGAAAATTGCAAAATAAATAGGGTACGTCTAAAAAAACCCCTTCACCCCACCCCCTGGGGTGGAAAAGGTGAGTTGAAATTACGTGCGCTCTTAGGTCTCCCCATCTATAGTACACCCCTAAAATTTCAGATTTTTAAGTACTACTTTAAAGCAGTTTCTTTATTGTCATAAGTTTTTGATAATTTTTATTTCAATTTTTATCTTTAATTTTTTTTAAGTACCTATTGTGATATACAAAGACTAAATTTTCTTGTTCTAGAAATTTTCCATTTTTTATTTGTGGGTTGATAAAACTAAATTGCTAATAAACAGCGTACTTGCTTATAAACAGTCATTGTATCATATTAAGTACGCAACAAAAGTTAGAAGTCATTACCATCATAATTATAATGAATTTATTAATTAAAACAACAACCTATTTCAAATAGATTATTACTTTTACTATAAAGTGTCTTAATGTAAATATGGTAAAAAAAAAATAAAAAATTCCAATCTAAATATGAAAAAAAATAAAGATCACTTGATAACTTTTCTAACAGTTCATATATATGACATGTATTTGGTGTCAAATTAATCAGCAAGGCATTAGCAATATAAAAAAACTAATTTGAGTATAGTTTTTTTTTAACAAAATTCATCTGATATATATAATGATATATATTTTGATATATATCACCCAAAACTAAATAGCATGCTATTTTACATCACTACTGGAAAGTACTCGGAATGACAAACCTATTAGTTCAAAAAACAGACCTTATACTCTTATAGCTTTGCTGTAAATAAGGGTTAACTTAACTCCGAAAATAATGGGCGGATCATCAGGTTTTTTTTTAAATACTTGTCTTTCCGAGTACTTTCAAACCATATTTTAAAATAAAAAAAAGACTGAAAAAAACATTAAATTATTGCAATTGTTTATAAACGTGAAAATTGCGAAACTGTTTAAACAATCACCACGGCTCACCTAATCGTCTGATTTGAATTTTTCAAAAAGCATTTTAAAGCTTGAGAGCTCTTCTTTTTTTGGTGAAATTTTCAAGTATTCAGAGGCTTTAGATTTTTAGAAATTTGATTTTGAAAATTTTTAATTTAAAAAAAAATTTAAACAATTATTATGTAAAAACTATCGAACCGAATTGGATAATAAGTTTAATTGGGAAAAGTATAAAGATCCTAGGTATTATACCAGTGTCTGAAAAAAATTGACAAATAAACTAGCATTTTTTGCAATTTTTTAAATGATTTTTCTGATTTTTGCAACAACAATAATTATTTTTTCGAATTGCAACCAACTCTATCTCGTTCAAAATTTAATTACAAAACTTTTTTCCTCTTCCATTTTTGTCCAAAACGAATAGTTACTAAATTGTCGACAAGAAATCCAAGAAAAAAATGAAATTTTTTGCTATTTTTTTATACTTTTTTGCAGTAACAATTAAGCCCATGTTTTCTTTTATTTGCATAGAAAAATTATCATTTCTGATGTTATTTAGAAATCTCCGATCATATGCGTTTTACCCAAGTATACCCTTTTTAAAACAGATACCACCTAGACTAAAAGAGATAGTTCATCTCAACTATGTTAATGTCAGAAGTCATCATGTGAATTGCAAACTAAACACAGTACTTTATAAAAAAAAATTTCTGTCAAGAAATTAAATAATTAAGAAAATATATCAAATCTGTCAGATTAGTAATTTATTTTTATTATGTACATTTTTAAAACAATATTTTAAAACATAAATTGGTTATATGTATTTACAATAAGTAATTTTAAAAAATGCTCAAATGTTTTTAATGTTCGGTGTCTCGCTCACATTTACATAAAAAAAATATTTTAGAACGAGTTGCAAAGTCATACCAAAGCCATTTGGTGTTGCCAAATTATTGTCCATTACATTATTCAATAATAATACTCGCCGATACAACAATTTGTATCGGCGAGTCACAACCCTCGCTGAGATTTTTAAAAAATTTTTATATTAGATACAATGGAATCTATTCTATTCGACAAACCTCAACACTGACAAAGAGAAAGAGAACAACATGTCCAGAATGTACACGGCTTGGCAAGATATCGAAGACAACTACAGGAAGATTTCTTCTGCCGACGAATTTGCCATGAAGCCAAGATTTTACATTTTGACTAACTTAGAAGTTAACAACCAGGATGCACCCAAATTAGACGGTTTAGCTTGCAATTTCATACTCGGAACTCCAGACAAGCTGCGTTATCCATTACTGCTTGACGCTTTGATTGAAATCTTGAACATCACCCACGTGACATCAGGCGCGAGCGTCTCGAAAATGAGCTTCTTGGGGCTCTGTGCTACTCAGTACTGTTTCACTATTTGCTGGAGGTAAAATATTTGTTTAAATTATTAAATGAAGGTCAAACTATTTTTTTTTTTAGACTGCTGCAGTTATTACCACCTTCCGCGAACTACATGGAACGCTTAGCAGCGGGAGAAAATTTGGTAGCGGGACCGCTACTACTGCATTCTTTGATTTGGGGCCCTAGAGCTTCGCATAAAAATTTCAGTAGGTGGCTGAAAGATTGCCTCGTGAAACAAGGGATGTACACGCAGCATACCGACAAGCTGCTTAAAGCGGTATCGGACGCCGTTAATAATATTAAATATGACTCTAGCAACGCTAAAAACTGCATCATAGCGCTTACACCTGATATTAAAAAAGGTATTTCGAAAATCACATATTTTTCCAAAATTTTATATAATTTATTTTTTTAAGGTTTGATCACTAAGGACAACCTTCCACCACTTTGGCATTTATTCCTTCTCGACGCACTGTTGGCGAAGGTCCAAGTATCTCTGGAAGAATCGGAAGGTAGTAGTGATTCGTCATCGGTTTCGATATCGGAAAACACTTATGTGCAGGACTTACTCCCGCACGTTCTGAGACTCACCCAAGCCGTTTTACATTGCACTAGATGGTCCTTGCTTCATTCCGTCGTAGATCAAAACGAGGCCACTGGCAAATCGTCTTTGCAGGACTTCGAAGGACTGCAAGACGTACTGGCCATCGCGTCGAATAAGAACGTTCTGACGAACACCTTGGCTTCGGAGTTGTCGTCGCTGTTACCCACCGCGGTTAGTTCCGTTCAGCAACAGTGGAATACTTCGACCCTTGAGGACATCTCATCGGTAAGTAGAAAATAAATTAATGTGTCCTTGACAAACTTCCGTTCCGAAACTTCATTATTAACATTAAGAGAAAAATATGCTAATTACAAAAAACAGTGGGGGACGTTCCGCAAGTCCAAAAATTGAATTTTTTATGCTGCTTCTAATTTAGAATTCGTCTTTCGTAAAATGCCACATAATTATAGAACAATTCAAAATTGTCGTCATTTAATTAACTAATAATGATGGTATATGACTCTTTTGTTAGAATTTTAACAATATTTAAATTTAAATTAATATTTCTGACTTAATTCACAATTTTCAGACTCCGTACCAAAGCGACATAATCCCATCGGAAAGCTTCATACTGAAAATTGTAGACACCCACATATCAACCCTCTCGATGAGCAGCCCCTTCACTATAAACTTATCCTTAAAACGGCTCCTTCAATGCCTCGTCAAATTCATATGCGACCACGCCCCGAAAGTGGAAAACACCGACACCAAAAACAAGGCTATAGAAATGCTTGTATCGATTACCCTCGATCTGAGAACGGAATTCTTACATAACAGCGTCACGAAAACCTTAGAAAAAATGATCGGCGACACGGAAACGGACGAGCATCAGAAGCGAGTGTACCTCCGGGTGCTAGATCACACTTACCGGTTGATTATAAACTACACGTCGTCGAATTCCGGCACGTACAGCACCAACATTAACGAGAAGATCTTGCACAACTGCCTGAAGTTCTATGAGAAGATTATCGAGAAGTCGTCGGGACGGCAAGCTTTGGAGACCTTTTTCACTGGCGATAAAGACCTCGTGAAAGTGCTCATGTCCGTTTCCAGCCAGTTAATGTCCCAGCAGTACAGCACCAGGGTGTTGCACTTCTTCAACAAGTTGTTCCAAGCTGCTGAGAAAAGTTCCACGGACCCAAGCCTGAATTATTTGTGCTCCAGCATGAGCAAACTAGCCAGTGTCGACGGAGACAAGTTACAGACTTGGCTGAGACAGATTATAATCGGCTCCAGCAATATAGAAATACCAGTGACTACAGTTACTTTGAACAAAGGGGAACCTTCTTCGTCTAATGAAGCAAAGTGGACGATAACCGCGGTCGATAGTAAAGATACGAATGTTTCCCCGCCGACTAATGACGACCAGAAATCGTTGGTGCAGGAAAATAGCCAGCTTCTACAGGCCCTTACCAGTTTTATAGTGAAGCAGAACAGCAATGTGTCTGAAGAGGTTTCCATAACCATTTTGAGAGCTTTGGTTCCTTTAGGTACCCATCTCCTATCTCCTACGCTTGAAGGCACTGGATTTACCGATCTTATGGTGGTCATGACTATGCTGGCGGATGCTGGATCCGGAAAAGGTAAATGACTGACCATTTTATGCACTGGTCACTTTTAGGAAGTTTGGTATATTCTCCAAAGAAAGACAAAAAGTAGTTCAAATGTCCCCAGATCGATTTTCAGAAATAATTGATATACTTAAACCATATCTTGGTATTTAGATTTAACAAATTTTAGATGCCACGGAAAAATTACCAAAAATAGGAATGAAACCCTCCAAAGTTGTGGAAACAGCATTTTCCAGATCAGAATTAAATTTATTTCACATGTCCCCGCCACAATTTTCGAAAAAAGATCTTTTCACTGGTCTGCTTTTCTTAAAAATCAAGCTCGAGACATCTGAACTACTTGTCTCTCTCTGTAAATACAAGAAACCTCCCAAAACTGACGAAAAATTGCATTTTCCAGATCATTATTAACTTTATTTACATTTTTATAGGTCACACTTACTTATTTCCCGCCACAGCCGAATGGATAGAATTGTGCAACAAACACACGTCAATCAAAGAAGTCCTCGAAAAGATTAAAGCAAGTCCAGACTCTGTGAAAAACAATCCCATGTTCGAGGCAGCCTCCTGCATCCTCGACTATGTCAGCGACGTGGTCTGTGGAATAACATCCCAGCAGTCGTCAAACGTCAGACCGCTCAGCCCCCCTTGGGAAAGCGAAACTCCCCTGGACTTAGACTCAGAGTGGCAAGAAGAAGTGAACGAAGACGACGACAGTGGAGAAGACAGTGACGAAGATTCGTTATGCAATAAACTGTGTACATTCACGATTACTCAGAAAGAATTCATGAACCAGCACTGGTACCATTGCCACACCTGCAGGATGTTGGACGGCGTCGGGGTGTGTTCGATATGTGCGAGAGTATGCCACAAGGGGCACGATCTGAGCTACGCCAAATACGGCAACTTCTTCTGCGATTGCGGCGCTAAAGAAGACGGATCTTGTCAGGCTCTGGTTAAACGCAGCCCACAGTCGCTGGAGGCGACAGCAGCCGCCGCCACCAGTTCTAATCAACAGTCCGGTAGTTTTAGTACGGAACATATGCTTACGAGTTCTTTACGCAGGCGTACCTCTTCGCCGGTGCCGTCGGATAAGGTAAGTTCGTTGTTAAAAATATGTACTTTATTAGCTTTTATCTTGATTTTTTTTAATTTTAAATTTAATTAGTTGAAATAAATTCAAAAAATATTCTTAAAATCGTATATATGCAAAAAAATTGTTTCAAAATTTCATCTTTTTCATGAATATTAAGAAAACTAATGGTACAGCAGTGGCCAATTTAAACATAGTTAGGTTTATTATACCATCCCATTTCAAAGCGAACTCTTTGTTGCAAATTTTAAATAATTTAAAAATATTCCTTTATTTTAATTACAGATTATGTTCAAAGAAAAAAAATCAGGGAACATTGTGAAACAACTAGACGGTTCTAGAGAATTCATCATCAATTACTTAGGGTCTAGCTCAGTGACCGGCTCATTATTAGAATTCGTTCAAACCCTCATACCGGCTGTAGAAGAAACATGCCACCAAAACTCACCCGTCGGTTGCCACACCCGGGGCGTCAAAGCTCTCGGACAACTGTACTCTACCGACAAAAAATATATCCATACTGATCAGTTAATGGTTCCTACATTGGGATCACAAGAAGGCGCTTTCGAAAACGTCCGCATGAGCTATGCGGGCGAGCAAGGACAAACGATAAGGCAGCTGCTCTCCGCTCACATCGTAAGGAGAGTGGCGATGTGCTGCATGACTTCAACACAAGGCCGTCGCCAGCACTTGGCCGTGTCTCACGAGAAGGGAAAGATCACGGTACTCCAACTAAGCGCGCTTTTGAAGCAAGCCGATTCTTCTACGAGAAAATTGACTTTAACGAGACTGGCAACAGCACCTATACCTTTCACGGTTCTCTCTCTGTCCAGTAACTTGTGTAACGAAGACTTCTTAGCTGTGTGTGGATTGAAAGACTGCCACATCCTAACGTTTACGTCTGGCGGTTCGGTGTCCGACCACCTTGTTTTACATCCCCAGTTAGAAACGGGCAATTTTATTATAAAAGCGGTGTGGTTACCCGGATCGCAAACCAAACTGGCCTTGGTGACGGCGGATTTCGTCAAGATATACGATCTTGGAGTGGATGCGATCAGCCCTCAGTACTACTTCTTGGTTCCCAGCGGAAAAATCCGGGACTGCACCTTTATGTATGAAGATGGTATTTACCACATACTTTTGATGTCGTCTCCGGGCCACATATACACGGAAGTTTTGAATGAGGAGAGTTCGACGAAGTACGGCACGTTTTACGTTACGAACACCTTGGAAGTGTTCCATCTGGACGTTACGGTAAATAATAAACTTTTTATTTATTTTTCTAATTTTGATATAGCAATTGTAACCAAAAATTTCAATTTTACAAAAACTTTCCACATTTTCAATATTTTAAACAAAGATTTAACGTCCTTAGTACCTTTTATTTCAAATTTTTATATCGACCTATACTTCTTACATGTAGGATGTCAACGGTCAGGTAGCGGGCGGAGGAGTATCTATCTACTATTCCCACACCCTCGGCTTGCTGTTCTACAGTTACGCCCAAGGCAAAAGCTTTATTTCCCCGATATTCCCCAAAAGTAATTCCTTGTCCGCGGTATTCCCGATAACTTTTCCCCCTTCGAATAACAGCACGTCGAAAAGCAACGGGTCTAGAAACGCAGCAAATCAACCTCTGTGTCAGTGGACGGAGATCCCGAACCATCCGGGTCTAGTGTGTTGCGCTATGCAGTCCAGTAATAATCCCGTCATCCTCATGTTGAAACCGGACTCGATCATGATACAGGAGATCAGAGTTGTACCGTCAAAGTCCAAGATAATGGATATGGTTGCTATTAGACACAACTCCGGTAATGAACTGAGAACGACCTTGATTCTGCTGTGTGAGGATGGCAGTTTGAAGATGTATATGGCGAATATGGAACAAACAGGTTGGTAATAATATTAATAATAAAATTTATTGAAATAAGTGTACGGTATTACGGTAACGCAAATACAAAACTTTATGTTACGAATGTCTTTTAGGTTTTTGGATGTCCCCCAGCATACAGGCAACGATCCCGAGCACATCCCTGAAGCCGAAGAAGAAGAAAGTTGTGAAGGCGGGCAAAACGTCCAATTCCGTTACATTCCCTGTGGACTTTTTCGAGCATTGCGTTGCTATGAACGATGTGGAAATAGGAGGCAATGACCTTCTGCAGATATACAACCAATCGCAACTTAAACACAGGTTAAATACGACGGGTTTGTACGTCGCCTGTAACAAACCACTCGGATTCTCAATAGAAGTTACCAACAACGATTCCAATATGGTTATGACTGGTTTACGGGTACTAGTTGGAAGTCAAGACGTCCAACGTTGTCCTTCATTTGTTGAAGTAAGCTAAAAATAAATTTGTCCTAGCGTTTAGAAATAATATTCTCTATTGTAGGTATTTGGGAGGATAATTTCAGTATCTATTACACGAAGCAGGTGGTACGACATACCTTTCTCGAGGGAAGAAAGTCTTCAGGCCGACAAGAAATTGACGATACTTTTCGGTCCTTCTCAGGACCCAGAAACCGTCACTATGGTCGACAGTATAAAAGTCTACGGTAAAACTAAAGACTCATTCGGTTGGCCTGAAGAAAATGATGAAAGCGTACCGGCTAGCACATCTGGAGTCACACAACCCATTAATACCACCAATGCGGAAGGCGACCATCACACCGGCGCAGTGACTCAACTTACCAAATTAGAAAAGTGAGTTATTTACTTGTGTTTAACCAATTATTTTCAAATATTGTTTTGTTTCAGGCTTGTTGTGGGAATTCTAGAGTCTCTCGACGGCACATTCTCATTGTATTCCTCCGACGATAAGCTCGTAACTGTTAAACCCACCACTTTAAAAGTCGCTACTCAACTCCTCACTTTACCTACACCTCCGTTGATTCAGGTCCACTCTAAGGCTTTGTTGTCATCACTCCATGCTACGAAGCAGTTGTACCACAACTACAAGGATCAAGCGCTGCTGCAGCACGTTTTAACTAGTCTGTCCGCTATGACATCCATTGAGGGTATCGATTTGGACGCAGAGAGTTATTATAGGTTGGTTTTGATTGTGAGAGGTATAGCGGTGTCCAGGCCTCAGAACTTGGTCAAATTTGCCGACAGCCACACTTCCATTCAAGATATCGTGTTGGAAGATCCTCTAGAAAGTAAGCCGCGTAAGTTTTTCAATGTTTGTGAAAAAATTCTGTTTTACTTTCAACTAATTTTGTCATATTCTATCAAAGTGTAGAAAAGCCAAACGTTTTATTTTTGCATATCTTTTGTGAAATTTTGAGTTTGATTTTGAAATTTTGCAATTGACTTGTTTCATGCTCAGAATTTTGAGTTCAAACTTATTTTTTTCTTTGCTAACCAAATTTCGTGATGACATTTCGAATTTGAAACAAAATTTTTCAAGTCTGCAAGAACTTGAACTCTCAAAATTCTTTTCAAACTCAGCATTTTGTGTTTAAATCTTAAAATTTCAAAATCAAGTATAAATTGCTAATTCAAAATGTAAATTTTGTTTCCAGACTCAAAATTTTGTTTGAAATTTGAAACTTTTCTACATTTCAGACTCATTTCTATTTCAACCTTGAAATTGTGTATATACAGTATGCGCCTAAAGTATGGAATAAATTCCTTGAACAGGTCGATTTTTAATTTAAAAAACATATTTTAGCATAAAAGGCGATTTTCAACCGTCATTTTTTTTCTTGATTCTGAAAGATCGTTTCATTGTCGATCCAACAGTATTAAAATGTTGCCATCTTACATAGGAAAGTTTTCGAGTAAATGATGATTGAATGTTAGTAAACTTAAATTTTATTCATTTAAAAAATAACAATTCCTATGTCAAGCAAATAAAATTCATTAAGTTGTCTACTATTAAGTGTTCGAATTGCCACCCACAGACTTCTTGACAATAGGCAAGTCTGTGTAGAAATTCTTCTTGCACTGCACAATTATGAATTATTTCTGGGGTAACTGCGTATTTCATGTATAATATAATTTTGGAGTTCTTCTAAATTATGTGTTCTATTAACGTACACTTTGGACTTTAAGTAGCCCCACAAGAAATAGTCCAGGGGTGTAAGATCTGGGCATCTCGCAGGCCATTCTAACGGTCCTCGTCTGCCAATCCACCTCCTAGGAAAACAATCGTCCAGAAAATCTCGAATAGGGCGCGCATAGTGCGGAGGTGCACAGTCTTGTTGAAACCATATGGTGTCATCAGGAATATCAGGGTCATTATCGTTAGGAAAATTTACTGCAAGTACTGGAACAAGGTCATTTCGTAAAAACTCTAAATATCTTTCTACTGTAAGGGTTCCTTCAAAGAAGAAATGCCCTACTATTCTGTTGTCAACTATTCCAGCCCACACATTTAATTTCTGTGGGTATTGGGTATGTGTCTTTGCCATCCAATGAGGATTTTCCCAACTCCAATACCTGCAAGTTTGACGGGTCACTGTACCATTGAAACAAAACGTAGCCTCGTCTGAAAAAAGTATTTACCAGTGTAAATCTCTATTTACTTGACATAAATCCATCATAATTTCACAAAAGTGTAAGTGGCAGTCGGGATCGTCTTCATTGAGTTCCTGCACAAGTTGAATTTTGTAGGGATGATGTTTTTCCTACCTCAGGATACCTAGCACTGTGGTCTGACTATAGTCCGATCGTATTCGATGCACAGTAGAGCAAATAATTGTCGGTCTTTTATCAAAGGAAAATCGTGTCATCATTTTTAGGAGGCGTAAGATGAACCGTTTCAAATTTAAAATGAAATTGAATGTAAAATCTGAAATACCGCCGCATACGCACTGTGTTCTGGTACTAGCTGTAGTCGGCCAGGTGCATCGAGTGTACGAAGTGGTCGGTTATACGTCAAATACTAACCTGGCGAGCTTGATCGTAGAGCAGGGAACAATAAACAGTGGCGCGTACAGAGGTGAAATGTAGTACATATGTGGAATTTAAATAACGAATTGGATTTATAATAAATTACATTTAAAACAAATAGTTTATGAGAATAAAGGGATTTTTGTAGGAACAGGGTTCCAGACGTGAACTGATCTCTTCATCGCACCCCATTACGATTCTTTTTTTATAAGGAGAACGAAGTTTCAAAGCAAAAACCTTGTATAACAAATAAGTATACTATAAATATTTAAAGAATGAAAACAAAATATAAATCCTATGATATGATTCTATCAAATGAAAACACTAACAACAATTCTCTACCAATCTCAACAAAATAAGTTATTTTTCTATCAAACAAGAAATGTTAACAAATTATAAACAAAATATAAATTCTATGTAGTGTATTTTTCTCATCTTCATTTAATATTAATTTCTTCTTTCCACCCCCTTTTTTAGGTTTCTTAACGTCTCCTTCATTTTTCTTCTCTCTTAAAATTTTGAAAACAGATAATTCGCTTACTCCAGTATATCTAGAACACATTTCCACCAAACCAGTCTTCAGTTTCATGGGATGATCCTTTTCTAAAGCGTTATAGACATTTAATATTATCGTTTTTTCTCTGTAACTTAATAAAAAATTTTTTGTACCCACAGCAGTACATCCGGCCCGCGAACATCCAGGCACCGCCTCCATTTCTCCATATAACGGCATCAGAGCAATAATAATACAAAAAACTTCACTTCACTAGCACAGAAAATATAATAACATTCACGATTCACAAACAACAGCCCGAAACACACACACAGCACACAAATAAAACACTAAAAACACTTTTGTTACGGAGCACAAGAAATATGATTTCACTCACAAATTCTCAAATAATTGCGCGAAACACACATATAGCCCGAAAGAAGTATAATTGCACTTATAACAGTTATAACCTCACAAATATCGCGAGCGAGAAACACGCAGCACCAATACAACCGAAACGAAACTGACCAGTGACCACGCCAGGCCGGCACGCGCGCCGCCGCAAAAAACACAAGACACAAGTCATATGAGGGAGAATGAAGGGAGTAATAAATGTATTGTTTCCCTGCCGCCCAATGTGCGAAGGAGATGCCTTTGTTTTTCATTTTGTCAACTGTTAATCCATAATGCATAAAGAAATTATTCAATTTCCAATACCCCCTATAAAATGTGTTGCACTGATTCCCTTGACAGGCAATGATTTATTACTTTGCATCGAATACGATCGTACTATAATTTCATTGTTTAATGCAACTAATCGTGAAGTATTATGAGGATTATCTACCATACTTATCAAAATGTTCTGTTTTTTTCATTAAATAAATCGCAAACTTCCTGCTGCGTTCTAGTTTTATCCCCGCATCCGATAAGAATTAAAATTTCAATTCTTTGTGTGACAGTTAAATGTGCCATAATACTTTAAATTCAACAATAATTTTATATCGCTTACAATACTTAGAAAGTCGGTGTGACAGTGACACTTTGTAAAGATTTACACCTACGTGATCCATAAAAAACTTCAGGCATTTCAAAAACTAAATTTGATAACGTATTTGCTTTATTTTAATTTATTTGGGTTTTCTAACATTCAATCGTCATTTACTCGAAAACTTTCCTATGTAAGATGGCAACATTTTAATACTGTCGGATTGACAATGAAACGACCTTTCAGAATCAAGAAAAAAAATAGGGGTTGCTATTTAAAAAAAATGTCGATGACGTCATTATTTGAAAACAAATGACGGTTGAAAATCGCCTTTTATGCTAAAATATGTATTTTTTAAATTAAAAATCGACCTGTTCGAGGATTTTTCCCTAAAAAAATTTATTTTGTTTTTACTGAATTTATTCCATACGTTATGCACGTACTGTATTATGAAATTTCAAACAGAAATTTAAAATTTAATTTTCAGTTTTAAAAATTTGTGTTTTAAACTTAAAATATCAAGTTCACTCAAAATTTCGAAATCAAACTTTAAATTTTCAGTCCAAATCCGAAATATGTTTAAAATATCATAATTTTTTCATTTCTAACTCGAAATATCAAGTTCAAACTCTAAATTTTGGATCGGAACTTGAAATTTTGTTTTTGAAATTGAAATTTAATGTTTCAAAGTCAAGGTTTCTGATTTAAATTTCAAATTTTGAAAACCTTTCTACTATCTTGTAATATTCTGCTTATACGATCGATCTATATCATGTTTTATCGTGCAGTGAACCCAAAAGACACAGAAAGCAGGCGCAAAAACCAACACCTCTTGCTGCAGCTCATGGACGTTCTGTGGCTCTTACACTCTCTAAACCCAGAAGTACCCGCTTTGGCACCCGTTGTCGTGCAAGGATTAAAACATACCGAGCAAGTAGTTCACGCTCTAGTCGAAATCGTCCACGCTTTTAATAGCTGCGACACATACAGCAACGTCACTATAGGCGTTTACCTGCAGCTGTTGCTCTGTAAAGACCCACAGATAGCTTTCAGCGCTAGGCAGGCACTAAGCAAAGTGTTAAAGCCGAAAACGAGGAGAAGGAGGGTGTTCATACCGAGCCCGCCTCATTGCATATCTCCGCCTCCTCCAAAGAATACCGATTCTGACGAAGGTAAACGCATATGATTGGCTGAGACAGTGTACTAAAGAGTTTTTTTTTTTATGTCAGTTAAACCACAACCTGCAAGCACTCAATCCAGTCAAGAGGACGAAGCCCAACCTAGGCAACAGAATCAGTACGATGTCGATGCCGTTGAGGCTATAGGTCTCTTAGAACAGCCGAATCATGGACAAAACAACCATAACGTTAACCCACTGGAAGCTTTACTGGGCGGTGGCGTAGGATTTCCTCCATTACTGGATATTCCCCCAGATGCCGATGACGAAACGATGGTGGAACTGGCGATAGCTCTTAGTTTGCAGGTAAGAATCAAATCGTTTCTCAAATTACGCTTTCTTTTAATAAAAACATTTTGTTGTCAACACAAATGCTGGACGTATTTGTACAGGGTGTTACTTTGAATAGGGATCATATTTGTGTGGAGTCTACCTTTGATTTTTATAAACACGTGTTTGTTTTCTCAAATCCCATCGTGAAAATTGATTTTTTGTTACCTTTTTTTAGTAATTTTCATACACCGCCACGGGACAGATTAGAACTTCAAACTGTACATGCTAATTGCAAACGCCAGTTATAGCATGCATTGTCAAATCTCGATCTTGATTTGTATACACGTTTTTTTCATATTATCTCCGAATTTACAATGAAGACACACAAACACACCATACTGTCATTAAACAAATAAGTAGCACTTCACTAAAAACCACTTTAAATTTTACTATAAAATTACACTTAATAAAACAGCACTACATTATACAGATTCTGTTTTGATTCCCATAAAAACCAATTCATGAAGAGCTGATGTATTACATTGTCCATTTATTTCTTACCCGCTTAGTGCCCTGTTGTCGAATCACATCAGGTGGATTAATATTATGCAGTTCACCTATGATGTCGGACATCAGTAATACTGAGATCCGCACAAGATTTTTTATCACAAACGAACGAAAAAGATCTACGGTTAATACTTCGAGTTAAAAAAAACAGTTTATTGTACTTGGGAACACGTTCTATTACCCTTGAAAAGCCTACCCCTCCTCCTCCCTTTATAGTTACATCCTGTATACAGGGTGATTCAGTCATAATGTCATTAATTTTAAGAGCAGATAGAGAAAAATGAGTATAATACGATGGCGTGATTAAAAAAAAATTTAAATGTATATTTAAGCTGAAAAAAAATATTTTCAAATCATTATTTAACCCCCTTTTCAGGCTGTTACTGACCGGCTGACGTCACAATATTATGCACGGCTACGATATGAATCTATGAACAACGCGCCCTAGATGCAACGTTGCCATATTTATATATTTTCGCTCATATAAAGACAATAAATAAACGGTTTTGCTCACGTCAACCAATAATAATTTAAAATGCTATAAATTATTTTTTATTTATGCAATCAACATATTAAATTGTTATTGTTGCCCAGCAAGAACCTCGAGGTCTGAGCATGCCTTGCCAAAAATCAGTTTTTATTAGCATCATAATTTTAATATTTTAACAACATTTGCTGTAAGCCCGAAGGGGAAGGTTTTCAAACAATTCTACTAAAAATTAGTAACGCGGCCCATTCAGATGTTCAGGTAGAAAATGCGGCCCAATTAAACGATCGCCATTGACATTGACACCGAATCTCCTCTGAAAGCTATACCACCGACGAGTAGTGTGCGGGTAGTAGTGTGTTTCATCTGACCAAATGTGACTATTATGGCTGCAAAGAAATTAGCTGTTTCACTTTAAATAAGATTTAATATTGAAGTTACAAAACCCCAAAAGTTCAAATAATTTAAATTTCATTTCATAACCATTTCAATTTCGTTACAGAAATAATGTCATAAAAAACCAACACTCACTAGATAAATTATAAAGAGAGGATAAATTGTATGCAGTATTTAAATATTGACTGCAATTAGAAGAGAGACTTGTATATTCCATAAAAAAACAATGGGACGGAGACAAATAAACAACTCGGTACGTCGTGTTTCCGACCTAGGGTAACCTGTGGTTCAGTAACCTTTTAACCCAGTTTTAATTTGCACACGTGCACCATATAGTCCAGGAGCCAGATGTGCAAACAACTTATTCTTAAATATTTGACCTCTTGAATCCAAAGAAACTTGGTCGCAAAGCCTGAAAGTGGTCAGTTTAATTGTTATCAACAAATTAAATGTTTAAATGGCTGTAAAAAGTTTATTTTTATAGCTAGTACAATTTATTCGCTAATAGTTACGTTTTCTCATAACAAATATGTATTTTTTTGGAAATTAAAAAAAATTAACTTTAACCAAAGTTATTGCAAATTTAGTGCAAATTTCTTACATTTTCCGTCTCCGTGCGCACTAATTTTACCATATCTGGTTCTAAGTTCCATTTATTTATTAATTTATTTAATAATTAATGGCATCTTAGAAAGTTGTGAAATTTCAACGAAAATGCCGGTTTTAATTGTTTATAAGGTTTTTTTTATTATTCAACTTCGACGAAAAGCCAAAAAAGTTACCGGATATTGTTCTTTGCATTCTAACAATCAAGCAAGGCATGAAATCATTGTTAGGATGCGAGGAACAATAACCGGTAACTTTTTTGGCTTTTCATAAAAATTGAATAACAAAAAAAGTTTTATAAACCAATAAAGCCAACATTTTCGTTGAAATTCCACAACTTTCTAAGCTGCCATTAATTTTTAAATAAATTAATTAATCAATGGAACTTACCTATCTTGTAAAATAAAGTTTAAGTTTTAAAATGAGATGTGCGTCTCAATCCGTCCAATTGAACCAGAGATATGGTAAAATTGGTGCGCGCAGAGACGGAAAATGTAATATATTTGCACTAAATTTGCAATAACTTTGGTTAAAGTTAATCTTTTTTTAATTTTCAAAAAAATATATGTTTGTTGTGAGAAAACGTAATAATTAACAGATAAAAAATTGTACTAGCTATAAAAATAAACTTTTTACAGCCATTTAAACATTCAATTTGTTAACAACAATTAAACTGACCACTTTCAGGCTTTGCCACCAAGTTTTTTGGTTTCGAGAAGTCAAAATACTTAAAAATAAGTTATTTGCAGCCGTGGAATTCTGTTTGGCTACGGAAACCTATCTGGCCCCTAGCCCCTAGACTAATACGAGTGTAGTAGCAAAAAGTTGTCGGTCTTTTATCAAAGGAAAATCGTATCAACAAATTTAATTTAAAATCTAAAATACCGGCTGTTTTCGTAGTAGCTGTAGTCGCCCAGGTGCATCGAGTGTACGAAGTGGTCGGTTATATGTCAAATACTAACCTGGCGAGCTTGAACCTGAACTTGGCAACGCTGTTCCTTTAGCCGACAACTGTTCGTGACATTACGTTACAAAATTTTCCGAGCATCCGGGCATCGGCAGGGCAGCCCTCGTAGCGGGAGTTATGAGTTGATTTCCTTCATTTTTAAAAGTCGAGTAAAAAATTTTTTTTCCCGATTTTCTGTCTTTATTAAGCCTTCCGAATACGTGGTTAAAATTAATGACATTATGACTGAATCACCCTGTATATTTTTATATTAGGAACATGAAATCGGTGGCGAACAGAACCCAGCGCTTCACAACCTCCAAGTCCAACTGGGCAATGAAAACCTAGCACATCAAGTAGGTCAATCGGCCCAAGCTCAAGAAGCGGCCAACTTCAGCGACACGACAGCGTCTGCTGCTGGTTCCGACGATGAAGGATCAACTGCTGCCACGGACGGTTCTACCCTGAGAACTTCCCCGGCAGAACAAGGGGGTAGTGCTGGTTCCGAGAGCGGCGGAAGTGGGGTGGAAAGCATCACCGGGGAACACAACGTATCCGGGAGGTCTTCTGCTTACGGCGATAACATGCAGGAAGCCATTACTCTAGTTTCGAGGTCCGATACTAGTTCCGTGGCAAATGCTGCCGGTATCGCCACGGAAAGTGAAAATATACAACATGAAGATCCGGAAGTCGAATCGGAAAATAGCAGCAGGTTGCACGTTTTGAGGCTGCAGCTCTTGGAGAGGCTGATAGAGTACCTGCCCAATTTAAAGAATGTCGATGGGGTTAGAGCCATACCTTTCCTTCAGGTATGTTGTAACATGGTTTTTAATTCGTGTGTATCTCATGATGTGTATTTTAGGTCGTACTCCAGTTAACTACGGACTTAGATGGTCATTCCGAGCGTGACCGAAACTGTCTTAATTCCCTGTTGTCTGCTATAGTGGCCGAACTACAACTAGACAAGAGAAATACCGAATATATGTGTACGAGGACTAAACAGAGAGAGGTTCAATTGATCCTTATGAGATTGCTTAGTAAGTACACATTTTTATATTGAATTATTTGAATATTTATTTATTTATCTTTTTATTAATGTGTTTATTGCCTAATTTTCTGGTGTAAAATGTACAAATTTTGAAAATTCGCAATTTAAAAGGAACTAAATATATGAGCGATTATTCTTTTCTTATTTTTTTGTTCCTTTTACATAGAAAACTGCAAAAAATAAAATTTTGAGATACCGCCATTTATTTGAAATATGGCCTGACATATTCGAATGGGAATAAAGGCTTTCATGTATAAATTGTTAAGTTCTTTGTACCCCGGATTATTTTTTTAGTAAGCATTAATTAGAAACTTGTTTTTGATACTTTTCATTAAAGATAAAACTTAATGGTATAGTCTTTCCGAAGTCAGTTGAATTTGTATAAAAACGCCTAGCAATAAAATTTAATAAGATTCATAGGCGTCCCTAAATAAGTTGATTTCTATTATATGTTTATTTGGCCAACAACATATTTTAATTATTTTATGGTCTCAAACAATTTTATTAAATTGGTGATAAATTTCGTTTTGTTCCATTACAAAAAGTCTCCAAAATGCCATGATGTAATAATATTAGTAAACAAAATATCCCTCTTATTTCTTCCTTTTGCAATTGTAATATGAATGATTAATAGAAACAATAAATTAAAATTACCTGATTCACATCAAATTCCGCATTGCTGCACTACACTGTTAGGCAATTTGTCAACCACTTGTCGACAACTGAGATTTATTGTCCAGTCGTCCAGTGCAACTGTGTTATACACCTTTTGACCACGCGCGCATTCTTCAACTGGGCGTATATATTTCTACCACCTCCACATTTAGGTCGAAAAGACCTGTATATGTGTATGGCTAAATAAATATGGGAACAAGTTTTTCAAATATTTCAATGCCAAGTTGCTGCGTCAGCGACCGAACCTGGTATATACTGCCAACCAAGAGGTTCTTCAATTGAGATCGGAAAGACTATACTAATGGTACCGGCAAATAACCATGATCTTGTAAAACCTGCAGATTTATGTGAGTATTATAAAACTAAGGTTACTAGCAAGCAAGTCACTAAATGCAGTGTTTCCAAAATTAGCGGTTTTTTTAATTTTAAATTGTTTTTAAAAATATATAATGGCAGTCTAAAACCTCGGCTTATTAAAAAAATTAAAAAATTAATACTTAGAATGGATATTTTTAATTTTGAGAAATCGTATTTGAGCTCATTATTATTAATTTACAACTACCACGAAGAATTTTCACACTATGTTTGTTTGAAGGCGTGTTTATGCAAAGGATCAAAACTTCGTCGTCCTCCTCTTCGTCGAGCAAGGTGCCTATCTCCGACAATTGTACCTTTGTTTCCCGTACTACAGCCACAGTCCTGCACAAAGCAGATATCATAAATTACTGCAATAAACTCCTACAAGCTTTATTAAGCTACTGGCGCACCTCCACGGAAGAGGACGGTAACTCCAACACATCGGGAAGCCTTTTGAAGGAACACCTTCCTCATCCTCCGCCTGACATGACGCCATTCTTCCAAAGGCAATTCGTCAAAGATAACCAAGACGTTTTCCACAGTTTCCCGCAACTACTCACCGAAATCGCCTTGAGACTACCGTATCAAGTACACAGACACTCTGAGGTGTCCGAGTCGATCAGCATTGCGTTTGAAAATTCGTGGTACAACCATCTGTGTGACTACATGATGACGCCGCATACTCCGTTTGTTAGACGACAAGTACGAAAGTTGTTGATGTTTATCTGTGGAAATAAAGAAAAGTACCGCCAGTTGAGAGATCTCCACGGTCTAAGAAATCATATGAAGGGAGTGAGGGAATGTTGTGCGAAAGGAGGGTATCAGCCGATGATGGATGTACAACACGCTCTAAGCTTACCTTACGACTCTCTTGTTGAGCTCATAGAACATTTGAAATTTTGCGTGGAGGTGGCTCAAAGCCGTACGGGCAACTGGCAACGATTTTGCATCAAGGAAGATGATGTGATAGAATTTTTGTTCAGAGTAAGCTTCTTGCTTGACGACGGCGTGGCACCCACAATTCTTCAGCTCTTACAGTCGGCGCTGGTTGTAAACTCGGGAAATACAAAGAAACCAGAATCGAGCAAATCTACTACATCACGAAAAGACCGCGAAAAGTCCGATGATTCTGCCATCGAGGCTGTGTTCGAGGAATCAAGTTGTGTAACTTTGGTAGAACAAATCAATAAGAATCTTTCCAGGGAAGTATTTGCTAGATTTGTGAAAACGTTTATGTTGGAAACTAACACTACCTTAGTACGTTGGCAAGCGCATGCTCTGGTCCAGGCTATCTACAAAAACTCTAAACCGAAAGAACAAGAATCTATACTAGAACTGCTGTGGCAACTGTGGCCCCTACTACCGGCTTATGGGAAGAAAGCCGCTCAGTTCGTTGATCTTCTGGGTTATTTCTCACTAAAATATACCGAAAAACCAGAGGGGACACCTCAAATCCCTGAATATGTAGAAAGAGCAGTGAGCGTGCTTCGAGCCCAAAACGAAATGTTAGCTCATCACCCCAATGCTAACCTTTACGCTCACATGAGCCAATTCGTAGAACTAGACGGTTATTACCTGGAATCGGAGCCTTGCTTGGTGTGTAATAACCCCGAAGTACCTTTCTCTGTAATAAAATTAAGTTCTATCAAAGTTGATTCAAAATTCACAACCACAACTCAAATCGTCAAGTTGCTAAACAGTCACACCATTAGCAAAATCACTGTAAGAATCGGCGATTTGAAACGTACGAAAATGGTGAGAACTGTAAACATTTACTACAACAATAGATCAGTACAAGCCGTTGTGGAACTAAAGAACAAACCCGCGTTATGGCATAAAGCAAAGAAAGTCAGTCTTCAGTCCGGACAGACAGAAGTTAAAATAGAATTCCCCCTCCCGATCGTCGCTTGTAATCTTATGATTGAGTACGCCGACTTCTATGAGAACATTCAAGCTTCGTCAGAAACGCTCCAGTGTCCTAGATGCAGCGCCTCTGTACCTGCCAACCCCGGAGTGTGTGCGAATTGTGGGGAGAACGTATTCCAATGTCACAAATGTCGAGCGATCAACTACGATGAGAAAGATCCCTTCTTATGCCACGCCTGCGGTTTTTGCAAATACGCCAAGTTCGATTTTACCTTACTAGCCAAGCCATGTTGTGCTGTGGAACCTATCGAGAACGACGAAGATCGGAAGAAAACCGTGTCCAGTATAAATTCCCTTCTTGAGAAAGCCGACAGGGTGTACAAACAGCTGATTGCGAATAAGCCAACGTTGGAGTCTCTGGTGTTGAAAATTACCGAACACAGGTCGGATAAAAGGCAAGAAGAACCCACTACCAGCACGAATAATTCTTCAAACGCTGTGGCTGTCACTACGGGAGCTCAGGTGAAGGTGAATAAGACGATACAGATGTTGGCGCAACAGTATTGCAATGAATGCAAGACGTCGTTCGAGGAACTGAGTAAAATTATACAGAAGGTGTTGGTGTCAAGAAAAGAGCTGGTCGCTTACGATAGAAAGCACAGGTGAGTTACAATTTTTTTTATTATTATTATTTAAGAATGAATATACTAGATGGTGACATTACCAAGAAATCACTGCCACCTTCACCTATTTCAGTAAAGTTTATTATTATAGGGACATGGAACTTCCTAAAACTACCCCTATCCTAGGGGACACAAATTCAGCATCTACTATCTGCGTCAATAACCGTTGCTATGGCTGCTCTACCGCTGCAACCGAACACTGCTTAACCCTACTAAGAGCCCTGGCTCATAACCCAACCACGAGACAAGTACTCTGTTCAGAAGGACTGATCCAGGAGTTGGTGTGGAACAACTTACGCAAAGGCAGCGTCCACAACCAGGAAGAAGTAAGACAGTTGCTATGCGTTTTGACTAAAGACAATCCCTCCGCTACCGAGGAACTTTGTAATCTCTTGATGGAAAGGATAACTCTGAGCCTTAACGGTCACGTTAACAGTTCGGATTTGGGAACGAGCGTCAGACATGAGATAGCGCTTTTGGCAGCGATGGTCCAGAAGGAAGACGAATGTTGGGAGTTGAAACTGCGGTGCATGATGGGGCTTTTCTTGAAAGCTTGTGAGGATTCGAAGAGTCCTCTGGTCATGGAGTCTGTCATTCTGCCGTGTTTGAAGATATTGCAGAGTTTGATGAAACCGCCTGAAAGTAGCAATACTAAGAAGAACAAGGTAGTGTAAACATTTTTATCAGTTGTTTTTCATTTTGACTGTCGAATGATGTATGTGAAAATGAAGATAAAATTGTTGTATGTAATTACGAATACACGAGTGCCAGCCAGTATAATTTTAGAATAATCCAAAATGGTCATCATTTAATCAACCAAAGCAATAAAAAAAAATCATAATTTTTGAATGTCCTGAAACATTGTCAACGGTTTACACGCTACATGTTTAAAATACACAAATTTTAAAGATGCCATTCTTTAAATTTCATAGTTAGCAAAGAGGTTAGGTTAGGTTTTGACAGTTGACAGTGAGGTTAAATTAAGTTTTGACAGTTGACAGAGAGATTAGGGTTTAATGACGGGGAGTAAAGTAGGCAATACTGCGAGTAGCGTTTTATGCCTGAACTTATTAAACTTTGGGAATTTATGTTTTAAATACCTTGCAGCTATGAAAAAAAACTTCAGGAGCAAAACAGTAGGCAGTAAAGTCAAATAAATCAAACCTCAGTTTTGACTACTTCTTGATGTAAAATAATTTTGTGTATTTCCTGCCAGGAAATTGTAACGTGCTGTTAATTTTGCATAGTGTTCCGATATGTTCAGCCTATGCTTGCGCTGTCAGTTTTGCACATATCTAAATATTGAGAATAGGCCTACTACTTTTGCAGTGCAGGTTTAGTTTTTCCAGCGCTATTAAGTAAATTAAAAAATATTAATTCTTGTAGTTTTCTTATGAATTTCAAATTTACAGGAAAAAGCAAATACCGCCACTAGTTCCAATGCTAAGGTTCCTCTAACTGGAATAACGGTCGATGTCTACAAATTCCTTGACAAGGACGCTGACCATACTTTTGCCGGGTGGAAAGCTAGACTGCCCAAGAAATTGGATAGTAAATCATCCATACCAAATGGTAAAGAAGAGGTATACGCCCAAAATTATATATTTTGTAGAAATTAAGTAACACGCTCTTTTCAGACGAGGAAGTATTACCTGGCCGAAAAATATGCAAGAAATTGGAGGAGAAACATGAGAAGATCGTTTGGCAACAATAAACTGAACTTGAACGATACGTCTTGGCTTAAGGCGGTTATATTTAACTCTAGTTCGCGCCTGGCACGACAGGTGGCCTGTAATATTATCGAACTTATGTGTGGCAGTTTCGAACGTAAAAGAGAGGTAGGCATTTTTTCTTGCACAATGTTATAACCGTTATTATTTGTAAATACTCAGAATCATTTTAAAATTCCAGATCCTCAACCTGCTGACGCATTTCCTGGTAGAACTAAGGGTAGCAGGTGAAAGTTCTGCGGAATTTCTCACTCTGTACCAGAATTTGATTCAGGAAGCGCCTTGGAAACAGTACCTCACCGTCCAGGGAGTCCTTCTGGTGTTGGCGCAACTGGTAACGGTAGAAATTGAACAACTTCACCGATTGGAAGAAACGACGCTGACCTCAGACCTCGCCCAAGGCTACGCCCTTAATCAACTAACCGAGCTGCTCTCGTCCTTCCTTGATGACGTGGCTATCAGGCGACAGTACAAGGGAAGGCTCGTCGGAGCCGTCCTCAACGGATATCTGTCTTTGAGGAGGCTGGTAGTGCAGAGGACTCGATTGATAGACGACACGCAGGAGAAACTTTTGGAGTTGCTGGAGGAAATGACTACAGGTAATAATTAGTTAAAAATGGTCACCATGCATTGTTGTCAAATATTATCTGATTTATCAAAAATTACTCTCATCATTTTATTAAAATTATTATTTGTAAGTCGTTATAAGCAGAAATATTAAATGTCGTCATATTGCAGGTACCGAGGAGGAAACGAAGGCCTTCATGTCCGTTTGCATCAAGACGGTCGAGAAGTACAGCCTCCAGGACATACTAACGCCAGTTTTCATCTTCGAGCGGCTTTGTTCGATAATTTACCCAGAAGAAAACGACATCGGCGAATTCTTCTTGACCCTGGAGAAGGACCCCCAACAAGAAGACTTCCTCCAGGGGCGGATGTTGGGCAATCCTTATTCGAGTCTAGAGGCAGGCCTGGGCCCCCTCATGAGGGACGTGAAGAACAAGATATGTCAAGATTGCGAACTGGTGGCTCTTCTTGAGGACGATAATGGAATGGAGTTGTTGGTGAATAACAAGATTATGAGCCTGGATTTGCCCGTTAAGGATGTGTATAAGAAGGTAAGGTGTTAGCCCTGCATTTTATTTGTAATATTTAGAATTTTTTTATTGTAGGTTTGGTTGGCAGAGGGTGGTGATCACGAAGCGATGCGGGTCGTGTATCGTATGAGAGGGCTCCTCGGGGACGCCACTGAAGAATTTATCGAAACTCTTAGTAACAAATCGCAGAGTACCGTAGATAATGAAGAAGTTTACAAAATGGCGAACGTTCTGGCTGAATGTGGAGGCCTTCAGGTAATTTAAGATTAGCAGGCCGTTTTTGATATATTTTTTTATCAGGTCATTTTCTTCAAGTCAAGTGCAACGAAGAGCAATTTTTATATAAAATATTGAAAATTTTTCAAATCTGGAACTTGATTAAATTTAAAACACTTTTAAGGTTATGGTAACAAGATTGGGAGCGATTCAGAGCGTGTTTAGGGCCCGTCCCCTGCTGCAGGTTCTACTAAAGTTATTCAGGTTGTGTGTTAAAGTGAATCGTTGCCAAGAAGTGCTTATACAGCCAGAAGTAGGTGCCATGGAGGTGTTTTTGAGGACGCTGCAACTATGTTTAGACAGTGAACCCGATTCTAGTCAAGCTGCCGTCACAGAACAGCTGTTAGACGTAAGTATTAAGCGTTTTTATTTCAGCTTAAATCAGACAGTTTCAATTTTCTTTTTTAGATAATGGAAACGATCCTATCGAAGGCCACGAGCGAATCGTTTGATCAGTTTGAGAAATTCTCGCAAACATTCGGCAGTCCTGAATATGTCAAATCTCTACTATCCTGTACTAGTCAGTCGAGCGTCAAAAATAACAATGCGGTCCTTGTACACCTCACGAGAGTACTAGCGGCTCTCGTGTACGGAAACAAGGAAAAAATGGAAATACTCCTCGACCATTTCAAACCCGTCCTCGATTTCAATAAATACGACTTCGAACACAATTCCGATGAGCAACAAAAACTGGAAATGTTCTGCGTTTTAACGAACGGTATCGAGAAGAATGCCATCGGTAACAGCCTCAAAGACTACATAATATCGCTGGACATTGTGAAAAACTCACTGGAATACATAACAATGCATGCGCCATGCGTGAAACCAACACTTTTAAGGACCGACAGCGACGAACTGAAAGATTTTATATCGAAACCTGCTTTGAAGTATATCCTGCGATTTTTAACCGGTCTGGCCCACAGTCATGAAAAAACACAAGTAAGCATTGACATTATACGAGAAAAACTTGTTAATTAATGTAATTTTTTTTTTTTAGGTTGCCATTGCAGCTGCCGAAACCATTCCCATCATCCACAGACTGGAACAGGTATCGTCCGACGAACACGTCGGATCCCTAGCCGAGAACCTCCTGGAAGCGTTGTGCACCAACCCTGATGTCGCGAAGCAAATAGATGCCGTCAGAGACTTCACCAGATCGGAAAAGAAACGTCTTGCCATGGCCATGCGCGAGAAACAACTGGGACAGTTAGGAATGCGGACTAACGACAAGGGGCAGGTCACCGCGAAATCCACGATACTCCAGCAGATCGAGGAGTTGGGAGAGGAGTCCGGATTGGTCTGCTGTATTTGTCGCGAGGGCTACAAGTATCAGCCGACGAAAGTTCTCGGGATCTACACGTTTACGAAAAGATGCAACGTTGACGATTTCGAGGCAAAACCGAGGAAGACCGTTGGGTACACGACGGTCAGTCACTTTAATATCGTTCACATTGATTGCCACATGAGCGCCGTCAGGTTAGTACACTTACAAGTAATAAAATGTTTTTAATTTAGCTTTGAATGTATTTATATTTATTTTATATTTGTTTTTAGATTGGCTAGGGCACGTGATGAATGGGAATCCGCCGCCCTCCAAAATGCCAACACGAAATGCAACGGTCTTCTGCCGTTGTGGGGACCGCAGGTGCCAGAGTCCGCCTTTGCCAGTTGCCTAGCCAGGCACAATACGTATCTTCAAGAGAGCACGAACCACAGAGACATAGGACACAGTTCTACCATCCACGATTTAAAACTCCTGCTACTGAGGTTCGCCCAGGAAAAATCCTTCCACGAGGACACGGGAGGCGGCGGACCGCAAAGCAATATGCACGTCGTCCCTTACTTAGTTCATGTTGCACTTTACGTGATCAATACGTGAGTATTCTACTCATCGCGATGGAGCTGTATTTAATTCTCGTGTTTTTGCAGAACTCGCGTTAGTAAGCGAGAGGAATCGAGTTTAATGTCGTATCTCGAAGCGAGTAATACGGAACGGTGGATAGAGTCGTGCTACGAAGCCGAGGGACCTCTGTATTGGTCCACGATGTCCGTTCTCTTGCACTCCGCGGAGCAGTGGAAAAGTCACAGGCTTTCGCACCTCAAAAGGCTGGTAGTTCTCGCACAAGCCAGGCATTGTCAACCCACCGGCCCCGCTAAGACCCTCTCGGACAAAACTGTTAAGGAATATGCCGTTTACAAGCCCTATTTGGTGTTCTTTGGATTAGTAGATGGTATATACAGTTACTTCTTTAAGGTACGTTGTTTGATGTAATTCAAATGTTTACCAATGTTTGCTCCATAAATCTTTCAACTAATTAGTCAAGAAATTGTTATAATGATCCTGCATACGATCTCAAAATTTAAAAATAAAAACTTCCTGAAGATATTCATCTCAAATATTAATTTTTTTACCAACCAAAAGTATTAGATCAGAATTTAAGTGTTTTTGTGTGTCTTCCATGCTTGGAAATTGTAATGTGCTGATGCTTTCGCATATTGTTCCAATGATATATTCAGACTGAATTGAGTGATATATAATTTTAAACTTTTTCTTTCATTTTCTGATAGTATTTTACCACTTAAATATATCGTAAAAGAATTAGGTCAATAGGATTAATAATAATTAAGTGATATATTTAATTCTGAATTTGTAAGACCCTTAAAAAGGTCAACACTGCAGGAAAACAGGTAATGACGTCACGATACCGGCCACTCGGCGGATCAAGTTGCGAGCAGTCGGAGAGATACATATTTGCCTATACTTTTACCTATATTTTTAAGTGTATATATACAGAGTGTATAAGAGATATATACCAAGTCTTGTTGAAGTGCATTTTTCACACAACATATTTATTATAAACTGTTAAAACACGGTAATTTGAGAAAATATTTATAACAATCCAGGAATTAAATATAACATAAAATCAATTATTAACAGTACAGTGCTCAACACTTATAAGTCTATATCGGGAATGAATTCCTGTCTCCCCAACTTGCAGGCATTCCTTATATTGAGGCCACATCTACTTTATGGCTGTTTTGACATTTATTATAAACAGTGACCACAGCTTGATACAAGGTCTCTCACAAAACATAGAATGACTTGGAATACCTAAATACATTTTCGGATTTTTCTCAGTGACGAACATAAATGGTTCGCTTTTCTACATTTTCTTTTGGGTTCCATTTTTGTACAAATGTATCCAACCTACTAGACTCGGTACTTGTAGATGTATGCAACGACATGTATGTGCCAGTAGTACTTTGACTAGTATTTGAAACAACTCGGAACCACCCTCATTTTTCTTTGGTTGTCCGTCTAGGGGGTTGTAAAATATTATTATTTAAATAAATTGCTTATAGGTCATGCCTCTCGTCACGTATTTCAAAATTTTTGTGAGTGGGAACGTTTAGATGGGGTAGACATTTTTTTTTCAGCATAAATTTGAAAATTATGCTCTAAATGTTCAAATATGATAATTATAGCCCCCTAGACGGGCAACCAAATAAAAACGAGGGTGATTCTGAGTTGCTTGTAGGTCCCTTTCGCAGACGTATTTCGAAATTTTTGTGAACGGGTATGTTTAGATGGAGTAGAAATTTTTTTTTCGGCATAAATTTGAAAATTCTGCTTTAAATGTTCAAATAATATTTATAACCCCCTAGATGGGCAACCAAAGAAAAACGAGGGTGATTGAGTTGCTTATAGGTCCCTCTCGCCGACGTACTTTGACATTTTTGTGAACACATGGACATTTAGATGGGGTAGAATTTTTTTCCGGTATAAGGTTGAAAATTGTGCTCTAAATGTTCAAAAAATATTTTACAACCCCCTAGACGTACAACTAAAGAAAAATGAAGGTATATCCGAGTTGCTTATAGCTTCCCTTGTCCTTCTATTTTAATTTTTTTATAAGCGAGGTGCAATGAACATGCAAATGTAGTAAAAATTTCCGCCCACAATTCGGTGATCTGAGCTCCTCCATCCCAAAGATGATTTCCTGCTGGTCATAAACCGTGGCTAGGGAAACCGTGGTTAACATCACACAAACTTTTCATTTTTCGGTAATGAAATAAATATTTTATTCGGAGTCGATACTGAGATACTTTTGCAGCCTGGAACTATACAATATTTGTACAATCCTCGGTTTCGACCTATTTAGACATAATAACAATGATTAACTAAACTGCCAAGCGAACCACACCGTGTGTATTAACGGAATGGGATGGGGAGTGAGCGGGAGCGTGAGCAGAGTGCTCTGCTAGTCGCCTGTACCGGTATTATGACGTCAGGCGATGGTTCCTCAATGTTTTTCTGCGCTCTTCATTAATTTATTTCACACATTTCTTATTGAAACAAAAAATTGATTTTTGGCATACTAACTAACTAAAGGGTAAATTTTTAGAATATGCAAAAAAAAATTCAACTGATTGGGCCTATTACTGAAAAATTAGTATAATAAAGAAGTGCTTACCTACCTACCTATTGGACCAGCCCACTTTTATGTTTTTGCATTCACATGTAACTTGACCAATTTATCATGTAAAAAAAATCGGTTAATGCAAGACAGGTTTTACTAAACATTTTTTCAACAGAATGTGTCCGGACCAGATGAGCAGTGGCCCAACAACCTTGCGGACTACATCCGTCATAACGACGAGTCTCTCATGAAATCTTCAGAGAAGCTATTGGCTTATTATACAGAGGAGCTTCTACCCTGTACTTCCTTTCCAGAATTCTGTGATGTAGCAGGTAAGTCTTTATGGCGATTTAATTTGCAAATTGTGGAAAAATCCTGCGTTTTAATGCTGGCGGAGACATTTTATATATTTATTTTTTGTTTTCAGGTTTGTTGGATGCGATTACTAATCCCGAAACCTATATAAGTGATCTTTTTAATGGTATATCTTAATGTAAAAATTTTCAAGGGTTTTAAATCTAAACAAAGGCTGTACTATGATTTTATTATTTGCTTGCTGCTAGTTTGTAATGATTCTATAAGTAGACCTTTTAAAATAAATAATGCTTGTTGATGGAGTTTTAGAATACTAAATTATTGTACTATTAAATATTTAAAAATAAATTTATTGGAACTTACATTGTATTTTTTTGTTCATGAATGAATCTGTGTTAATAGACAAGTGTATGTGTGGGTGTACTCTGTAGTGCCTCTGAAAGGAAATATGCAAAGGGGTGTAATATTGTTGTCCTGGAGACCAAGGCCCAAACAACCGCAAAGCTCCCCATAAATTAGGTTAAATATAAAGTATAAAACAAGCGACTACCTTAAAATCGAGTAATATGTTTATTCTCTGCACAATTTCTGAAATAATACGGAATCTTATAAGCATCAACTGATATAAATATAGAGTTGCAAGATCCAAAGTCAGTTTTCACTCGACAGGACAAATAATAAACCTCACACTTCTGATTGGTAGAGCAGTAGAAAATTTAATCCAAATACATCATTTCCTTTTTATTATTACAAAGAAGAGTTTGACCACCTTTGCCTGACGGCTGGGTTTGTGCTTCACCATAAATTAAAAGGATTTCCTTCAACCCCAAGTTGCTATACACGTAACCCATTTTTGACACTTGAAAAATTAATGTAAACACTATCGTAAAAACAATACTAAAATTGGATTTCAGTATTCTGAATCGCCTAGGGACACGTGGAGGGAAAGCGCAAATTGCGTACAGCACACAATGCGTATGATGTTAGACTACTACTAAGGATTTTACAAAAAAATTTTTTATGGTATTGAAATTTTTTTGGACAAGTTGTGAGTCACCATATTCATACATAGTGTGTCTGCCAACATTGTTGATAATTAATCTACGACACCCTGTCCTCTCATCATCATGCATGCTGTCTCCTCAATCAGAAAATGTACCGAACCACAGGAACACTTGTAACAGTTGGTACGTTTCTGTGGTTGTTTTTCCAGCTCTTAAACACCTTGATTGCTATATGCTGTTCAATGTGATTCCATGACAACTATTAAAAACTCGCTTAACATGTATTCATACACAGTCGGTCTGCCAACATTGTTGATAGTTGATCGACGATCAGACTTTGGCGCAGAGCGCACAGCTTCGATGTTTTCATGATTGCGAGGACACCCTGTCCTCTCATCATCGTGCACGCTGTCTCCTCCATCACAAAACCTACCAAACACATCAACACACTTTTGTAACAGTTGATATGTTTCCATGGTTGTTTTACCAGCTTTATGCAACTTGATTGCTGTGTGCTATTCAATGTGTAATTTGATGACAACTATCGAAAACTTGCTTAACGCAAAATGTTATATCTTCGTGGTAGATACATGTATACTGATGAAAATTTGTTCGGTTTCTCGGAAGGCTTCCCACTACGTAGCTCCCTTGACTACTAATAGATAGTGCCATGCACTTCGCCTCAATAAAATCAGTCTTAAGTAGAGTGCGCGAACGAAATGTGTGTGCTCATCTGCTTAATTGAACAATAGACAACTGTATGAATTGCACATATTTTTTATTACGAATTCGTTATCTGTATCTGCATCACTTTCTGGTACTGGTAGGAATTCTAATCAAGTTTTCACAGAATTTAATTAATTTATTTTCAGATTTTTATTCAGTTTAGGTCGACATAAATAACTGTCAACTGTCATTTAAATGAAAAATTAAGAGATGGCGCTAACATAGATTTACGTAGTTTATTTAAATTTAGTGTATTTTATTGTCAATTCGCGGGTGATAAATGTGATTACCACATGCAAATAAATACAGTAGGCACAGTTATTATTATACAAAAATAAAAACACAACAGACCACAGCGAGGGAAAAACTGAATTGAATTCAGAGACAGGCCTGTTTAGGTATGACGGGAGCGATGGCATCGACACCGACAGCTGTACTAAGTCATGCTAAATCTACCACCGCTGCATAGAGTGGTGGAAAGAGAAGCATGGCTAGCAGCATATCAACTCAGGAATAACAACGACTGGAGGGGTAGTTCCTATTCCAGGATCATGGACACATCTATGTCGGAACCAACTCTTGGGATAGTATCTGACAGGACGGTTCTAAGGTTCCACTTCCACAAGCCATTTGAGACTCGGATAGAGGATCAAGGCAAGTGAAAGAAGAGTTTGATACCCTGGAAAGATGGAGCCTAGTATGGTTTACAGATGGCTCCAAAATGGCCAGAGGGACGGGTGCAGGAATATATGGACCCAGATGGAGTGTAAGCTATAGTCTGGGGGAGTTCCCTACCGCAATCCAAGCAAAAATTTTCGCGATAATGGCATCCCTGGCAAAGAATGTACGTAGAGGTTATAAACGTAAACTCATATATATATTCTCTGATAGTCAACCTGCAATTAAAGCTTTAGGCACACACAGGATAAGTTCAAAACTTGCGTGGGATTGTTTACAAATGCTGACTGAACTGGCCACCAATAATACAGTTAGACTATTGGGTGCCGGGGCACAAAGGCATTTGTAGAAACGAGAAAGCGGATTAACTTGCTAGGAAGGGATCCGAGACGGAGTTCATTGGCCCGGAGCCCTTCTATGGTATATCTCCCAGTGAGGTCAGGCGGGCTCTGGGCAAATGGACCGAGACAGAACATAGGAAATACTGGACTTCAAGGCCAGAATATGGCCGTTCTAAGAAGCTCATGGAGTATCCTTCAAAGGAAAGAGCAAACGATTTACTGAGCTTGAATAAAATGTGGCTCGGGAGAGTGACAGGACTCATAACGAGACACTGTCACTTTCGAAAACATCTACATAAGCTAAAGCTTGTAAACAGTCCGGTCTGCCGAGGATGTGACTCGGCAGATGATACTTCTCTGCATATCCTGAGCGAGTGCCCAGGATTTGCACGTAGTAGAATGACGCTCCTGGGGAGACGTTATTAGGAACCCAAGGAACTGAGAAAAGTGTCAGCTAGAAAGATTTTGGACTTTGTCAAAAGGACAAAACTACTTGCTGAATAGGACTAGTAGTGGGACGCACGATAGACCTAATTAGGCCACGGTGCCATGGGACTCATTAGAACCAACCACTAGGAAAGAAGGCACAGTTATTTACCGATCTAAAAAACAAACTTAAAGACAGGACTTATCCCTCACGAGTAATAAAAAATGAGTTTAGTCACATTAAAAATAATTTTGATAGTCTCATGTTATATTTGTGGGTTAATAGGTACATCTCCCTTACTGTTAGAGGCAGATTCCAAACCGTTTACTACCGCGATTCAAAAAAATGTTCTATACACTAGTGAAGCACATAATCGGATGATTTGAATAATCGGAAAGTCGGTATTCGACTATTTCAATAATCGGATGATCATCCGAGTAATCGCTCAAATTTTTGTCGAACGGTATCTGGAACTGAGATGCGGCTTGTTGGACATATCCGCGGCCGCTCATGTGTAGGGAAGATTCCGTTCCGTACATCCCGCGTCGATTCTATTTACTATAATATTTTTACATTCGAAAATGTAGGGGTCACGAATTTGATCGTTGTAAAATTATTTTTCAAACATTCTTGTCAATTGTGATATTAGGTTATTTTTAAGCAGGTATTTTATTTTATTTCTGTTAAATAATTTTGCGATCGATGTACCGATCATACTTTAATTTTATTTTCAATCAAAAATGATTTATTTTTTATTATTTCAATAATCGGATGATCGATTATTATTTTTCAATTGGATGATCCCATCACTACTATACAACAATATACAGGATTGAAAATATGTAGAACTGACAAATGTACATCATGAAGGCGATTTTCAATTGTTTGTCTAGTCTACATTTATTTGCAGAAACATCGTTACTTCACTATGGTCAGGAGACGACATTACCAGGTTGTAAGAAATAACATCCCCATTGCCATTACTTCAACCTAGTCGTATATTTATATAAATAATATACATAATATTAGTACAGATTATATTTTAAGTGCACAAATGTAAAAAATAATGTAACCATATAATATTTATCTGTTAGAAAACATTGATTTTACTGACTTGACAGAATATACAACAGAAATTTTCTACACATTTACACACACACTATACGAGTTCTAAGGTATTTATTTTATTAGAGTTCCTCAAAAGGGTATTATTTTGTACCTCAAAAAAAAAATTGCTTCCGAACATCCAGCAATATATATCTATAATTAAAAGTACACGAGCCTTCAAATATGAAAGCTAAACGCAATAAAATTAATCAATTTTTGTGGGGGATAACTTTTTAGGCACAATATTACAATCCCCTTCAACCAAAATTTCAGAATTGACAAGGCAAGATGCACCTATTTCACTTCACGGCAACTTTACACAATTCAAATTAGTTGCACTGTTTTGAATTCTAAGACATTTATTCTATTAATGTTTACTATGAAATTTTGCATCTTACTAATCTAAATATATACATTATCTCCGACCCCCCGCATAGGGTGTTTTGGAATAAGTCGGAGGCCGATGGAACATACAGATATAAGACATCTTTTTTTTCAGAAGACCAACAATCTATTATCTGTTTATGAGATATAGGGCCTCAAAACAGTGCATTTTCAACGAATTTAACAAGACATTGTAAAAAAGCTATTGTTATACGATGTTACTGGATAAAGTCGTAACTAGTGATCTCTAGCAGATTGAAAACTTATCTGCACCAGATTTCAATACATTTTGCTGTAGTTTGGAAAATATATGGCTAAAATTTGATTTAATATTTTTTTTGAATTCAACAAAAAAAATTATATGTCCATGACCTATAAGAAAACATTTTTTGACCTTCCAATCTCTAAATGGTACCATTTCCCAAAACACCCTGTATAATGTATACTTTCAATTATAGATTTCAAATTGAATAAAAATTGTTCCCGATTTTCACGAACTCTTAACGATACAGTGGTCTTGGTTAATATTGCTACCCCTTTCGAAAAATTCTACATCAAAAAATTCCAACTGCCCCTTAATAGACTGTTAATTTTTATAATATCTCTAGAACAAATACATAAACTCTTCTTCACGCGGGCAGTAATAATTTTTGACGACAATTTCAGAAACCTCCCAATAAATACTTTAGAAAACAGTTCTTTATACATTGGTGCTTGCGATAATTTCTCTAGGATAATAAATTTTATAAATATACAAGAGATTCTCAAATTCAATTGCAAGGTTTCATTGAAATTTAATATTATATCTTGGTGTTAACCACTTTTTTTTTTCTTCTCGAAAAGACAGGTACTGTACAATATTATCTTTTAATATAATCTTACAAAATCAAAACTGTAACAACTATATAATTTTCCAATTAAAATTGCCGTTAAGGGTAATAAATTCAATGACGATATATAAAATTTATAAAATTAAATAAAGCCTAAAATACAATAAATACAAATTCCGAAAAACAGAACAATCATAAAACATTTTATTCAAAGAAAAAAAATTGTGTTTTGCACACTTCAATCCTAAGAAAACTGTTTTGTACCTTAATCGCAAATATATTATCAAGAAATTATTAGATAACCGATTATCTTTGTATGACAAACAATACTTAAATCTAAGAAAACAATTATCAAAACACAATTTTTGTGTGGCAAGAATCGCAAATGTCTCAATATTATCCTCAAACATCTACCAGATTTCTTAACTGTTGCAAAAATACCCTCACCAGAGTTGAAGCTGATCACTCCATATAAAATACGAGATTTTTTTGAAATGCAATGCAAGATGACCGTTGAAATTGAATTTGTTCAGACATTTGAGCATCGATACCTCAGGTCAAATTTTCTATCGAAGATCTTCTATTACTTATAATCAAAAGAATAATTTAGCACAAAATAAAAAAAGTTTGCCACAAGGAAAGCTTTTAGTTTTTTTATAAGTGGTTTGTTTTTATTTATCATCTCTAAATGCATAAAAATGGAAAAAATAATTCTGTCAAATATCTAAACTGAAATAAAATCGTAGACTGCTCAAGATCATTCAACCAAGTTTTTTTAAAACACCAACTAAAAATTTAAAAAATGCTTTGAAAATTATTGCTCAAATCAATTTATGCGCAAATAATGATTTTATTAAAAGTTATAATATAGAGTTTGTGTTACAACCCACTATGATCACCAATTCAATGTTAATTTTCTTCCAACCTAAGTTTATTCTTCAGTTTAAACTTTATGATAATTTTACATTTTGAAATTTTAAACACCTCGTAGAAAATGTCTATTGAAGAGATATAACCTACAAACTAGGTCCTCTTCAATTTTACTCTATGCCTACTGACACAAAGTGTTGCTTTGTACTTACTGACCAATAGTTACCTTCTAATCTATAGGTATTGTGAAAGCAAGACTTATATTATGCATTAACTAACACACACACAATATCTGCTAAAAAGTAGGTAAAGTCACCAGACACAGACCAATGGCACATTAATGAGAACTAACAAGTTCAAAACCAGTCTGAGTTTCGTGGTTCCGTCTGCGAATTCTGCTGGACGGGGCACTAGTTGTTTCCCATAGTAACGTTAGTTAAAATGAATGTCTATTCAAATCAAACTGTAATCCCATATCTTCTGAATAATCAAATTTTTTATTCATGTCATTATTTTTGTTATTATTTGAGATACAAAGTTAAATTAAAACGCATCAATCCAAGAAACGAAATCAATAACAAAAACAAGGAAGAAAATTAATTAAAACTTCTAATAACGGCTTCACATCAATGAGTCGTGCAAAACCAGATGTTACAAATTTTCTTGATCAATGAGGTTGCATGTATTTTCAAGGCATGTTCTCAGTGTCATTCAAAGTGGGGTATGTAGGGTTTGACAATTTACTTCTATTGCTTTTTTGCAATAAGTTGTTAATCGTGTATCTCATTTAATAACAAAGGTAATGAGTAGTTAAAAGAAATTATTTAGAAAAATGGCGCTATAGTTGGATACAAGTCAACATTTGAAATTTTAACTAGTGCACCCTAGTGTTTAACATATTAGGAAACAAATTATTCTCTCCCACACTGTATAAGCCGAAAATTATAATTTTAATAAGTGAGATATAAACTTATAATTCAAAAAAATAATAAATCGTTAAACTCATATCAGTCTTTTGCAAAGAAATCAACTTTGAAATTAATCTCCATTTTTAGCAGTGTATTCATTTTGATGCAAAATGTATGATTGTTTGCTCTATACCTAATGCTGCATTATAAATTTTGTAGTGTTATAAATATAAATATATAATATACTCCAACTAAAGTGTGTCGCAATAGTAACCCAGGATTTGAATAGTGAGGGTGTGTAGCTGAGATTGTGCGCAAATTATGGGGAATTTTCACTAGAAGTAATGCCCCAAATGAAACAACTGCGAAAATATTCGTTGTCAAATTTGAACAAACGGATTCGGTTGCAAACAATAAAAAAACACGGTCTCGTACTGGCCATTCAGCTGAAAATATTGGTACGGTGAATGATGGTGTGGCGAAAATTCCTGTAGCCTCAGTATGCTGTCGATCATTACAATTAAAAATTTCAAAAAGCTCAATGCGTCGGATTTTAACAATGATGGCTCATCCGTCATATAGCGCTCCATTTTGTCTAACCGAAACATGTTTACTACAACATATGACCTTGCACAATGCTGCCAACTCTTCAGAATGAAAATGGCACACAATACAAATCCTACGTTACTTTTGGGACACGATTTAATAAATTCGTGTGCCTACTTTCCTCAGTCTGAATCTACTATTCCAAATTTGCCAAACTCTAGAAATAATTTTTTATAATCAAGAAAATAGTTCATAAAAAAGGTACATTTTAATCAGCGATACTCATTATCTTTTTTAAAGCAATGCAATCAACGTTGACTGAAAGGTTTGAAACAGTATTAACGTGTTCTTAAGCTCTATGCCACACTTACGAAAAAGAGGGAAAGTACAAAGAAATGTTTTTATCAGAAAAGGCCTTGTTTTATCGCAATTTTTGCCAAATTTCGTGTCCCGAGGAGTATTCTTTTACAAAACAATATATTAACCTGTAAAAATGCCTTGTTAAAATGATTACACTGAATTTACCAAAAAAAAAAAAATTGTGTAAACAAGAATGAGGAATCCTTTTTTATTAAAACTTTTCTCGTTTATTGAAAGTGATCACTAACCGTCAAAGCTCTTAACAGCGTCTTCAAAACACCGCGCTCCATTCAGGATTATTATTGAGACATGCGCAATCCTTCCGAGTCGAGTAACATCAGCTTTAAACAACAAAATCACTCATTCTTGGGTGACGCCGCCGCCTGAGCGGGTGACCGTTCGTTTTCTGACTCACTCACTTCAGTCTTTGGCTTGTCCTGTAAGCTGATCCTGAGCTCGCCGACCTGGCTGCCAGTATAGAGACGTTTTATACCCCGTGGCAGTGCCCTGCACGACTGCAAATTTATGGAATGCAACTTGGAGCATTTCGTCAGCACCGCCTTCACGGGGTCCAGACTGACCGACGAGCCGCACAGGTTGAGGATCCTGAAAATCATGCAAAATGGCCTCATCGAAATTTATAGCATTTTTGAAAGACAAAGTTTCTCAGAAATTGACAAGGGTAATATTTCAGGATCTTAAACGAGAGAAAATATTTATTTCAAATATTAAGAGTACGTATACAGGGTGTCCCATTAATATTGCGAAAAAATTCAGGGGGAGTTTCCTTGACCAAAAATAAGATAGAAAGTTCCTATAAACCTATGTCCGAAAATGCTTTGTTGAAATTTAGAGAAAATACAAGGTTTTTACTAATATCTGGAGAACCCTAATTTTGATTTTTTTGAAATTTGGTATGTTTGTATATAAAAACGGTAGACGTCTTCTGACGTAATTTGATTTATTTTATCTATTCCAGCGGCGTCCAGGGAGTCACTCCTGTTGATATTAATCAGTAAACATATGAGACGTTACTGCTTTTTCTTAGGCGTCATATGTTTTTCTAATTATGCGATAAAAAATACATCTTTTTTATCTCTTTACTTTTTTTGATATCTTGCTTCGTTTTCGAGCAAAAAATTAATAGCTTAAGTGTATGATTTTAATAAGTACTTGAACTGTGTAGTTGTCAATTCCTGCTTGTCAAAATTAAATACACAAATAGTGAAATGTGCAATATGCATGTTCTTTATGGCCTTGCCAACAGTAATGCATTAGCCGCCAGGCGCCTCTTGAGCAGAAATACCCTAAATTCTCTAAATTTCAACACCCTGTATCTCCAAAACGAAGCATTTTCGGACTTACGTTTATAGGAACTTTCTTTCTTATTTTTGGTCAAGGAAACTCCCCCTGATTTTTTAGCAACACCCTGTATATTAGGCAGCTAGATCCAATAATGGATTACATAAAAGAGAAAGTAATTTTCAATAAAAATAACATTTTTGTGAATAAGTGAATGGAATATTGTATTTTTGTGTCTCATTTGGTACTTTACAATCATGCAACATTACTGTACACTTTTGCCTTAAAATTTTTCTTTATACAAGGTTGACCAAAAAGTAACGAGAATTTTCAAATTTCAATCTTGACTATGGAGTTGATTCTTTTTTTTATGTATTGGTGATGTACCTGCCATTTTAGACAGCTGCCATGCTGAGTTTGTGTTTACCAAACAAATGTGTTAAGACTTACTTCAGTGTTTTTGGTAATTTTCTTGTGTGGTGAAATGTAGGATCAGATAGTTTGCTGACGTTTTGATTTAAAAACAGAATTAAGTATAGCGAAACATTCAAAATATTAGAGGAGGCCTTTGGCAATGATGCTATGTCAGTCACAGGTGTACCAATGCAATGGTACAAATGCTTTCAGGAAGGCCGAGAAGATATTGCAGGTGATGCCCTAGCACATCCACTAAGGATGAAAAAGTGGAAAAAATGAAGAGATGGTGCTTGTTAATACTATCACAGAGGTTGCTGAAGAAATAGGAATTTCATGGAGCTCATACATCATTTTTATGAATGTTTTGAGCATGAAACAAGTAAAAACAAAATTTGTTCCAAAACTGCAAAATTTTCAACAAAAACAACATCGCACAACCATCGCTGAACAAATGCTTACTGACGTCACTGATGACCTAGAATTACCCAACTGCGTTATAATTGGTGACAAAACGTGGGTATATGGCTATGACGCCAAAACGAAAATTCAATTGTCTCGATGGAAGTTTTCTGAGAAGCCACGACTGAAAAAAGCACGTCAAGTCTGGTCAAACTTGAATATCCTTCTAACAGTTTTTTTCTACTACAACAGAATAGTTCATCGCGAATTTTTACCAGTTGTACTGTTAACCAGAAGTACTACCTACAAGATTTACACAATTTGTGTGAGGCAATCAGGAGAAAATACCCCGAGAGACAACTTGTGGATTTTGCACCATGACAACACACCAGCACATGCCACTTGCTTATCTTGGCGAAACAGAACGCCACTGTGTAGCCACAACCACCCTACTCTCCAGCCATGGCCCCTTGACTTTTTCCTATTTGCTAAACTCAAAAGGATACTCAAAGGACGTTTTTCAACAATAGATGAGATAAAGGCATGGGATAAAAGAGAAAATTAACAATTCTCGTTACTTTTTATCAAACATGGTATAAAAAAATTATTAGCGGCACAGGACAAATGGCATAGTTTTTAACTGGCAATTCTGTGTGAACAGAAAGCTTTTAAGGCGTTAGAATTTTCAAAATATCGTTTTTTTTTTGCTTAAAAGGTGGTTTGAACCTTTGAGAATATGAAGCAAAAGGTTTTATACATGAAAACAATTTTTTTTTTTTTGTTTAGTTTTGCGCTATTCCTGAAGCGTGTCGAGCGTCTCTCATAAGGCTACCTGCGCTATGAATATACTTGCTCGGAAGGTACCACGTACCTTCTTACCTATTGATTTATAACTTCTTTAATACACTCATAAATGTCGTTAGGGAGTATGTATGTACAATTCAAGCAAATTTTAAAACAGACCAATTTTTTATTTTTTCATATCTAAACTCATTTTAAAACTTTAAATGCGTTTTTCTTGAAACACGCTTTTTCAGAACTGCACGCACCATAACTCCAACAATTTTCAATATTTTCTTTAGAAATTGTAACTACATATTTATAACAACATTTTGAAGATAAGCACATATGGATCTTTTGATAAGTTAATTTAAACAATTGTTATAAAGAAATAACTGCCCTGTTTTTTTTTTGTCAAAAATTTAACCTTTTACTTCAAATATTTGCCAATTTTACAAAAAACAATATTGTAGGTTACGAGCAAATTTTTTTTTGTTCCATTTTGAATAGTGTGTGCCGTGGAACGTCTAGACGGCAACATGCTTCAGAAGAATGGCTCCAGTGCTGCCATTTTGAAATATTTTTTAATGAAGACATTTTTCTGTACACTTAAATACATGCCTAATAACATACTTAAACAGTTTTTTTCTATTACCTTTCCTTCTATTAAAAAAAAATGTCAAAAATACGCTTTTTAGGCCGTTACAGTGGTAAAACACCTTAATACATATATTTTTTACTGGAATCAAAAGAAATTATTAAATGTTATGTTTTTTCTTTTTGGTTTATAACTACATCCACGATAGAACTCTAGTTACTAAACAATTGTATCAATTGTATTTCAAAGATTTTTTAATACTTTACCAAGTGACATATCACTACCGAGATTAATTACATAAAAAAAAATAATTTCTCAAACAAGCAATTGACTTTGACGTTCAAATTCCTACCTTAACTTGGATTCCGGGCCCTTTTCAGCCAGCGCAAACACCGCAGCATCTAACGGGGCGGCGGCCGTGGACCATGCCAAATCGACCTCTAAAAGACTGTGAGCCCATTTTTGAACAATCAATTCCAGACCGGAGTTATGTAATCTGGTTATGTAACAAGCTAGAAAACAAATGTTACTTAAGATGTGATATTAATATCGCGATAATGAAAACTTACCGCTCAAAAACAAGTGTTCCAGATCCCAAGCTGGGACCCGAACCAATCCAGAATCGGTAAGTTTACTGCATCCCCTTACGTCCAACAAACGCAATTTATTGCTGCTTTTAAGCAACCGTTCAATGCAGTCGTCATCTACTGTCCGTGAAGTAGTTGTTTGGTCCTCTTCGAGACCGGCTAATGACAGTTCTTCCAGCATAGGAAAACCAGGAGAGGCGACCTAAGACAAATTTTCCATGGATTTATGGGTAACTTCCTTGGATGAAAATAAAGGAATTTAGATCAGGTTGCTGTAGTATAATTTTGCTCATTCTTAATTAAAGAAACTTTTTTATTTAACTTTTTTTAATAATTCCATTATTTCAATGAAATTTGGTACAGGGATGTTTTTCATATAGTACTTTTTTACTTAAACATAAATATTTTCTGAAATTATTAAATTGGCATGGTTTTAATTTTTTCTTATCTATTATTTTGTACATATAAAAAAAAATTACTAAGACAGTGAATGATTTACAATAGATGGCGCAACCTATGTTATATTGCATCGGATACTACTGTAACTACATTCACTATAAGCTCTGTTATTAGGCTTCACTTTTTATTATGTGTCATCTTGTTGAAGTGTTAACAACATATTTCTTCTCAGCTCCAAAGATCCATTTGCGAGAAGTTTTAGTTTTCCTGTTTAATTTAAAGAAAAGTGCTGCTGAATTCACAAGGTGCTGTAGGAAACTTACGGTGAACATACACCTTTGATAAAAACGTGTTAGTATTGATTTCGAAGTTTTAGAAGTGGTGATTTCGATACAGTTGACAAAGAACGCCCTGATCAACCGAAAAAGTTCGAAGATGAGGAATTGGAATCATTACTCGACCAAGATTCATGTCAAACTCAAGATGAACTTGCTGAATCGTTGATCACATAACAGTTTCCAAACGTTTGAAAGCATTAAGAATGATTCACAATCAAGGAAATTGGGTGCCAAACGAATTGAAACTGAAAGATGTCGAACGGCAATTTTTCACGTGTGGTAATTATTGCTCCAATGACAAAAAAGCAAGAATTTTTTGCATTGTATCGTCACTGGCAATAACAAATGGATACACTACGATAATCCTACGCGTAGAAAATGGTGGAGTTTGTATGGTTATGCATGAACATCGATGGCAAGGCTGAATATTCATGGTCAAAGCTGATGCTCTGTATTTGGTAGGACCAGTTTGGTGCTGTGGACTAGGAGCTACTTTAACCGAATCAAACCGCCGGTTAGCTTTACCAAACACAACTGATGCGTTTGAGCAGTCCATTGAAGGAAGAACGGCTGCAATTCAAGCAAAGGCACGATAAAGTAATAGTTCAACATGACAATGCTCGACCACATGTTGCTCGTGAAGTAAAAAAATTCTTTGAAATGATGAAATGGGATCTTTTATCCCACCGGCCATATTCGCCAGATATTGTTCCATTGGATTACTACTTGCTCCGATTAATGGAACAGGGACTATCTAAGCAGCCAGAAAGATGGGAAAAAGTAGTGACTAGCAATGGACAACACCTTGAAAAATAATAATGTATACAATTCTTCATAACAAAGCCTTGAATTTACAAAAAAATTCTTCAAAATGTATTAACTAATTGTTGAATATTATGAGAAATATACAGTAACAAAAATTAAAGCTCATAGGACGGATCTAAGTGTGTTTACTTTATATTTCTGTTTATTTATTAAGACCGAGCTTGGTCCATGCTCCAGCTGAACAGACGTCTCTAGTTTTATTTATTAGCCCTAATTTACAACATTAATAAAAAAAAAGTCCTTGCGCCAAAAAGATCAGTCAGGGTTATTTTTTATGTAAATAGTTTTGACACCAATAATCACACTGAAAAAAACAGACAAATAGAAAATACAAAATTATTTATTAGGAAAAACTATTTTCACAAAAAATAACCCTTGCGTGATTCTTTTAACACAAGGATCTTCCCCATTAATTTTTAATAAATTTTTCATTAGTGGCAAAATACCGATTAAACATAAAAGTCATTAAGTTTACCTGAAATCTGAAATAGTACGTTGTTTTTTTTCCTTTGTTTATTGAGTACTTTGGTACTTCAATAATTATAGTATAAATTTTCGAAAATCACTTTGTTTTCGTTTTAATTTTTCTCAGAATTTTTACCGTTCCATCCAAAAATAATTATATCCATATTATTAATTCACGTGATTACCTCAATTTAATATTCAGTGAATGTGAAACAATCACACACTTTTAGAGTCAAAATAAGATAATTGATGATGGTAGAATCAAAATAAGATAAACATTTAAACATAACAAATTATGAATACAAAAAAAAATTCAAGGGGAAAATGCAAACTGTAAAATTGCAGTGTTTTTGGCAAAGAAATATGATCATATTTATAGAGAAGGGGAAGTGTTTTTTACTTTTCTTTATTTAAATCTATAAAATATTAGAATAACATTGAAATTTTTTGACAATTTTTATTTTGCAGTAGTAAATAAAGTAAATCTTAATAATACCTACATTATATTGTTTATCAGTTTGAATTTCTTAATTTTTTTTTTATCAAATGAATGAATAAAACAATTCCAAATGCCATTTTGTCAAATAAATATTATCGCTAATAATTTAACGAAACGAAAATGCATATTCTCAGACAAATTTAGAGGCAACTTTAGCTATTTAAGGCTATATAGGGTTAAGAATATAACTAATAAAAATGATAAACCACATATAAAATTAAATAAATCTGGTAAAAGTTCTAATTTCAAGAATTTATTATAAAACGTACTTTATTTTGATATGTTATTGTAGTGTGTAGTGCAATTTTTATAGCGACGTAGTGATTTTTCTCTGGAATGATGCAATTTAGCGGCATACAACTGCAAATGAAGCGGCTTTTCAAGAAAAATATCAGTATTTTTTCAAAATCCTTATCAAAGAATATAGCAAGAAAAAAAACAAATATTTCAGGTATTCTTAGGGACCTCTATAGTTTTTGTAAAAAATAGGGCTACTTATTTCCAGTTCGCTAGACTAAGTTACACTGAAAAACAAAATTGTACCAAGGTAACTTGATTTAAATCGATTTATTTGCATCTACAGAAGCCCCCCCCCTCTATTAATTTAAGAACTCCCTGTATAGAAAGATACAATAGTTTTGTTCCTTGTTTCTGAGGATGAAGACCAAAAACCCTGTACAGATCTTATAAATACTAAATATGAATTGGAAAAAAAATCAATTACTACATTATTAAAGGGCAGAAATTGATAAGACACTAAAATAATTTAATATTCCTTAGGAATCTATTAGGAATAAAACTTTTTTCTGTATAAATATTCACTCCGCCAATTAAGGCAGTAATTCATCAAATGTTAGGTTAGGTTAGGATAATAAATCTTATTAATGAAAATAATTTGAACATATTTAACCGTTCTGTGGAGAATTTAAAAAGAAAAACATGTCCGCTATGTGCCAAATCATTGTATACATAAATCTAGAAACGATCCTTATACATAAGGAGCATCAGCTTGTTGTACCTACTAAAATTACATAAACAAAGCATGGCAAACCATAAGTGTTTAGACAATGGTCATCTGGACTGGCAAGAACACAAATTTTTATCGACTCAATCCAGTCGTGAAGTAGTATTGTTCTATTGGCGCAAATACAAAATATTATTTATATTATTTTTATAATCATTAAAACGTTACTTGTTGCTGAAATTTATTAATTTGTACATGTATTGTGTCTATTTGTTTACATTGGTGTTTACAGTAATCAATAAGGATTATAAACTTTGCTGGTAAGTTTTTTTATCTCACTTAGTATCTATTCATTTATTTTTAATACAGCTTTTAGTTTTACTTACCTGCTCGGTCAAACTGGCGGGGGCTAGCCATATCTGACTATTGGTGATGCGCAGGACCCTCAACTTAGGACACCCAATTTGTAGTTTTTCCACGTGCAGGAGAGACATATTGTGAGCGAACGTCCTGACATTCGAGAGATCAAGCAGTTGCAAGTTTGGACAATTCGTCTGGAACATAAAAATCTCGTAACACCCCATTTGATAAACTACCGACGCACACTTACAGCGATAGCTGTCACAATCTGTGTGAACCCGGCAATTTTGTTGTGGGCCAGTACGAGGTGCGTCAGACGGGTCGACATTGTCTGGCTGAGTTGAACCAACGGCTGCGCATTTATCGGCGACGTAGACTAGAAATACACCGTTTATAATTAAATTACTACTCTGCCTTTGCAGACTTACATTGACTGATGATAAGTCGAGGCGTTCCAGCTTCTTGCTCTCCGTCGTGAGGTACTTTATGTGATCTGGCGTAATGCCTTTCCATCCGCTCAAATTCAACCCCTTTAATAGTGAGCAGTGCTCGCACAGCGCCTCTAGGAAGGACTGAATATCACGGACTTTCCACTCTCCTAAGAAATAACCCTTTGCGTCAGTTGGAAAAACTAATTATATAGAATTGGTCAAATTTTAAATTTTAATTCGGGTGATCAAAATAAGAAATGAGAGTCGGATGGATGAATATCTGGAAATATTTTTAAAAGCCGTAGTGTTCAAATTATCTGAAAACATTTGACACATAGTTATGACTTGGTCTAATTACACTCGTCGACATGATTCGTGTGGATTCAGTACGAATAGTCATTTGACGAAGATTTTGTCGCTGAAACCAAATCTGACCTCAGAAATGCTCGATTACCTAAGGTTTTTGAGATATCGTAACCTAAGAGTACAAAACAACGCGATTTTTAAACATATTTGAGGTTATATATCGTTTGGTCATTTTTTTTACAAAACTAAGAATATCATCCTAAAATACAATCCGTCCCCTTCCCAAGCAAATTTTGAATCCAAATATCTTTTCTTTTTCACCGAGATATGACGATTTGAAGTTGTCGTCTCACCAAATTATGCACTCAGATGCGATGTCCATGGTAATGGCTAGACAGTTATAGTAACCTACGACACTATAACCTTGCAAGTTAAGAAAATTGGGGTGTAAGGATCGGGGATTATAGCATCGCAGGTTACAAAGATCGAGGGTTAAGGAAATTGGGGTGTAAGGGTCAGGGGTTATATCGTCACAGGTTACAAGGCTCGAGCGTTAAGGAAATTGGGGTTTAAGGGTCAATGGTTATAGCGTCGCAGGTTACTATAACTGTCTAGCCATTGTCATTGACGTTACATCTGAGTACATAATTAGGTGAGATGGTATCTTCAAATCATCATATCTCGTTGAAAAAAAAAGATATTTGGACGATTCAATATTCGCTTGGGAAGGGGAAGGATTGTACTTTAAGATGTTATTCTTAGTTTTGTAAAAAAATTACCTATACTCCGCGGTCGAAATTATATAGAGTGACTCATACATAATATAAAAACACTATTACCATAATGCGTATAAAATATAAAATGATTTTTATATGGTTCAATATTATTTATCTTTGTGCCGCTCGCTACGCACATCGATAGAATCTATAATCGTCTATAGACTGAGTTACACTGAACGTCGATCTATATTCTATCTCTGCCTTTTGCACTTGGTAGGGAATAGGGAAATGCTTTTTTAGTGGGTGTAAACGGACTTGATTTACACGTCCTGAGAAACGTCATTGCATAAGCGTAGGCGAGGGGTCTAATTCCATGGCTATAATAAATTTATAAAGTAAAAAAACACAACTGGGGCGTTTTAAAATGCTGTAATAATTAAAATGGATCAAAGTGCCGGTTATAGCAAACCCTATAAAAATATTAGATGTTATGTTTTATTATCTTTTTTCATTATTTTCTATATCTTGTTGCCTTTTATGCAGACAGGCAGACGGACAGGATTTTCGTTCCCGGCACGCTTCATCCCCCTTACTAGTCCAAAAGCTAGCGATGAGTCACTCTCTATAATTTCGACCGCGGAGTATAATGATATTATATAACCTCAAATATGTGTAAAAAACGCGTTTTTTGCACTTTTAGGTTAGGATATCTCAAAAAGGTTAGGTGATCGAGCATTTCTGAGGCCCGATTCGGTTTCAACGAGTCAAAATTATTGCAAAATGACTATTAGTACTGAATCCACACGAATCATGTGGGCCAGTGTTATTTATTTAAATCTTAATTTTTGTTGTACTTATTCATCTCAAAGTATGTCAATTATAATATGGAGACCAAACCGAAGACGCATATTCTAGAAGAGCCTGCTCAAGAAAAGTAAAGTAGCCTAATAGAATCGACATTGCAGAAATCATATGTAATCCTCCCAATAAAAACCAACATTTTAAAAACTTTTAGAGATGATTTTAGAACAATGAAGCATAAAAGTCAGAGAAGAGTCAAAAATAATAATTTATATTTATACTATCGGTGCAATTATATTGACCATATTCTATCTCAGCTAATTTCAGTTATTCTGAAAGCTAATTGGTCAATTAGATGGGATTAACTCTCATTTTAAGTTCCTCCAAAAAGTTACAGGTGGTTTTATTGCTAAAATTTTAGCAAAAGTTAGGCGAGATTTTTCAGTACAATACCGACTGTTCGATTTTAAAATTTCATGAAATACAACTGAATATTTGTGGAAATACTAACCTATCAAAGGCTTTGGGGAAAATCTGTACATATAATCACTTACAATCCAGCATCCAACTAATAAGTTCTGACAATAGACCAACAAATTTAACAATGTAGACTGTTTAGATATAATTATTTGATCAATAAGAGAACTGGACAGAAAGGTTAACACAGAAGTTTAAAAAGCATAAATCAAGCTATCAAATACTTTTGAAATAACACGATGATAATTGTCACTAAGAGATTTATTTGATTTGAAAAACGGGGCATTTTCAAGATATTCCTACGTTTAATTTACTGTATATTTATAATTACTATGATGAAAAATATGATTTCGAATATAGGTAACATGAAAACCATTTGCTAGAAATTTTGCAATATTTTTAGTATTATCACTTTAAATTCTTTCAAAATTCACATTTCTAGGAAACAAAAACTTTATTTTGCAAAACGAATATATCTACAGTTATTTTAGGTTTATTTCTGGAAAGAGTAGTATCAGTTGAAGAAAATAGTAACTATAAAAGTTCGTTTTATTCGAATAAAACAGTTGAGAAGTTTTTTGAAAAAAACACCACTAGGTATTACAACCAGAGATAAATGTGCTTAGCAACAGCGATTCCAAAAATTCACACTCAGTAGATTTTCAACTTTTATCAGATAAATAATTAACCAAAGTTTCATCAGTTTCAGACATTTTCAGACATATTTTAGAAAATCTGATTGTTTTTTTAATTCCAACACCCTGCATCTTGAAAATTAAACGTTTTCGAATGTTCCTTCATAAGATCTTTGTTTGTAATTTTGATTACCCATCCGAATGCAAATGTTAAATTCCTATGTATATAATTTCCCCTTACCCATATTGAGATCTTGGCACTTCATAAGCCTGTTAAGTATGAGCCAATGGATCCTCAAATCGTTCCTGTACTTCTCCTTAACATAATTCAAGTCAGCTTTGGACCACAACGATGGTAAGAGAGACACATCACGCCACAAACGACATACTTTGCCGAACCTACGATAAAATTTCATTTCAACAATACCGGGGAAATATAATTAAATCATGTAACCTTATTAGTGACGGAAGGCATCCGTCCTGTGCGACTGCAAAATGAAATATTCTTTCAAGTATCGGAACTGGCAAAATTTCGGGGCTGCCCCAGGGCCCCTGGACTAGGGGTTCGGGTTCCTGCGTGCTGGACACGTCGTTGTCGCAGGCCGCGGCCGTCCTACTTCGTTTAGGTTTCTTTTCATAGTCTGAAGCGTCGGTATCGGAAGCTATTTTGTGTTTTTTCCGACGACCTGATTTCTTTTTGTTAGGGGTTAACTGAAAAAATGTTTTCATAGAAGATTTCACACGTTTATGACAGATATAAGGTAAATGACACAAATAATCCCATTGCCCAACTCTAACCATTACTATGTGAACTTAATTTTTTTTTTCTAGAATTATTGTTTCTTTATGAAAGTGAAACATCAATTTTAAAGCTTCAAAAAAAAATTCTTAGTTCTTTTAATGTAATTAAATTAGTATAGGAATAATTCTCTTCAATGGCAATCCATTTCTTAAAAACGTATATTTTATTAATATTTTTGTTGAAGAAATTAGTTAATTTAAATTGGTGATATTTTTTTATTTTAAATTGAAATTTATTTTACGTATATGATGTCACTAAACAAAAAATTGGAAAAATTACTAAATATCTGTTATGTGGTAACGTACCTAACTGTTAGCAATTTCTGCACATATATTCTAGGTACGATTCTATAAATCCAATGATGCTGTGTCCTACACTAGAGGTAGCTACAGTCTCTTCGATAATTGAAGAGATAGAAAAAAGCTCCTTTGCCAGATTGAGCAATTTGTTACAAATTGAATGACTTTGTTTGTTTGTAAAATGCACCATATAATAATTATATAGAATACCAATTAAAACTATATTTGAAAAATTTAATAACTAGAAACTTAACATTTGCTGGGCATGATGGTACTTATCTGCAATAATTTTTTTTTTAATTTGTAAATCAGTTTGTCACTAAAACAGATTAAAATATTCTAAAAATTACTACATTTGCTGCAAGATTAGAAAGTTTAACTTAATGACATCACAACGCATATTTAAATTTTTTTAAGGACTTAAATGAGGTCAAAATGAAAAAATAGCGGCCTCACTTTTTTTAATCATTTTGTGATGTAGTTAAAAAATTATAAAACACCCCATTATAATCAAGCCTTAGTATAACAAGAACCATAAATGTTTAACTGTTTAACACAACATTCGACCTATGCATAAACTAATAAATTCTCGATAAATTAACAAAACTCAAGAACTAATGGTACTTTTTTAAAACAATTAAAATATTCATTAATTTCTGTGAATTCTGTGAACCCACAAAAAGTTTAAAGGGGGGACCTTGTGAGAAAAAGTATATATTTTATTTAAAAATATAAAATAAAAAAATAATAAAAACACACTTCTAAGAGCCACCACATGACTATTGTCATATAAAAAAAATACTGGAAAATATCGTTTGATCCACTAACAATGCATAACTAAATACTAAACAGATTTTCAATATGCTTTGAATTTTAACTAAAAAATATTCACACTACGTTAAAAATTATTTATAATTATTGTTAAGTGCCTTTTTGGTTTTTCAATGGCAATCAGTATTTTGCAACTTCCAAAATTATGTGCTTTGTAACACATATTTCAACAGTTTTCTTTACAATTTTAAATATATACTTACCTATTTTTGTAAGCAATTTCATAACGTTCACAATACTACTTTTATAAAATAATTAACCATACCATAACTTAAATAAACCAACAAATTAAATAATAAAACCACCAAATATTTGATTCTTTTTTTTTTCATGGCTATCTACAAAAGCACCAACTATTTGAATTTATTTTTTTCCATGGCCATCTAAGTTTAGTTTAGTGATTTTTATTCATGGCCACCTAGTGTTTTCATTTCAAATTAGTAACATGGCACACAGCTATATTTATACAGAGAAAAATTAAATTTGAAACAGTTAGGTACTCACCTGTACTTGTGTAGTGAAATTGCTTTTTTTAATTCGAATTTTAATAGTGTCTTTGTCACCACTGATCTGACTATGATACATGGCCACAAGCGCCTTCCTAGGTCTTCCCCTCCCGGGTCCACTAGACAACTTCTTCTTCTTATGATTAGTTTTCCTCACAACACCATTGCTGTGTTCCGAAGGCTCAAAACTGACATCCCCAAAGGATTTTTCATTATTAATATTGTAAGGATCAGCCGACTGGGCTTCCATGTTTTGATAATCGGTGGTGCTACCATCGTTAACAGAGTTTGTATCCTCGGAAACATTTGCAGAACAATTGTCGCTTTCTTCTTTCACCTCCATCTCGGAACTGTCTTCACATTCTTCCTTTATAGTACTTTGAGATACACTCTCGTAAGAATCACAGTCTTTTAAAACCTCATTCTTTTCGTTTTTAATATACAATGAAGACACCATTTCATCACAAATGTTATTATTTGGTAACAAATTTTCACTGCACATATCACCGTTCATTCTTATTTCCTTTCCACTTTTTATTACTCTGGAACAGCTGCCCTCCGGGGAAAAATCAGGTGATACCGAGTTGAAACAGTTGATGTTTGACATTTTCTCGGTTTGTTTTACATTGTACAGCGGTAGAAGTAACAGAGATTTCCTTTAGGTAGGCAGTAACATTTCTGATATTTGATTTTCACCTGAAACAACATTTACTGTGTTATTTTATAAATGATGCAAATATTTTAACCATTTATAGTGTTACAAGTAGACAAAATGCTAATTCTTGAATTTTATTTGTATTCTGATTGAAATGTATAACCTACATAATTCCAGGTTAGACTATAGAAAGGAGGATGTAGGATATTCATCAGAAAATTTTGAATTCGGCGGTTTTCATATGTAGTATGTAGTGTACTCGTAAACAATCACAAATGACAGCAGCAGAAGATAGATACGAATTTATTCGTTTTCGATTTCCACAAACAACTATTCTTCTTCAGCCGATTATAAAACTAACATAAATTTAATAGTTGTGCAAATCAAAGCAGGTTTACCTACTTTTCTGCAGTTTAATAAAAAAAAATCGTTATCGGTACTTCCAAACATTTATTTATTACAAAGAAACCCACATTTTTAGGGCACTTACCACTTCTTTTCGAAGTCAGTACTACGCATTTCACTAAGAATCACATCACAAAATCAACTAAGCCACTAAATTATTGAATATTTGTTCTCTTTTGAAGCAACTAATGTTGATGACCTTGTTACCCAAGATGCTGATATTTTTTATTTTTGTGAAATGAAAGCGCTAGTGGCGCCTCGGCACACATTTAATTTAACTTTCTTCTATGCCAGCGCCGCCTAGGACAGACAGCTCGAAACATAAACTAGAGCTCTATATTCGAATACTGGACTCTTGATATAGAGCTTAGAGCGTTGTTTTCTAGAGGGCGCCACTATCAATACCCTCAGACCTAGATTATTACAATATAGTCGATTATTACAATAATTACTTAATAAATTTTTCCATTGTTTCTTTTAATTTTATGCCTATTCTAATAAATTGCCTCTGCTGATGTACACCGTGGATTTATCGGTGAGACTACCGTGTTGCCATCTATATTAACACAGCTTACCTATATTTGTATTTGAAAGCAATTCATAATTTATGCCAGAGTCCTCTGGTGGAACTAGCTCATACCTAAAGATAAAGACAGCAGGATAAAATACAAACGAACCCTCGTCGCCCTCGTTCTCGATTTCTTGTAAAATTGTGTTTATTTAATATTGGGGATGTGGAGTTTACTCTAAGAAAAACTAGCAGTGCTGTAAGTTATATATTTTTTAACATATCTAGATGCAAATATAAAGATTTAACGGTTTCTTAATAATATAGTTATTTGGGACCTACCGATTTTTATATTTCAAGAAAAATTTGAATTTAAGTACTTTAATTTTACTATTCGAATTTATTGTAATCTTAAAAGTAATTCCTTAAACTGAATGACGTTTCTAATTTTGCATAGAATCAGATCTTCAGATCCATTCGTCACAAAAAGCTAATGGAGGACAAATTGATAAACAATTAAAATTCTTCAATGTTTATTGCTCAGTACATTGTACAGCATGAGGACAATAAAATTTATGAAAAACTATTATATGAAAAATGGTGTTCTATATTTATTGAAACTGATCACAAAAAAGTATACAACAATAATTTTCTAGTATTTTGGGATAAATAAAACCATTCATAATCAGTCAATACTCTTCACAATGAGCAATGATTTATGTTTTATATAATATACAATCGTCCTTATAGAGATAAAAAAGCAACATTAGAAAAGATAACATTAATAATATTTAATCTTAAAATTTGCAAGAGTAACAACAAGCTAAAATCACAGGAAAGGGTTTTCAATACAACACCTTTATTATTATAAAAAATGAGACACCAACATTAACAACTTTATAAATTTTGTTTATTTTCTTTAATATTAGATTAAAACGAATTTTTCTCTAGTGCGTACCCTAATTTCAGCTAAATACAAGACCAGTATCGAAACTGTTACGAAAACTACAATAATTATTTTACCACCCTACATTAGATTATGAGAATGTTATTGTCAGAAAATGTTTTTTTTTTAAGATATATTAACGGTATTATAATATTCAGCAAGAAATCAGTTTTTGTTGATTGTGACTTGCGTATGGAATCTAAAGAGTGGCCAACTAAGACCAGGAACACATGAAGTTTGTTGAGTATATTTGGTTTGGCTAAACCACACTATAATATACAGGGTGTATTTAAATAAAGGAAGCCTTGAGGCCAAAATATGAGAATCAGACCAAATATACATCTGGTCGCACGCCACAGATACCAGCCCTTGAACCCTCATCAGTATTGAATCTGTCAGTGAACCGGAAGAGCTCATTCGAGACTTGAGCATCAGTTCATTCAATTAATTAGGTATTATATTTAATTTAGCCCAGTAGTGTAGCATTTTTCGTTTTGAAAAGGGGCCAGGCTATGATAAAAACCATTAGAGCTATCAAATTGTGTTGAAATTTTATAGGGATATAAAAAAATATTTTTTTTCATTTCAACTAATTGCAAATGAAGCAACTTTAGGCTGGAGTATATTTAACTCAAATATTTTCCACTCTGTAATTTTGCAAAGCAAATGAAAATGTTCATTTCCTAAAAATACATTTATATGTTTTACTATTTTTGGTGAAGGAATTAGTTTTTTAAATTTTAATTTGAAATTTTATATTACGTATATGACGTCACTAAACATTCAATACGTTCTCTATTAGAGGTCATTATATGTAGTCTCTTCTATGGATAATTGAAGAAACTGGGAGGAAACCATCATTGCCAAATTGAGCCATTTGTCACAAATTAGACGATTTTTTGTTTGCAAAAGTAATTTATACAGGTTGATTCAGGTTTAATCTGGATAAGTTTAGGAATCAATAGAACAGGTTAAAATAATGTTCATTCATGATATAAACTTATTTCCTAAATCGCACCGTTTTGGAGATAGAGGGCGTTGAAATAGAATTTTTTACCATTTTTTTCCTCATAACTTTTGAACCACTCATTCGATTGAAGTGAAATTCGGAACACAAACACTCTTTATGATCTTACATAAGCTCCTTAAGTTTGAACCACCTACCCCTCTTAAAAGTGTATGCTAACCGCCTCTCACATTTCAAAACTTTAAAGAAATTAAATAATTTCAATAAAACAGCTGCACACCACCTTTGCCTCATTAATTTTGAAACTTTTTCGTCTCTTGTTTTTTTTTTCGAGGTAGCGCCCCAGCCGCGTAAATTTCATTTAACGTTATAGCAACCCTGAAAAACAAAACTCGCAGTGATTTGTATAAACTCGTTTGTGGAAATTATCGTTAAAAGTATTATTAAGTTCAAAAGTTATGAGGGAAAAACGGGAAAAAAAATACTATTTCAACGCCCTCTATCTCCGAAAGGATGTGATTTAGGAAATAAGTTTATATCAAGAATGAACATTATTTTAACCTTTTCTATTGATTCCTGAAGTTATCCAGATTAAACCTGAATCACCCTGTATACCTAAAATACCAATTAAAACCATATTATTTGAAAATGTTAATAATCATAAAGTTAATTATTATTTTATGGGTCTGAAGATATTTGCCAAAATGACTTTATGAATAAATTATTATTACTTTTTCAGAAGTATTTAAAAACACATGAATTGTATTTTAGACTATACTCCACGGTCGAAATTATAGAGAGTGATTCATCGCTAGCTTTTGGACTAGTAAGGGGGATGAAGCGTGCCGGCAACGAAAATCCATTGGCGTGTCTGCGTAAAAGGCAACAAGATATAGAAAATAATGAAAAAAGATAATAAAACATAACATCTAATATTTTTTACGGTTTGCTATAACAGGCCCTTTGATCCATTTTAATTATTACAGCATTTTAAAACGTCCCAATTGTGTTTTTTAATTTATAAATTTATTATAGCCATGGAATTAGACCCCTCGCCTACGCTTATGCTATGACGTTTCTCAGGACGGGTTAAATCAAGTCTGTTTACACCCACTAAAAAAGCATTTCCCTATTCCCTACCAAGTGCAAAAGACAGAGATAGAATATAGATCGACGTTCAGTGTAACTCGGTCTCTAGACGATTATAGATTCTATCGATGTGCGTAGCGAGCGGCACAAAGATAAATAATATTGAACCGTATAAAAATCATTTTATATTTTATACGCATTATGGTAATAGTGTTTTTATATTATGTCTTAGTCACTCTTTATAATTTCGACCGCGGAGTATAGTCTATTGTATTCCAGCCAGTAAATAAATCAATTTATGCTTTCGGAAAAATGATTAATGATTTCAAATTTTTTGTTTTTAAATTTTCTAAAATAATTAAAAGTTGGAAGATACTCCATTATCATTTTTTGGTTCAAGATTATCTGGTTACGTTCGACGAACTAAAATTCCTTCATTCTTGAATTGTACACATTTTTACAAATCTAAGGCAAAACAAAATTCAAAACGTATCTTTCAATAAAATGTCACGATAATATAAATACCTACTTAATACTCCACAGCCTTTCAACGAAGATATAAGCATCTTTGAAAAAATTGATAACAAACTGAAAATATTTATTACAGTATTTTAACGTAGTTGATTATATTGGTAAAAGTGTTAATGTTGGCATCAACAGATTCAGTATCATACAATATCTATATAGTGTAGTTAATTTCATTCAGACAACAGATTCTTCATTAAATCAACAGTCCGAACTCTCACTCCAGCATTTTCGACTTTCTTCAAACTCTCCTCGTTCGCCTCGAGCATTAGAATACACATGAAGCTTTTCCCCGAAACAGAGTCCGTGGGGTACACCGTCACAGGTATAAATTTCATACTTTCGTCCTCACAGTACACGACTAGCTGTTTATGGATTTCGGGGTGTTGCCGTTTAAGAGACACCCCGCGTGACCTCAAATGATTTTGTAGATTCTCAACAGCTATTTCTCTATGCTTTTTTATCGTATCAACGTCACCCTTGAGAGGGGCCGATGTGAGAATTAAAGTCTCGGGGTTCTCTAACGGTTCTTTCTCTGGTATTTGTATATTCTTGCTCAGCCTCATCTTCGCACACCTAGACACAAGTTGTCGTTCCCACTTCACCGCGCCTGATGCCGGAGCTTCCGAAATAACACACACCGACACATACAGAACGAGTTTTGTATCTGGATTGTAGTTTTTGCACATTTTCACTAGTTCGGCATACAACTGGGGGCCCATTTCAGACGGTAGCAAGTCTTGCCAACGAACGTAAGTCAGTTCTCCTAAATACTGAAGTCCTTTAGACAGAAATGTTTCTGCTGCTTCGGGATTGGGGTAAAAACACTTTACCGCTCCGGGTCCGTGCGACAGGTACCCCCTCCGGGCCACCTTAGACAGGTGAGTGAGGGTGTCCTTTTGTTCTTTGGCGGCTGCGATTACTTGTCGACACAACGTTCCGATTCGTGAAAACAAACAAGTTTTCCGATGCTTTTCCCAGTGTGCGCGCCTACAAGCCCTTGAACAGTAAGTATACGAGCAGTTGTGGCAATTTTTGAAGGAGCTAGCCTCCGAGGTTGTCGCCAGAGCTGTACGACCGCATCGAGAGTACCGGCAACGAAGCACGGGGGAGGAATTGAAAGAGACTCGTCTCGAGGCGTTTACTGACGCCGATGCTGGTTCGGAACCCTCGGATCGTCGTCGGAACTGCTCAGTAAGGTTGTCGTCTTGGCCTTGGCGACAGGGGCTAGTATTAGCTGACACCGTCTCTGAAAATTTAAAAAAGGCTCGAGAGTTAGTAAGTCTAACATTTTGGATACATAAAACAGAGGCTAGGGTAGAAGACACAAATTGTTACTTGTACTTTTGTATAGTTTTTTATTGCTACTGTTTAAGTTATTATTTATTTTAGCTATAAAAAATAGAACAAGCCATTAACCACAGATTCTTTGGTCGAAAATAATAAGATTTTCATTATGTGACATTTTTTTCGAGAACATAAAATAATCACAAATATTTTTAACTGTCTTTCAAATTTAAATATAATCAATCTTTCTTTTCTCACGTGATACATATATACAGATTTTTCCAAAATGTCTTTGATAAAGTTAATTGTGATAAGTATAATCCACAAACTTATCTTTCAGAGTCGCATCAAGAGCCCGAAGGTTCTCACTCGGAACCACTATCTTTCAACATCTTTTTAAATGATATTAACAAGTAGTGCTTCCCCTACTGTAAATTTTTACTGTTTGCAGACGACTTCAAGTCTTGCCAAAAAAGTCAGAAATTTGCATTTCAATTCACTTTATTTGTATGTAGATAATATGATATATATTCAGTCACACTTTTGCACACACTAAAGTCACACTAGTGTGAATTTGCACCCATGGGATTTTTCAGGTTCTCTAGGTTGGCCGACCTGAGAAATGCCATCTGTTCAAAAAAGATGGTGGTGCGAATTCGAACTAGTGTGACCTTTGAGGGTTAATAATTCATATTTTGAAAAAGAGGTGGCTAAATAAAAGTCCCATTACGTTCTCCTGAAGCATCTGTGATCAAAGGTTAAACGAATTTTTTATATCTAGGTACATAAAGTAAAATTTTTATCCAATTGTTATATTTTTCGTTAACCAAAATCTAAGCAAAAATTCATATCTAACGAGAGACAAACACTCGAAATTTGTGTGATCCGCCATTAGAATTACTTAATCTACAACCTACATCTTGCATCTATTAAGGTTTTTCCCTTGCTCAGTCTAATCACATCCATTAACATCTTAACGGAAGTCACCATATACTTAAACAGAAAACAAATAACCTATCTGCTCGAGCATTTCCCCGCTACGGGTGCTAATTTCGATATTTACATTCGAAACGTTCCCATTTAACTACATGACATTGATGAAGGTTAGTGCTCCCAATGATTTTGAAGGAAATTGTAGAAAACCTGAAATCGAAACTTACACATGTCTCCTACCTTGGAGACTGGGACTGGGGGCTCTGCCGGTAGACGGGAGACCTAGGAGAGAGTCCAGCACGTCCTCTAAGGTGGTGGAGCTTGGAGACGGTTTTAAAGTCGATCCGGTGGTCGTTAGAAGTGTCACATCTGTGTGAAATAAAAACTGCTTAATGTTTAATGCAGTGGAAGGCAGGGACTCTAGCAGTTAAGTAAGTCTTGAAAAAATACATGCTAGAGTAAGTACTTCGTCGGGTGAAATTTATAAAACTTTTAATCGACAAGAACTATTAGAAGAATTATCGTTTTATAGATTTGTTAATAATTGTATTAGTAATTTTCAGTTGACATTAAGCAGTGCTGTTAAACATAAAAAAATGTGTGAAACCTGTTTTGTATTTAACGATTTTTTACCTAATAAATTTATCAAGCTAATGGTCAAGTTAAAAATTGACTAAGAAATTACCAACATAAGTTGTTCCTGGGTGCACATGTGGTCTACTGAATTATAATATGTCACCCTCTCTCCCACATAAGCCTCTGACTTCTGGGTTAATCCTTGCGATTAGAATGTAGGGTAGAGATATTGTTATTTAAACAAAAGTAAAAACATATGGATGTATCAACAGTTTTGTGTTTTTATCAAAATAAAAATAACATTCTTTTTTATTTACATATTCGCATTTGTTAAAAATCTGCAACAAAATGCACAAATGTAAAGTTGAGATTTAGTGCAAATAGTTCACAATTGCGAAAGGGAACAGGAGAATGAGTTTTGTCAAGCTAAAATGTCACGATATGACAAATTGTCACAGAGGAACAGAAGTCCTAAAATCATTCCCAAAGAAATGAATGCAAAATATGAATATCATATTTTAAATTAAAATATTGGTCAAAACAGTTTTGGTGGAGTCATAAATCCAATGAAGATGACGCAAGTGTAAGTCCTCCAAATGCAATAAACCTAGCAAGAAAGTGGAAACAGTGGTTCCCAAAGATCATTGTTTGAAAGTACATATTTACAATTATTGCTAAACCATTAAGTACATCTCAACTGAGAGATGAGAAACACGGTATGAGTAAAGTTTCAGCAAGGTGGGTGTTGAAGTTGTTGATTCTCAAACAAAAACTTCTTTGACAGCAAACTTTTCAAAATCACAAACGCAATCTTCAGCTGGAAAGCTCGTAGCTAGCTGCCTTTTGGGACGAAGCAGGCATTCTTGATAAATATATGTCGGAAGGCAAAACTTATACAAAATTATGTATAGCTACTGATAAAAAATATATTGATTTGTGTCACAAAAATGTCAAAACCAACCCAGCCTTTGTGACTGTAACTTCTCTGAGCTGATATAGCCTGAATTTGGCTTCACTTGACTTCTTTTTATACGGAAAAGACCCAGCAACTATCCTTATGGAAAACCGGTCCTGATAGTCCTGAATATGTCAATCAAAAAAGTCCATGGGACCTACATCTGAAAAACTACTGTTCTGAAGCTACAGCCTTCTGAAGTTATCGAATGCACCTGCTCGTTCAATGATTTACGGGCGAGTAAAAGCAAATATTTCTTTATAAAGTGACCAAGCTGGCTGTTTATTGATGTATTTTCGTGTGCTGAATGCGAATCCGTGGTCAATATAGGTGTATCAACCTGTAGTCTTCAGAAAATCGGTGAAGCACCTACTGAAGAACAGAGATAGCGACACGTACTGCTTGAGCGACATCTTATGTTTTTACGCATGCTGAACACTTATCTGTCATCAGCATATCTGCAGCATTCCTCAGTCTTCAGAAAATAGCTGAAGCACCTTCAGAGAACTTGACTTGATAGTCATCGAGCACATGGATTCAGATAACTTCAGAACTTCAGAACAGTAGTTTTTCAGATCTAGGTCTCATGGACTTTTTTGATCGACACATTGAGGACTATCATTCGGCAAAGTTTCGTTCCATTTAATCGGAACCGGTTTTCCATAAAGATAGCTGAGGGTGCCGCACCGGGTTGCGGGTTTAGCACCTTAAGGGTGTCATTTTGCAGATGATAGCCAGTCGGGAGAGGATATAGATGCCTATTTTGAAGGCCAATAGAAATAATTATTTTGTGGTGGAATAAAATCGCTGCATGATAAGTGGCACAAGTGCATTGAGATTAAAGACTCCCTTGTACATTGTGGTTTGATGTTATGATTTACTTTCATTCTAAAGCTTTAAATGTGCTCGGTAAATTAGCCAATTTATTCTAATGTGTAAAAAGGTGCCACACGTACAGCGTATTGTAACAATTTCTTGAATAATTTACAGTTAAAATCTGATAAATGCAAAACAAGTGTAAAATTCTTGGGATATTTATTTTTATTTGACACAAAATGCTTTTATAGAAGATATTTTGCACAAATTCTCAGTATTATCTGAACAACATAGTGATGGCCTTGATTTTATCTTCATTTTAATGAATTCTGTGTACCTTGAAATCATCAATAAGCTTTATCTAATCTAAACGATGCACTTGCGATAATTTTTATGCAAATTAAGCGTTGGTGTCATTACATTTTTCGTCTTTCCACGTTAACGTAACTTTAAATTTTTATTTACATTTTATTAATAAATGGAAGATTTGCCTACTTAACACAGATGTACGAGCGATGTAACTGAATATAGAGAAAAATTGTATTAAATATATGTATACAGTGTGTCTCATAATTAGTGTCCAATAATTTACCACTTGATTCTTTTTCATATAAACATAAATTATAAATTTTGACATCGTGAACGCCCATTAAAAGTCGAAATGGATCAACATAAAATTTTTCAAAAATTTTAGTCAGGGGCGTCTCAATTGGGGGGGGGTCGTTGGCTAAAATTTGCCCCAATTTTTTTGCTTGTCGAAATGTTTCAATTCAGATGCCAACATATGATAGACTCATTTCCTCTACAAAAAAGATACTCTATTTCTTTCGATAAAATACTCCATTTCCAAAAAAACGGATCTAAGCATTTCATTACATACATTAATAAAATTGAAAAAAATCTTCTTGAATAGCTAAAATGAGTACATGTACCAATATGAATCATCATATCATTATACATTATAATAAACAACGTGAAAAGTTCTTAGAAAACTTTGTTATGGCTGTCTCAAGCAGGGAGAGGGGCTCGGGTAAAATTTGCCCCAAATTTGTTGCTATTTTCAAATTTAAACAGTAAAATTTAATAGATCTGAGTTTTCAATTAAAAATGGTAATGTTGTTCTATATCGAAAAAGTAATCCATTTTCGAGAAAAATCGGTTTAACACTTTCTGTGTGCTTTTCTAAGCACTTAAATCCGTGTTTCTTGGAAATGGAGCATGTTATCGAAAGAAATAAAAAGTACCTTTTTTGTAGCGGAAATGAAGTCTATCATTTGTTGGCCTCTGAATTTGAAAATGTCGACAAGCAAAACAATTGAGGCAAATTTTAGTCGGCGAACCCCCCAATTGAGACGCCGATCAATATTTTTGAAAAATTTTATGATGATCCATTTCTATTTTTAATGAGCATTCATAGTGTCAAAATTTATAATTTTCCTTCAACCCATTTCAGAAATATTTAAAAAAAGCATTTTTTGAGGCCCCATTTAGGGGACTCCCTTAGGCAGTATTTCTCGACCCATGTTTATATGAAAAAATATTCTTATTTTTGGCAATAGAATCAAGTGGTAAAATTATTGGACACTAATTATGAGACACCTTGTATAAGTACTTACCGACATATTTTTTTAAATTGGGTTGTCTAAAATTTATGAAAATGATCATTTTCTTCAAAATTCAATCTTAATAAAAAGTGGAAGTACATTTTAATTTTCAAAATTTTCCGCAATAAAAAACAACTCTATAAACTTTTTTTTTTGGTTTCTTATGTTTCTATTTTTTTTTTAGTCTAATAAGAAAGCAGAAATATATTTTTTTATTTAATTGTACTAACGTGCTGCAAAATTCAAAATTTTTTTACATGTACCACTAGATCTGTGAAGGATGACCCGACATTCATTTCAAGGTATATTTTGTTGTCTCTTCTTTCTTTCATATTCTTTCTTTAACTGCTATGAACTTTTCAGGCATTATTTCTCTCAAAATTTCTTGCATGTGGAGATACTTGCACAATAAATATCCCAAGTCTCTTGAGATCAATTATTGATTGATAGATAAAAAGTTGGTTAGTATATAAAAGAAAAGAATGATTACAAAACAGAAAAAATGGAAAATTATACAAAGCCAGAAGCAAAAAGCAGTGCAATCAAAATTAAAAGTGTAATATTTACCTCTAGTTTGGACATCATACAAAATCTCTCCTAAACAGTACCTATTTCTAACTCTGAATGCAAACCTAAAAGTGCAGACAAAAAAAAACGAAAAAACTAAAACAAAAAATGTAAAAAATAAAACAATTTATTGATGAAAAGTGTATTTTTACAAACATGCATCTAACCCTAAATAATGACATGATACATAAAAAATACAACATCAGCTGAAATCAATATAATAAACAGTGCCAAAAACAAAATTGCACTTGCGTCGTTAATGACAATATATTTTCCTTACGACTAAAATGAAGATATGTTAACTTATGTTTAAAAAAACTGTACAAACATAGAAATATATATTAGTACACAGTAATATATTTTATACTCTATACTATTAACAATTATTAAATTTTCTCAGAAATAAATGTATTTTGATTATACAAGAATCGAATAAATAAAAAATACTACGCAAAATTATAAACATTTTGTGACCTTTTAGCTATTGCTCTCATCAATAAAATATAATACAAACGGCCCATACAACAAAATCACTGGTCTTTATCTGCAATAAAAAAATATGTAACTTTGCGCAATATTTTTACTCTAAACAGAAATATTTACAATGACTATCCTTTATTTTTTTTCTAAATGTAGGTCAAATACTTTTCTAATAACGCTTGCGATAATATCAATAAAAACTTTAAAAAAACATCATTAGGCATCATCAAAACCATCACAATTTACCAAAAACCGTAAACCATGAGGTGACATAAAAGCATCCCTTTTATGAAGCTTAAGCCAACAATATCTGTCGCCTTAAGGGTCATAAATGTTAAGTTTGCTCGCTTGAAAGCTCTGTCAAAAACCGTGTCATAAAAAAAAAAGAAAAGAAAATAAATACAAACGTACAGGTAGCACCAAAATGCACAATGTAGAGAGCAGGACTTATTTTAAAATTTATACACAACTTAACCGAAACGAAGGTAAGACACCATACAGTCCGACAAACATGACATTCAATTTCTTGCTAGAAATTGTTGCTGTGGGTAAAAGCTTATCATTTACTTATTTGCAGAAGGCAACAATACGAGTCAAAAATAAAGCAGCGTTCACCTCATCCAAATTTAAGAATAATTTATCGTATAAACTTTTGCTCTTGAAACCCTTGGTTTTGAAATACAGTGTTAAAGTTTTCACAAAAATGTCTGTAAATATCCTCTAACAATAAAGCGGTATTTAGTGTGAAAAATGATTATACCAGGCGTTCAAAATGGCGTCTTTGTACCTTGACATATATTTGAACATTAAAAAATGTTCAAAAAATATCTACAAGTAGATATAATATTTGGTGGGTGAAACATACAAGTATATGTCACATCTTAAATGTCATTGCTACTCAATTTCTGGCACAAAGCATTGCTTTGTACCTACTGGCAGAGAGCGACCTACTAATCTATAGGTACTATGCTTGACCAGTGTCGCTCTAGGCGAAATAAAGTTCTTTTACAATTTTTTAGAGTATTTGTTTCCCATGATATTTAAAAATATATAACATTTTTCAAAAACTGAAATATCTCGTATCTCAAAACTGACGGTATCAAGGGAAAATACTCTAAAATTTGGATCAGGAATACGGTCTTTCATTTTTGGCATTGTTGTTACACCCTGTATAAAAACAACGAAAAAAATGCATCAATGTTCTGGTATTTGATCATTACTAAAATGCAGTTAATAAATTCATCCGCGATTGCAAAATGAAACATTATTTTTTTTCATTAAAACAATGTTATACATGACATTTAAAAATAACTAGTCAAAACAACACTGCATTTCCAAATATGTTCAGTATACAGTGTGTTCCTATTTATAATGGTACAGGCCATAGGGGCGTCAAATAACACCATGTTATTACATTTCAGACAAAAAAAATAGTGCTTAAAAAAATTAACGCCGTTTTAGGAATTGTAACTGAGAAAATTATCGGATAAGTATTTTTAAGACCTATTTAGTATTTGAAATTTATTTCTCTTTTACTTATAATGTAAAGGACCTGTATACTCATAAATTAGAACACTCTTTATACTCGATGAAAATTTATGAAGAAGAATGACAAAATAAATTTGTGAACAAAAAAATTGACCAAAGTACCAAATTTGTTTTTTTTTTTTTTAATAAAAGAAACACTTCTAGTTGCCATCTGGTACAAATTTAGCAAAACCGATTTATATATTCCTTGTGTCTCAAAAATCCCATTTCGCACGCCACAAATAGCTTAACAAAGGACACATCTTTCATTTTGAGGCATCGAACAGCAACATTTTCCTAGACCCACCTAGTCACATTATTAAGCGATAACAGACTTACCATTATGAGCTTGCAGATCTAACCTCAGAGAAGAGGGCGGTACAGGGTTGTGACTTTGGCTCTCCGAGAGCGTCACCGGCGTCTGCGGCGAATCCAAAGGCCTCGTCCCGACGAAGGAGCTCTCCAACCAGCACAGCTTCTGACTGCCCCGCGGACTCACCGAGCTGGATCTCTGGCTGGCCGTCTCTTGACTCTCGTAGCTCCGGTCTCTGGTATCTTCCGGCCTGAGTCCGCTAACATAGTGTACGATAGCCGAGGTGACCTCCTTGATAGACGTCTGTATCTCGGGGCTCTCCTGGGGCTGCTGCGGATGTGAGGAGTTCTGTGAAGATAGTAAAGAGCTAGCGAGACGTTCCGCGGGTGTCCTAGGTCTGCTGAGTCTCTCCTGCGACCTCCAACCCATGTACGGCTGTCTGTAACTGAAACTAGACCTTACGGAAGAAGGCGAGATGCTCCCGTTGGGCTGGCGGGTGTTGAAGCTGCTTCTGGTTGAAGCGCAAGGTGACGATGCCGTAGAATTTAATTTAGAAGTGGACCACCGGACGAACGGTTGATTGCCTGGGGTGGGACTGAGGATGACGGGTGACTGAACGTTCGAGCCCAGGCTGCTGAGGGAGGTGGTTTTGCTGCCTGTGCCCGTCCACCTTGCCTCTCGGGGTGAGTGTTTCTTGAGCAGGAATCCCTCCCGGGGGATTTGGGATTGTTTGTACCATTCGGGGATAGTGAGCTTCTGCAGGGAACGCTGCACGCGGAGCTGGTGTTCAGACATCACCCGTTCCCCCTTCTGTAGCTCATTCTCTGGTGGCTGGAACAAAACTTGGATTAGTGATGGTGTTACAAAATTACAGCAACAGTTGCAAAAAATTAAAGAGTGGGATATACACTGCTTTTTAGGGGACGATTTCTAGGCCCACATACAGAACTTTTGTGTTGAAAAAATATTGAACTAATTTGCTTAAAAAGGTGTCTGGTAAGTATCTGCTATTCTCTCGGTAGAAAATATACTTACACTATACATGTGAAATACTTTTTTCGTTACAAAGTGATAAATACAAACAGGTGTTTTCTTATTTTCAAAAAAATTGAATTTTTCATAAAGTTACAATATTGTGAAATTTGGAAAATGTAACTACGAAGCATATCTAATTTCGATTGATTATGAAAAAGAAATACTAATCAGCCAAGTGATATTAATAGATTCCACAATAAAAATTAAGAAAAATTTTCCTGAAAAGTGCTCCAATTTTGAGGATGAAAAATTTAATACCATTTTGAAGCATATCTCAGAAAATCATTAAGCAATTTCATTTTAATTTGATGTTTATTCTTTATTAAAATAAACAAGTATAGCAAACACATGAAGTTTAATAAATAACGATGTACCACAATACACAGTTGTCATAATTGATACCTGCAGTAGAAATTTGAAATATATTTTTTATCAAAAAATTTAATTACATGTTAATTTCTACTTTTCACAGTGGCATAACATTTATTATTAATAAAAGTTCTGCAAGAATTAAATTAATGCGCTACTCCTTTTTTTTTGTATTTACATGAAATTATATCTGACGATGGAGGTCACCTATATCCATATCAAATCAGAAAAAATTGATTTAGTTTCCGAAATATGCTTGAAAATAGTTTTCATTTGTTCAACTTCAACACCCTGTTCTATTTGAGAAATCAAGCATTTTTCAACAAAACTATTATTTGAACTACTGTACTGTTGATGACGTATTGCCAATTACATTTTGGCATGAAAATTCGCTATGTGAACATAGATATCATCCACTATAAAATAAATTAAAATATACACATTTTCTGCAACTGCCACTGCACTTACTGAAACACTTTGCACCTCATATATTTGAGTAGCCATGGATTTTTATAAAGTTGTTTTTTTAACTGCTATAATCGCCTACTAAAGGCTTCGCAAACAGTTGATAAAAATGTTATGCCAATTTGAGACCGTTATCTTATCTGCTATTGTAATCAGTTATAGAAAATTCAAAGTGTGTATTGTATTGTGATTTAATCTTTTGATATTTCTGTATCTACGTAAGAAAGATTCGACAACAATGACAAATAATTATTATTATACAATTCTATCATTATCATTGATAAGAAATATTCCATAGATGCTTCACTGCTATATATAGAGGAATGAGTTCGATTTACAACCGATATTAAAACAAAATTGGGGCTGGAAGATGCTTTTATATCTGGGTAACAACATTTAATACATAGAAAGAAAACAATTATGTACAATCAAATTCCTTAGTATCTTCGGATGAATGAAGTGTGTGCCAAATGACTTCGGGTCCGTAACACTTCAGGGCAATAAAAAATTACAAATATTTTCAAGTGAAAAAATGATATTAACGAATTTTATTATTATTATTTTTTTATTATTAAAAATATGTACTTGTCTCAATCTAACCTTAACCTACCTAATCTAATTTAACCTAACCTAACCTAACTTAACCCAAGCTAACCTAAACCCACTTATCCTGAGGGAACATAATCTAAATCAACACAAAACAGAAAATTACAGATTACACGAGCAATTACAATGAAAAATTAACAGTAACGAACAACATCCACAACATGGAAGAACAAAAACCCCTGAGTGCTTATCTTAGTAAATAAATGTATTTTTGGGCAAGTTACTTATATGTATTTTTTTTGACCAATAGAAATTGATGAATACTGTATCTATTTGGAATTGCAACTTATTCTAATTGTAACACTTACAACTTTTATCCCATAAACAAGTATGGACCCATCCGGAAGGTCAGAAGGCGATGGACAAAGTAATGGAAATAATCCTTTTTCAGGAAAATTACCGCTATTAGAATGGACAAGAGACATTTTGCAAATGACAAATTCTACAAATTTTGCGCCTTATGGAAGTTTGTAAGTATAACTTAGAAATTCACTTCACGCACTGGAAGTAAATGATTAACGAAGCAAACGACTTTAATGACATTTAACAGTAATGCACTTACTAGATCCAGTAGTAGGTAGGTATAACATGCTAGATAAAAAAATAGCTGTTCAGAAATCTATACAGGGTGTGCCAAATTGACAGGGATCAATCTGATGTGAAAATAACTAATTTGTTTTAATATTTAAAATGGAAACTTATGTTTTTTATGGGTCCCTATAAAACATGATGCAGTCGAAGGGAACATAACATTTTTTTAAGTTTGTGCGCAAAAATTATTTTTACTCCGCTATTATACTACACAGGGTGTTCCGATTTGTAGGTCAATTACATCTTTCTCAAAATTGCAAATTATAGATCTATTACGATTGACTTTTTTAAATGCAAATTTTTTACATATATATATATATTATTCTACACCTACATTTTCTTATTGACATTTGCAATAAAAAGTGTAAATTAAATTGTTCGTGTAAAGTGCAGAGTGTCTTTTTTTTCGGCATTAATTCAGTAAAAAAGAAAGTGATAAGTTAACTGAAATACTTTAAAATACAAGGTGTTCTCGAAAATGCGGTTTAAAATTTAAAAGTTTCTGATAGGTGGAGGTAGAATATTGTAATTTAACCTAAATTACTTGTGTAAAAAGTAGCACCGGATGGAGTTATGGGACTTCAAAGTGAGGCCACAAATTTAAAAAATATATATATCTGTGAAGCTTTAACTTAGAAGTACTAAGTCTGGTATACAATTTGGATACATTTAAGGGTTATAAATTAACCATATCAATGTTATTGAGGTAGTGCAAGATTAATTAGAGAAGACCCATCTTTAACAACTCTATACGTTTATCAAAGATTAGCAAGAGCAAAAAAGTTTTAGAATTGAATTCTGTATAATATACATTTTCAAATTTCAAAAAGGGCAAACAAAATCCTTATAGACTAATTATCACCATATTTGGCCTTGAATATATACAAAATTTGGTACTTCTAAGTTAAAGCGTTGCAGAGATAATTTTTTTTCGAAAATTGGGGCCTCATTTTTAAGGCTTATAACTCCGCCTGGGTGCAACTTTATGCATACGTAAATTTGGATAAATTACAATATTTTAACCACCCTTACTATATACTTGCTCTGAGTCGGTTCTTATGCCGGACACCCATTCATGAAATTACATATCTAGACCTCAATTTTTAATTCCGTACGCATATAAGACCTATAGATAATAAAATACAAACTGACCATTTTCTTTATTACCAACACACCGCACTGATGTGACTGACTGTCATACTGGCACGATTTCAACAAATTCTTAATATTGCTATTGTAATAATTTCTCACGATAAACACAAATTTTGTACTTAGGATTGGAATACTACTGACAATAATGCTGACTGTAATGAACGACTATGAACGCGATTGACCTTCGCTACATTATTATCATTTATCGCCGTAACAGATTATTTAATTTAAAAAAAGTAGGTATTATTTCATAATAAAATTTATTTAAGTAATTACTAGATGACATTTAAGAAAAAAAAATCTCTAATGATACGAGTTTAAATAAATACTTGTTAAAACTTAAATTAAATAACAATTTTTATACTGAAAAAAAAAAACTAGAGAATGTTAGCATATACTGGATGTGCCACGATTTAATTCCGAAGAAGAAAAACTTTTTTATTCACTGTTTGTGAGAAAATATCCTGCAAACTCTCAACAAATTTGCTGTCTTTTTTAGTTTTATATACATATCGGTTTTTAAATTTTTGGTAATATTGAGGCTGCGTGAAGGAAATTTACATCTTTCTGTCGGAGTGACAAAAGTGACGCAGATGAGTTAGGAGCATATAAATCGAGTTTTACGTGAAAAGTTTTAATGGACATAACAAACTTCAAAAGCAATTAAATATAACAGGATTACTTACAATTTCCTCCCATAACATGCTTAGGCGTACCCACTGATGACTATACAAGTCCTCATCTAAGTACCCTGGCATTTCATACAAGACTTCCATTTTTTAATTTTTGAATTATTTAACGTTAAATTCAAATCAAGTAAGGTATTGTTTTTTCGAGTTTAGGTTTTGCAAGCTGCTACCAGTAAAGACACTGAAAACCTGAGCGGGTTTAATCCATTTAACAATTAATCTAGTAGAACCGTAGTGAGTCGGGGCAGAATTAAATAGATTTTTATTAACCTTCAAACTAATTTATTTGGACCCGGCCATGTCGTGGATATTATAAGCGGAGCGGTACGTTAAATTACCAATTACCGTAATTATCTTATTTCTAATTGATGGTATCGATTAGTTGCGCGAATGACGTAACCCGCCAGGGACGTCATGACCGAAACTATCAATTTCATTTGCTACGAAAGATACTAGAAGAAATATATCTACCTCATGATAGAAACAATTGACTGTGCGTTGCCTAGCAGCGTTTCATGGTGACCTTTCGATTTCAATTAGTTCATTACATAAACGAGATGCTGCACTTGCACTTTGTCGACATTCCCCGTAAATTAAAAGTATATCTACATGTTCATTGTTTCCATAAGCCTGTGTGGCATACTTAAAAAAACGCACAAAGAACATAACAGAAAACTTTGTTTATTGCACCCTCTCAGGCCGTTCTTTTGCGATAAATTTCCTTATGCGTGCCCAAAGTAGAGAATACAACCATCAAAACAGTAGGAGGCCAAGACGTACTTCAATTTGTATAAAATGTTTGGTTTTTTTAATATTTTCGTTATGTTGCAGCTTTAATATAGGTGATTCTTTGCAAGATTATCTATTTTTATTAAAGTCGTTTATCTTGCTTCATTATATCTCAACTTTAAGTCGATTTCTAGATATATCAATGCGGTAGAGTTATAAATATATCAAAACCACCATTTTAATGTGTGTAGTATAATTTATTTCGCCTAATTCTGTATTTACTTATCATGAACAAAATGCTGAATACATACTTTTTATAAATAAAAAAGTACTTTCCTTCCTGTTGGATTTATAAATTTCAAGTACAATCTATAGTTTTTTACCAAAATCGACGTTTTATTTGTTATCCTATATGAAACTATTTTTGGAACCCTCTAACATGATACGCCCATGGAATCTCATTCCCCGCACGCCTTACATACTAAATTAAATTGGGCCGATCGTCAGTGAGGGTGGTACCATTGTCGTACGTTACTACAACTGTATAAATAGGAAATTTAGTCGTCACCTACAGAAAATAGAACAACAAACTACTATCTCCGCGCATCTCCCTTAATTCAACCGAATGAATACAGAACTGGGTGAAAGCGTCTGGCAACAATAGCAACGTATTTCCAGATCTGTTAGTCAAAATAGTCTTATTTCCATATTCAACTGGTGGAAAGATAGCGAGTCGAGATGCCATTAAAAAATACATAATTAGATACAGCAGTTACTTATGTAAGACAACATAATTGCTAATTACGGTAAATGTTACTTCCTCGTACATAAACCTTTAATAAATTATTTCTCCCTTAAACACTACTTTTATACTTGTACTGGTATCATTTTATTGACATAGCAGGGCAGATGTGTAAATGCGTTCAACTATAACCGCACGAAATGTAAGCCGACCCACAGAGGCAATCATAAATAAATTAATTAATAACAAATGACAAATTAATTACGTAATTTGCCAGTAAATATAAAAATTTTAACAGCTGCTACCACTAACTACCTAGTACATATTAATTATTTAATAATAGATTCCAGAAATAAAACATGTTTTACTTTTAACAATGTTTGAACCAATAAATCGATCAAGAAATTGGGCAGGGTGTTTCTGAAATAAGTGCGTTCCTTGAAAAGGGCACGAAAATGGGCAACTTTTGTTAAGCAACTGATGGTCTAAGTGTTTCTGTTTTCGAGAAAATTAATTAAGAAAATTAACCATAAATGTAACCGACCCTGTGCATCTTGTGCACATGTGTTGTATGTTGCAGTATTACTTAGCCGGGGTATAAAACTAACAGTACCGTGTGGCGTGTACTACGGGAACAATTATTACACTCCTATCATGTAAAAAGGGTTCATGCATTAAATAACAATGATTTTCATCCCAGTGTGGAATTTTGCCAGTGGTTTCGACATCAAAATAATACATGATCCGGATTCTACAAACAAGGTGCTTTTTATGGATGAACGTTGTTTTACTAAAGACGGCATACTAAATTTTCACAACATTCATTATTGGTGTGACGCAAATTCTCATGTTGTACAGAGATCTCGAGCAACGGTTTTCAGTGAATGTGTGGTGTTTTTGGAGACAAAATTTTGACCGTCGTTTGGAAGCATGTCTATTAGCACTTGGAAACAACATTGTATAATTTTTGTAGAGCATATCGTCTATTAGTAAGTAATTCGTTTATTCGTTTAGTTTTTGTGTTACTTTTAAACGGGATTTGAATAATTTTCAGTATTTTCGAACACAAAATTTAAACCGACACCATCAGCGTTTTCACACTGGGACGCGCGGCAGCTTCGACATCAAAGGTACAGCTGGCTGCCGCACCAGAAATGGCTTTTAAATTTGATTAAACCTTCATGTGAACAAAATTTTTTCAATTTAAAACGTAATGTTTTAGAATAAAAGTTGTTAATTTTCATGCCCTCTATCACCCTTTTCAAGGAACACAACTTATCTGAGAAAAACCCTGTATAGGTACACATAATTTATAATTCCCTAACTAAAATAAATTGGAGAGCTGGTTCTAATATATTGGCTAACTTTCCTTTCTACAAATTTGACACTACTAGACTTTCGAAAGCCTTAAATTTGACTAATAAATTAAATTCAATTACTGTAACATATTAAAAAGTGGTTTTGTGTGTCTTGTTCCATTCAGTGATTTAACTCAGAAAGTATGTGGCAAACAAATTGGTATCCCAGGAGAATTTCTTCAAAAT